TGTATTTCTTTTTCATAAAGAGTTTTTCCACTAGGAGTGTGTAATACACATCTTCGATGCAAGGACACATCTAATTTAAACTTTGACAGGAAAGGTGATCCTAAAATCATATCATAAGTCGTACCCAATGGTGCTAATTTGAAAAAAACGGCTCCAAAACGTATGCTGGGATGTTGACATTTGAGATTAGCAATTGCAAATTCTTGTAGAATTACAGGAGTCCCCTCAGTTGCAATAGCGAGACGTACCTTGACTGGTGCAACCAAAGGTCTCCGAGGTAGGTGTAATTCACGCGCCATGCTGTTGGACATGAGATTCGTCCCGGCTCCTGAATTGATGAGCGCCCGTACAAGTTTCCCATTGCATGTCAGTTCCAGAATGATGGGAGAGACTGATGTAGAGGGTGCGCACCTCAATTCATCACTGTCCTCCTTTTCGATTAGACTCGCACGAAATGCATCCGCTTCTTCATACGCAGCGATGTCCTCAGCTAACAGTTCCGAAAAGGTATCGACTGCTGCTACGCGAGAAGTGGTTGCAGCAGCAGGTGGTCGTCCAGCTGGCCTCTGCGTTGGTGTTCCGGGTGCCGTAGTGTTGTTGGTGATGCCAGTTGAGCGATTTGGTCTGGGGCCAGGATTGAAATCCGATGGTACAGATAAGAACCGTGTGTTCTTCTTGGTGCAGCTTGAGTTGTTGCATTTTTCCTTACAAACTGAACAAATACCCGATTGTTGTAGATATTCGTGGTACCTCCACGCATTGTCGGCGCGCTCTTTGTCTGAACGGGCTCTAGGTTGAGCAGTGGATCGGTTCATCGGCAAATTCCCCCAGTTCGAGTTCGAAGGGACGGTGTGTTGTCTTGGTCGTGCCGAAGAGTCAGATAAGCGTTGGCTGTTCGACAGGATTCGCCATATCCCGTTGGCGGCTTCCTTGAAGATTGGGAAGGAAAAGGGTGCCTTCTTGAGATGCTTCTCATGCTCTACCATATCCCGAAATAGCTGCGGGGCTCCCCAAGTAATGTACTCGGCGAGGTGGAGGTCCGTTACCCGACCTAGGCGTTTGATTAAACGGTGTAAGTTCTGTGCTCAAATGACGTAAGCATCAAAGGTTTCCGAGGGGCGCATTTCCAACCGTCTCAAGGCTCCTTCAGTATCAGATAGCCACCCATGAGGAAGCGTACCAGCTGCCATCATCTCCATCGCTCCCTTCCAGGATCTTTGCCGTAAGTCATCCTTGTTCGCTTGATACCACGCTGACATTTCTTCATTGTTAAGTAGCAATCGTAGCAATTTCAAACGTTCTCGGTCATCGGTAAGGTTTTTCACGTCGAGTGTTTCCTCGACTAGTTCCTGCCAGTGAAGAAAATCGGCCGGTCGACCAAACTTGCCCGTGAATTTTGGCAAATCACTTAACTTAACCCGATCGGCCGTCATAGTTGTAACCACTGGGAATCCGGGTGTCTCAGGCATAACTGGCTGATAAGCTTGCATGTACGGAGTTTGAGGGTTAAGAGCCTCGCGCGGTGAGAGGGGTGTGTTCGGCGGGTGTGTGTAGTTGCCTGGACGAGTTTTGTGAGTCGCTCCTGTTGGTTGTTGGTCACCACACGCTGGTTCATCTCCAGGTGTTTGTCCAAGCTCTGATGCTATGCTTGCTTGAGGCGTTGATGTGACGTTTCTGCCAGGTTCTCGAGGTGCTGGTGAAGGGGAGACAGGACTTTGATGCAAGTATTGAATAAATGGATGGGGAGCAGTTGTCGAGCGTTGTTTGTTCGACGCAGGATCTGAACTTGAGGCCTGAATACCCGTGGATGCTGCTGCCTTCTCGGCGAGCAGCTCACGCACTAGCTTCTGCAAGACTAGAGTTTCTTGTCGAGTCTGAGCCAGGGATTCGTTCTGCAGACAAAAGCTCTCGACCTGAGCACGGAGAGACTCGATTGTATCCTGATCGTTAGACATGGTCGCCGGTTCGCACGAGAGAGCGGGTTCGTTGAAGGTAACTTCGGTTTTTTGCGTCTCGGGGGTGTCAATAGAAAAATGACCTGGAGGGTGCGGAGTTTGCCCGTCTCGTGTGAGGCCTAAGAGCTTCTGAAAGTGTAGATTGACCACTGTACGCTCCGTAGTAGATGGCAAAATTGGTGGTGGTGAATATTGGGTAGACGTAATTTCGGCAGGACTGGGTCGGTAACTAGATGCATATAGAATGCGATCTGTGGGCGCTGGTGATCCCGAAACCGATGTCTCCGGCTTCCAATGGAAATTGGCTGGAGGGGGTGCTGGCGGAGACTCAACACTTTCCTTCTGTTTGTCTTTTTGGGCCCTTCGTAGCAGAATATCGGGGTCGTCGAGAAAGTTGTCTGGCTTCAACGAAGTCGTACCACTCATTCGACTGGCTTTAATCGTGAGAGATTGTCCGGGGGGTGGGGATCGACAAGGTTGGGTTGACAGAACTGAACCAGAAGCAGATGAACAGATTGACAGATGACAGAAAAGGCAGAGTGACAGAAGTACGTGAAATGATAGAGAGAAAAAAATGTTGGATAAGGTGTTTTGGTTTTGTTTATCGAAGTGATAAGTTAAAAAAAGTGTAAGGTTCTATCAGAACCTTCACTGAGGGTCCGGATTCTTGTCCGGCTTGACTTCTCTCGAGAGAGCACTAACTTAGAACTTCGGTTTCTATTGCGACCTAGCTCCAGAAAGTCCCATACGTGGCTCCCTGAGGAGTCAGTAACTCTAATCTAGAAGAATACAAAGAAAGAGAGAAATGGGATAGAAAGACTCACCTAGCTCCAGAAAGTCCCATACGTGGCTCTCTGAGGAGTGAGGACTCTCCGAAGCCAGGCGTTGAGGAGAAAGGTAAGGAGACGCCTATCTAAACCCATGATACAAATCCCATACTTCCTGCCTATCCGTGTACCTCTTACAGCCGGGCTCCTTTTGAAAAGCCGCCGGCCCGGACCGGCCCAAGTAAATTAAAAAAAAATCCTGCTCAGCGAAAAAAATAAAAAATAAAAAAATAAAAAAAAATAGATGATTTCTGGCACATTATATGTACCATTGGAAGCCCTTTGTTTGCTTTTTGGGACCCATGGCCACTTTTTGAACCTCTCCAAAGAACTCTCCGAGCGACTTTCATTGCTAAGATTCACCAAAAGCCTTGGTTTTAGCCCTTTTGGCTGGCCCGCAGCACACCGCTCTCGGGCCCAAGGGAAAATTTCTGAGGCCGAAAAAGCCCGAGCCCGAGCCCGAGCCCGAGCCCGAGCCCGAGCCCGAGCCCGAGCCCAAGCCCAAGCCCAAGCCCAAGCCCAAGCCCAAGCCCGAGCCCGAGCCCGAGCCCGAGCCCGGCTCGGGCTCGCCCGCTGGTCCCGGTGCCGGGTCCAGGCCTTAATCACAGGAATAGCCCTTTTAATCCAAGTCGGTATGTGTATCCTTGGAAGTAAGGAGTTAATCCTTTGTAGCATCTGGTGATCAAAGATGACATCATCGATAGGTGGCGAAATCCATTTGGAATTCCATCCAGGATCGCCAAGTGGGTCGTACTCTTCTTCGTCAGAGGACTTCTCTTGTGGAGAGGGGATGTCATGTATAGTCGCACCTTCCTCGTCTGGGCTTTTTTCGGAAGTTCTGGCTGTCCATTGGTGGTCTTGAAACTCAGTGTGCTCGGCAAACAGATCAAAGAGTTCCTGTTTACTGATTGGAGGTAAAATATCTTCATTGTTTTTGACATCTTTCATGGACCAGAACCGCCGAAGTTGCCAGGATAGTAGACCCAAAAGCAAGTTATGCATTGAGTTAACCACATGATATTCTACAATGTTCCACTAAGGAAGATCATTCAAGACTGAGTATCGAACACCGTGTGTCTTGAAAATTGTTTTGCACTCTTTCGCAGTCTTTGCATCGCGGGCTTCGTATGCCCATTTCTTATGTTGATCCCATGAACGGAGTGGCCAGGAAGATTGATTAAAATTATGAATGTCGCATTTCTTGAGCAAACAAAAAGAGCAGAAATATGTTGCGGTAGCGCTTGGAAATCCAAGAGACCGTCTTAAGGCTGGAATATCTGCAATGAATGGCAGCAATGCAGCGTGAATAAGTCGCCCACTGTTGTACTGATGTGTTCTAGACAATAGCCAGCCCGGCTCCCATAGCTGTTGAAGCTGTGTTACGATTGGTTGGAGAATCCAATTCATTTGCTCGAGTGATGGCTTGCGCGGCCCAGGTGCAATACCAACAAGGAATACATTTTCAGGTCTATGTCGAACATTGATTGGAAGACTGAGGCAGATGAGTACAATAAAAGTTATAGAGTCATGATGCCCGCTCTGCTTGTTACCAAAAGGGTTAATCCCGTCGACAAACATGCCAAATACCAGATTTCGACTCGAGGCCGTGAACTGTTTGCCATCTGGACCACAAAACTCTTTCCAGATTTTCGATTGGTGTATATCGTGTACGTCACTGCTTGGATCGTATGGTTTTCTTGACTCGATCAAGGACTCGTCAAGTTGTTCCTCAAAGAGAGGTCGAGAATACAGTCGGCCAAGCCAGTCCAAAAGATTCTGAAATGTGTAACGACGAACTGGTATCTCTTTACCTCGTACAAAGCGTAGTAAGGGATGCCCACAGGTTTCCTCTGAGAACTCAAGGCTGTCCGTGTTTTTGACTGAAGCAGTGCTGGATGAAATCTTGGTGTTTGCATCTCCAGAATCAGGGGGCCCTCCTGGGATACTAGCAATTTGATGATTACACAAAGCAGGTGTTCTGGAAATCGGATATAATGCAAAACAAGATTGACAACAATTCATGTATACCAACTTTGGATCAATTTGCAACCAGCCAATAGCTGTGGTGATTGTACGAGGGAACCGTTTTGATTTTGATATTTGAGTTATGTCGAGTTGAGTGGTAGAATTATCCATAACCAGCCCGTGGGTCACTGAGAGTTCAATGGTGATGCGCATCATATCCATGAGCCAGGCAGAGGTAAACATCGAGGAATGATCAAAAATGGACTTCACTGCGGCTGTGAGCGCTACGTGAAGGCAGACAGGGTTGAGATTGGCCAGGGTTAATGAATGGAAGCGGCCTATAAAAAGACCAATGAACAGTCAGGAAGTCTGGCGTCTTCCCCGAGATCCAGGACACTAACTCACCACAGTCGTATTCTTGCACTCCCTTTTCCCTTGCTGTAGCTGTTGCAGCGCAAATCTCAGCATCTACAACATGAGATTTGTCCTGATCCGTAGTCTGATCTTGACCTGCAGTCGTTGAATGGACTTGTATCAACCGTTGTCCAGTATTTATGGAGTTGGCCCGGGACCTTGCCAGTGTTTTATGCTGAGAACCTAACAGCAAACCCTCCAGAGGAGCTATTAAAACTTCTTGGGAGTCTGTATTGGGTGTTTGACTTGAGTTTGCTGGGTGGCGAGAAGGCAAAGCAGAAGTTGTTATATGATTGATAAGATTACGTCGATCAGCACGCTCGTGAGACTCCTTGGTAGAGCGGAGGACCTCGACACCAGGCTGTAAGACCCCACTCGCATCTAAATAAACACCCTTGTAACAGCCAGAGCTTTGACACTGACAGACAACCCGCTTGGGTTCGGGTTTCAACTTTGAAGATGACATCTTGAAGATTGATATAAATTATCTGATGGTGCTTGTGCACGTGAAGTTTGATGAAGGAGATGAAGCACAGAGAAAATTTTAGGTGAGATGTGCTGATGATATAGCGGCGTAAATTTTGTGCGTCTCAAGATGACTTGTGATAATTGGTGTTAGTGAATTTCTGTCTAGTAGGACAGACTGATTATAAGCAGGAAAAGATACAAAGTATTTTGTTTTTGTTCCTTTACATGAGCCAAAGAGATGAAAACTGATAGAGCGGATACAAATGGTAAAGATTGGAACATGTCAGTGGTTTCTAGATGAAATACAACGCCGCAAGGCTCTTGGTTTATCCATCACCGGCGTATAGGATGATTTGAGAAGACAGAAGGCAATAGAATTGTTGTACAACAACTCAAGTACAACAAATTGCAAAACAAAAGAACACGCATAACACCCCTCCAACATATGTATATGTAACACTTCAGGGTAGTATACTGTATACATGCCAAAAAGCAAAGCGGTATGCTTCATTTGTTGAAGGGTTTGATGGCTTAGTGTTCCAATAAAGAAACTATGCATTTGATGAATCCAAAAAATCAGACATCAGTTTCACACATGGTCTCATTCGCGAGCTTGCACAGCAGGACACAAAAGGGACCGACCTTCCATCCGTAAGGATCCAGTACAAGCTCACTAATTTAATCGATGATAGAGTAATGAAAGCCTTCGACTGCTCTACAAGTCACACCCTCTGGTTCCTCTCTGACAAATTGTTGGTAGAGACTGACCATCACAGGGTGCACCATAGCTACCAAGTGAACAAAGACATGGGGAGCATGTGCTTGGAGTGCAAGTCAAAGATCTTCAACAGTCTCTCGCTTAAGTTGGTCAACCGCTAGGACTCGAGGTTTGGAAGTCCATTGAGAATCTTTCGGTATGGTAATATCGTGGTCAACATAGGCCTTGTATAGACAAAGCAAACCTTCACGGCGAGCTGTTTTCGGTATGTCAACGTCCGGCTCTATGCTTTCGATGGCATTTCTAAGCATCTGACAAGTCGTTTTGCTGCTGAGTGGATCAAAATCTAGATCTGGCTTGGTTGTTTGTTTGGTTTCCATCGCATCGCCAGCAGCGTGTTGGGAGAGTGGATAATAACGTTCTATCAACGGCTTGACCTCCTTTTCGTATGTAGCAATCAACAGGTCTTTCAATTGATTCGGACAGGATTTAGTTGAAGGATCAAAATGGATCATAATACGATAAATTTGGGGCTTGGTAATTTTTTTGATCATCTTGACGTCCCAATTGGATAGTAAGTAAGGACGCAGGTCACTGGCTATGGTTTGTAACTTGATGAAATTAGGATCTAAGAAGCTGCTGGGTGCATGTGGGGGTGGGATTGGTGGGTATTGAGTGTCGCCGTGATTTTTGCTGGCATCTTTGCTTGGCTCATGCTTAGAATCATGGGTACTCGACGTGATTGGCGGCACCGTAGGAGTTGTCTTGTTGGTTGGGGATGTTGGATTCGAGGGTCCTTGCTTTGAATTCTTACGTTTTGTCATTGGTTAGATCTCACAAGTCAATCAGACTTTCAGTCAGTCATCATATCTGAATGTTTTGAATAACACTGATCCAATTGAGAAAATCTCACCTGAATTGATTACACAGCAGAGGATTCAGTGTGTATATATAACAAAGAACTTCTTCAAACCAGGTGCATAATTATACGGTGGATTTTGAATAAGATTGATGCAAACAATTAGATGCAGGACGAAAACGGGGTTGGGAAAAGAGATGGATACACACCTTGAAATCGCAGCTTCCAGTGCAAAAGGATGAACTAGTAATGCTGATGCATTGGGAGGGGGATGTAAGTGTAAAGATAAAGTTGATTATAAGTAGCCAAGACGAGAAAAAGAGAGATACGCAAAAACAACATCACAGTCCAGATCATCAGTCAACGTACAAGACAGATATCGAAAGGACTGAACTAACCAAGATGAATGCTGCCAGCTAATAGAGATGATCAAACTGCACGAATTGCTTCACAGCCTATCGTAGTACCTTGCAGAATAGAAGCAGTCGGTGTAGAGCAAGAGGAAAGTATAGGTAAAACCTTGAAGTTGGAAAAAGGTATTATAAGTAATTATACATGCAAGAACGGAGAGAGATTAACAAAGTATAATCTCCAGTGATCACAAAATTGATGTTGAGACCAACCCAGGAGAACGTCAAAGCCAAGGTATATATGCTATAAGGTGATTGATGTCAATGAGTGAAGCTCGTGATCGGTGTGAGGTTTGATATGCGAACACCTCACATGAAGGGGAACACGATTTGGCCACCTATTCAGTGTGGTATAGAGACATGTCTATAGTCAAAGACGTGGGGACAAATTTGAATCAACTCAATTGTGATAGAACCCGGAATTTGCATCTGATTAAGATGTATGAGGAAGCTGATCGACATACAGCTTAGTTGTATGCTTTCAGGTAACCATCTGAGATGATATATCCATGCTTTGATGACAATTGGTCGATCTGAGAACAGCTCCTTTTGTCTAATGTGTTAGACACGATTGGTGTTCATTCTTCCGAGGTTACAGAATGATTATTACGGAGAACAGTGAGGTTGGTTACTAGTTACAAACTAGTGGCCTTTGAGACATTTTATCTAACTACAGAATTAAAATTTTCCGTGGGTCTTGATTTACATATCTGGGCATTTTCCTTTTCCGCGCGGAAAATATTATTTTTTTCGTAGTGTTATTATCTTAATGTTTTATACACATCATAGGGCAAAACACAAGAATTATTTAAGAATGTATTGTGAAAGGGAACAAATCATGAACAAATCATTAGGTAGGATCTTGATTGTCTTAGCATCCTTGATTTATTTTTTGGAGTATATCATGATCATGCTGAATATGGATATTGGAATTGGAATATATCACATTTATTGAATTTGGAATACATGACAAAGTCCTTGAAGCAGAATATATCATGGTCAATGATAATTGGAAGAGATCAACAACATATAAGATTAGGCATAGATCATGTATCTCTTGTCTTTCAAATGTAACTCAAATTGATATCAAATCAAAAAGAAGAGATTGAACAATTGAAAAAGGCTTCATAACTACAGTAAGTTAAATTCAATACTAACTTCGTTCTTTTGTTTCTTCTTCTACCAAAGACAATGATTTGTTTGAATCACTAATGTCTCCAAAGTCTTCACAGTTAATGTCTTGATTATTGTTGGTTTGTAGCTCTTCAAAGGTAACCTCTTGTTGTAAGTTTTCTGTTTTCTTTCTTCTTTGTTGTCTTTTTAATCTGATTTCTTTGAGTGCATCCTCTCTATCTCTTTGTGCTTGCTCTTCTTCTTCACTTTTGATTTCATAATGAGTTCCTTCAGTTTGTGATATTTCATCTGAATTCAGAGGAGTTCATTTGGGTGTGATTTTGGCAGCCAAATCTCTACTCCTATGCCTTGATCTCATATCTAATTTGGAAAGTATTGTTCAAGAATTAAGTTTGAATCAGGGGAATCTTCCTGGTGTAGGAGGAAAGAAGGCTATAGAGCGTGAGGATGAGTGAGAGGAAAAAGACAAAATTAAGGACAGATTTCTCCTCTGAGCGACTGGTGGGAGATTTTTGAGGAGAGATCACCCAGTGTCCTGGATTATAATCTAATGCAGGGCAGGTCTGGTGGGACCCAGTTTGGTATCTCTGGTTATCCCATGACCAAGATAGTCTTATCTTCAGACTGATCTTGGCCTTAGCTCTGAGCTTTCCATTACATTTCACTGCCAATCACGTGGTGGGTGTGGGTTTTGAATTTTGGGCAGGCCCGGGGGTGGATTTCATAAGTTACAAAGGCATACCTATAGTGAGGGCGCTGAGGGGTGCCTCTGAGGCGTCAAATCCCCCAAGAAGCAATTTGTTTCGAGAAAATCTTAAGAAGATCAAAAATAGCATTTCTGTATTTCATGATACTGCTGGTGATCAAAAAAGGGCATTTCATCAACCACCATTCACAAAAATCATTGACAAGGTCATCTTTGATTCATTCCTCATTCCTCAACTAAACCATCAGTCTCTGTATATAAACACTTTCAGTATCATCCTCTGTCATTCCTCCTGATCCACTTGGTCTTTGCCAGGACTTTGAGATGGAATTTGGAAAATTTAGATGCTAAGCACACAATTTTCACCCACAATCACCTGCTAATTGGGTGGAATAGAGCTAAAGCTAACATGGACATGCCAACCCCAAAATCAAGCCAAGAAGGCCTGCCCCAGTTTGCGCCCTGCCCACCACGTGAACTGCCAACATATTGATCTTGGATTGGGAAATCTGAGGTGTTCTCGGATCTGAAACCTTGGACAGGAGCTTTCCAAGGTTTTGATCCCAGGTAATCTTTGGCACATAATGATACCTCCAATAAGATCCGTGCAAGGATTTGCATCCGATGATACCTTGGACCTCCCAATCCAAGGCATCTATGTTGGCAGTGTTGCATGGACAGGAGTAATTCCTTGTCCCAGTGTCACTACTCTTCAAACAAATCACCCAAAGGATGTTCAATCTTGTTGGTGGTAGTGTGAATGTGCGCTGAGAGATAAAATATCCCATTTGTTATGTTGCTTCTGGTTGATCTGTTGATCTTAGTATTTGTTATGTCTTCTTCTGGCATTTGATATTTTCTCATAGTTACGTGTGTGTGTCTCTTAACTCTTAGCAGTTCTTGTTTTCTCTTTATAAGCACCTATGAGTCTTCACCAGGGTTTGATCCTCATGCTTTCGAACCCTTTCCTCCATCACTAAAAGCAATCCTTTATACTTACGACGTATTGCTTTAATTGTGATTGACTCATAGGTAAGCTTCTCTCTTTTGTGGTTTTTCTCTTTCATTGATATTTCTATTTCACTGTACATGTGTTTTATTGTTTATGTTTGTGCTCTCAAAATATATGATGCTTTCAAACCCTTTCCTCCATCACTAAAAGCAATCCTTTATACTTACGATGTATTGCTTTAATCGTGATTGACTCATAAATCTTTGTCAATTACTTTGAGATTCTATTTTAATTTCTATTTGAAGTTCATGATCAAAATCTAACAAAAGAAAGAAGCAAAACATGTTCTTCAATCCAATCACCTCAATGACAACCAATCTTTTCCTCTATTACTTGATCCATATGGTGTAAGCAAAAAGAAAGAATTCAAGATTGGTTTTCAAGGAGAGGTATTTTTTTCAAAATCAAACAGTCAGAGAGAAAGTCTCAAAAAAAAATCAAACTACTGCAGATTACAAGAAAGTGCCGGTCCTTCATGATGCTTAGAAAAAAACAGATCAAGATGTATGATGAATTTGATATAAAAAAATGCTCTAGGTTGATGTTGGAAATGAGATCAAGAATGAGATCGAGTTCGACTCAAAGATGAGCAGTGAGTTTGGCAGGGTCTAAGTTTTCATGAGAGATCTTGTACTGTGAATCAAGAAAAGAAAACATAAGCCACCTTAACTACGCCAGACATCTTTTGATACTGTGAACTCGTCTGCTTACCACAACATGGAACAAAGGATATCCACCAACTCGACCTCGAGCCTTGAGGAACTGATGTAACTCATCAGCAGTAGCCACACCTTGAAGTTTTTGACCACCCAACAGTTCAGTTTCGAGTTGTTCGAAAGGCTTTCCAGTCTTTACAAACGCCTCAGCACACAGCCTGTTTCGACCACCGAAACCTGAGTATATCAAGTAAAGATTATCAGAATCAAAATGGCGAGTTGTTATTGAAGAGTAGTGTCGACTTACATGTTGTGATCAAATCTGCAACACCTGCAGATTCTTGAACAAACGTTTCCGCCTGAGAATAGTATCAAGAGAAGTGAGTAAGATGTTTGATAACCAAAGACTATAGAGGTTGACGCTTACCTTGACTCCAGAGAAAAACTCCATACTGAAGTTTTTCATCTCCAACAGGCCAATTCGCATGACAGCAGCTATTGAGGTAAGAACGTCCATTTTCATGTCAAGTTAATCAATTTGAACTTCTCTTTCGAGTATGCAGGGGACTTGCTTACCCTTGGCATTGTTACCCCAACCCAATCCATCACAGAACCCAGCAGCAACAGCCACCACATTCTTCAAAGCTCCACAAAGAGAAACACCAGCACGATCCTCAATGATTTGTACGTGAAATTGAGGGGTGTGGAATAGTTTTTGCCAAAGTTCTCCTTCTGATCTGGTACCATAACCGATTGTGGTTTCAGAGAACTTGTTGAGTGCAACTATCGAAGCAAAGTGACAAGATCAATTAGAGAGCGATCATCAAGTCAACATTGGATAAATCTACATACCCTCATTGGCGATGTTAGCACCACTCAAGGCACAACACGGCATTCCTAACTCCTCCTCGATTACATCGGCAAAGATCTTGATCCGATCACCAGTCACATCAACACCTTTGGTAAGAGAGATGGCGAAGGCTCCAGCACCTGTTACTTTAGCTTCGCGTAGTTGACGACAGATGTTGGGGATAAACTGATGAGGTAGGCAGAAGACAAGCATTGTTGCATCTCTAGCCGCGTCGATCAGAGCAGGAACGGCCTTCAAGTTGACTGGAAGCTGGTTGGGTTCGAATCGATAAGCAAAGCAAAACCGATCAGTTGACGAGTCCCGATCATGAATATGACTATACTCTCTAGCTCACCTGGACACCAGGCAGATATTTGACATTTTCATGCTTCTCGTTGATGATCGTGGTAAGATTTTCACCGTTAACCTGGAGTTACGAGGGAGACAGGTTTCGTTTTAGTCGGCGTGATCACATGGGACCACCTTTGAGCAATGGGCCGCTAACCTGTTCTTCGTAAACCCACATCGGAACCTCTTGCTGGAACAAATCACTGTGACGGGCTGTGTTTTCAGCTGCAATCTTAGCAATGGCTGATCCCCTGTATCAAGGACGATTTTCGACGCGAAAGAGGGAAGGGAGAGATTTGGATCAGTGATAGTGACGCGGTATAAGGCATGAGTAAGCCACTAACCAGTTACCAGATCCGATGATAGCAACTCGGTGTAATTCACGTGGAGCCATTGGTATTGGTTGTTTTGGTTGGATAAATGATTTGTTAGGTGTCGATCGATTAAAGGCTGATGATGATTGGCGGATGGTTGTGAGTTGACGAGAGCTTCGAAGACTGGGTTGGGTAAAAGCTGTAAATGCAATCGAGGGTTTTGGAAGAAATCAAGTGTTATGGAATGATTAGCGGAGTGTAAAAGACTTGATCGACAGAGTTGCACACCTCTCGGAATGGAGTGGATTCGGATAGGTAGAAAGTTAGAAAATGAAGCAAACGAAGATCGAATAGATGAAATCAATGAAGCTGAGGAATTTATGGAATTCAAGCCAGCTATCAGGTTCATGTCTCAAAACTAATCATGCTTCATTCTTGGAACCGATCGAAGTTTCATAATCGAAGTTGAGAAATTCATCAAAAGAAACCTTCAAGGCATCAATACCTTCCAATTCGAACAGTTCCTGATCAGATACACTTGTACTCTCAGATTAGCAATGAGTTTGTTTATGGTTCATGTTTACGTTGGGGATCTGATTGGTCAGTCCAAATGGGGTAAAGCACAACAGACGCCAGTGTAGTGCACCTCGGAGCTCGATCGCGGGTCAGTTTGCTATCGTGCAAGCAGCGTGCCCGGACACGGCGGTTACAACATGTGTCTCACCGTTTGAATGGCAATCTGCTCGACGAAACGTCAAAAAGAGCCCACTGATAGCGCTAATTGCACATCAAGAACTACCAAGAGGATGAGGAGAAAAAGGGACTGGATGCCAATCTGATTTCAGGATAATCAGCCATGATTCATGACGGGTCATCCTCCTTGGTCCCAAAGGTCCCTTGACGAGAGAGTGAGCTGATCGGAGCGCTCGGAGAACAAATTCGCTGTCGATAGAAATGGGAAGACCACCAGATGACACGCAAGAAGAATTGAAATTTGAAAGATGACAAGTAAGATTTGTTTACCTTTGTTGATGGAGAAAAATGTCAGAAGTTGAAGTGTAAAGAAAAGATAAACCCTCAAACAGCGCGGAAGAGTTCTTCTTATACCCAAGCAAGGTTCAAATGAATCAACTAATACTCACTTTGATGCTCCTTAACAAGTTTTCGATTTCTTGGGGAGCAATGAGAAACGCCGATGCCGGCTACGGTAGTGCCAACGAGGCTGAGGCTGGCTGATAGGACTAAGAATTATAAGGTGAATAGAATGACGTAGCATACTATTGGATCGGATTGATCGGGTGCAACACCCTAAAGTTTCATACAAAAACGGATTAAAACCTGTGTTGGGAAGATACGGTCTGTGTCATAATACATAGTTCCACAACAATGAGAGCATTCACAATCACGTAACTGTACATTAAGGGTACAAATTTCAAAGACCAGCCATATTCTTGCCACCATGCCATAGAAAAGATAAGAAAGTTTGGGTTCCCTCATAAGAACTGGGTCCTCCCCTCCCCCTCGTCATGAAACACAGGGCTCATTCGAAGTCCCGATCTACTCAACTCTTCGAGGAAATCCAATTATGGATGACCCCGAGGCTGTTATCAATTTCTTTCTAGATGAAAGTAGTGAGGTGTCATTGGACGAGCACAAGTTGCAAATGTAGCAAGGTACAAACGACACTCGCCTTCCATGAAAGACCCACCAAGTGAGGATCAAGAGCTCTTTAGTGCTTGACATCAATGATGGCCAAATATCCGCTCGGACCCTTCGAATTGCAAAAATCGTCAAGAAAACCAAATTATTCCGGTCTGAAACCCCAAATCGCTGATGACAATAACGTTGGTGTCTCAAGAGAAAGCCAGCAAAAACGACTCTAAAGCGCCAACTTTAACCTCCGTAACTTTCGACTCCTCACGCCCTCGTCATATGATGATCAAAATTTTGACTAAAGTCTGGAGAGTGCCGCATAACTATCAAACTCTTTGAATTGAAATCTTTGTTGTAAATGGTCGATGTGACGAAATGCTAATTATTTGAACCCAAGATTTCCGCATTCTCATCTGCCTTCCCAAATTCCTCAGCCAACCTTACAACTCATACCGAACAGGAAAAGTGAGGTTGTATCATCATTATCAGGTGAGGCTCCTTGAAGCTTGATCAATGATAAAGTGAACACCAGGTCAGACGTTTATTGTAAAAGGCAGTGATGAAGAACAGCCAGGTTCCATTATGATTTTCTTCGAATCAAGCGATCATAACATCTGCACGCAGATGCGCCACAGTCTGCAACAGTTCCTGGTATGCTGGATACTCAAGGCAATGCCACTGTTCCATCAAATGTCTCGTTGATAAACAGGATACAAGTATTACCTGCAAAAAGCCTTTTGTCTATGCTTGGAAATTTCTTTATAAGAGACTCCAATCATTTGCTTAACAAGAAAAGGAGCCTTTCATCAATGGGGCATTCAAACAAATAATGATGTAATACGAGACAAAATTCATCCACACGGTAGGGATACAAAAGAAAAAGGTTTTAGAATATGTACCATGGTTGTAAATACAACATATGAAAAATGGAAATGACTGACCCAGCGCTGTCTTGATATTGTGCTCAGCGGGGAAGGGTCCGATAATGTGCTAGAATGACGTCAAAGATATTATGCAAGGTTGTGGTCCGTGGACTTGCTGTTGTCCATTTCGTTGAAAACACGCGACAAAATCTGATTTTGTGTACAAGCATACCCTCAGGAAATGCTTATACCATGAGTGACCAACCACTTTCAAGAATTTAGGTCAACGGTTTGCACTTCTCACCAATAAAATTCAAACCGACGCGACATTCACCCTCGTCAGCCCTTCCTCCTCACCACTCCGCTCCATGCGACCAGTTCGTCTTGATACCCCGAATCATGGTGTTCTTATTTCCTCGGCGTTCAAGGTTAGTCAAACACACATCACTAAACCCATTCAAACTCAATAAATCATGATGATTTTTTCGAAGTTATATCTGTCAATCCCCTTATCTCACTCTACAAGAGTGTGGAAATGCAGAAACCACTTCCCATTACGTGCCCAATCAAGCACAATGGCCTGAACCCCACCCATTCTATCTCTGTAATCACTTGAGTGTATAAGACCTAATCGCTGATCATTTGTTTCTTTCTTTTCTAGACTTTTGGTATGATCTTGAGGTGTGGGACGAAGATTGTTTATTTGTTTATTTTGTCTCGCACTTTCTTCGTCGCCTGGAGTTGTGTCGATGGCCTATTTCGCTTTGTACTTTCTTTGTCTGATATCCAAGTCTCGTCCGAACTATGCAATCTTTCATATCATCGATAACCCTGGGTCTCACGCGTCTTGTTTCAAATGTGTTAACCCTGAGAGTCACTCAGGTGTAAGCATCATCAATGTACTATCAACCCTTGTGGTTCAAGTCAGGTCGAGAATCACGCAATACGAAATGAAAGTCTTTACCTGAACCCTAGTCCATCCCAGCACTCCGCACGCTGTTCTGAGAGGCATGCATCGCGACTTCGACTTCTAGCCTTGATTATCAGTCGGGATATACTCAGCTCTGGTAAATGCCTATGTAGAAAGGAATTCACAGTGGCGGCTGTGGGTCTCGCGCTCCCAGGGATCGACTGCAAGATACTAGAATGATATATTTTGCTCTCTTCCATTCCACCTCCTATGTGTTTGTATGTATACACTGTCAGATGTATCTAGTTTCCGACTCAGCCAATGAAGCGCGCTTCACTAGACTTCCAAAGTAAAACCTTGATTTCATCGTAAGAAGGGCAAATATTTTCAGGCTGTAAAAACAAGAATATTTGTCAAAGGAATCAAGTTGCTTTGAAAGTTTTTCTATCAAGCCATATCCGTCTATCTGACCATCCAGCCATTAACTTTAAAACTCGAGTGCTTAATCGACTTTCTTTTGCTTACCGTTGACTATGTACGGCATGTGAGCAGGCGTGGTGTGAAGTGTGTCAAACCCATATATAGGCAAGTCCGGGACTAAAGACAACTTACCAGCAAGCTTTCAGTGGGTGGCTCAAGGGACTCGTACAGCTAAAAGAATTGCAGTAACACACGATATGTTGCATTTTCAAAAAAGATGAAGAAACTATTTACAAATTTTAAATTATTACATGACGAGATTCCAAAGTTTAGAGATAAGAGAAACGCCAATGCTACACAATCCTGATTAACATGATCATACTAAACAAAATGAAAGTTCTACAGTAGAAGGTAATAGAACAGTATCTTTTGATAAAGATATCAAAGTAGGCGTGTCCACCACTGTGATATCAGAAGAAAAACTTGAAGAACGGACGTGAGAAGAGGAGGTGTTGATAGAAGGAAGGAAGATTGCTGTAAGTGTGGTGGTTCTCTGATCAACTATCTCAACTGATATATTCTCAAACTCTTCTTCTTTCATCAGTTGATCCAATTTTGATTTCCAGCAAAATGTTCTGTTGGATTTTAATGGCGGAAGACTTGAAGGAAGATGTCTTCTGTAATAAGCTGAGTTGAACTGTGAGCATCCCACGTCCAGAGTTGAGGTTTTGAATTTGTCTTCTTGCATCCGGTTGATCATCTCCTGGTTCGATGATTGTATGAAATCGAGGAATGAAGATTGTTTACAAGATGAGAAGGAGGATGGTGATGGGCGGATCGGAGTAACATCAGGATGGTTGAAAAGGGGCTCTTGAAGAATAAGAATGTTGGTGGGATCTTTGGAACTTGGATCTTCTTTGAGTTCACCAACCGATGAGACGGGAACCAGAACGGGTGATTCGATACATGTTAAATCGGAGCTGATACTAGACGAGCGTGAGTGGGAAGATCCAGAGATGTCTTGATTTGATTTGGTGCCACTTTCTTCGACGAGCTCATCCAAGATTTCGTCACATTCTTCGCCTGACTCCTTCATGATTGCATCCAACGTGGTTCTCCAGCGAAAAGGCTTCTTTGGTGTGTTTCTGGTAGACAAGTGAGGCAGGGCTGGAGGAAGATGTCTTCGGTAGTAGGCAGAGTTGAATTGAGCGCATCCTAAATCTAGAGGTTTTGATTTTGACTTTTCTGCAAGCAACCTATTGGACGCCTCAAGGTGAGAAGCTTCTAAGAAAGCCAGAAAGGGAGAGGGGGAAGAAGTTGAGCTGAAGGTTGTAGATGCATGTTTGGGCTGAGTCGCAAGAGGTTCGAGTGCGGCTTTGACGAGGATATTAGGTAATACAGCTGATTGCGAAGAAGATTCATTTGCAAGAGGACTGATAATTATCAAAGGCTCTTTTTCGATGTTTGAAGACGAGACGGGAACTTCATCTTTGACCGAAATGGAAGGGACTGAAAAGTCCACTGATAGCTGCTCTGTGACAGAAGGCTGAGGTTCAGATGAAGGTAAAGCCAGAGGTTCACACCTCAAGCTTCTGACTTCATATCTACTAGCAGTCACAAAGGAAGTCTAAAACAAATCAAACGTCAGTACCAGAATTGATGCTCCACAAAGGAGATAAAAAGAACATACCACATTGACCGCAATTGACTTCTTAGCAACAGTCAGGATAGATGGAACAAGTTTGTTATCAAGACTTACTTGTGTACGACGAGTGATGACACTCTTGACAACATGCACTAAGTTGAGGCCAAAGTTCAAAGACAAGCTTGAGAAGTAGGACATCTTTGATGGAATACGGTTATGAAATTTGAGGTTGGAGAAGATCAAAGGGAGAGGAGATGTTGATGGTCAAGGATTCAAAGAAACACAAAAGTGCAACGATAAATGATGTGATGATGTGATGATGTGATGAAAGCTTTAAGGCTAAGATGGATAGGCTTTTGAAAATTCAGGAATTTGGATGGGTGGAAATGTGATAATGTGAGGGTAGTCAACAATAGTTGTGATGAGGAAGTATCGCGAATGGGAGAAAGCGATGTCTATTTATACGATTTGCTTGCGTACGAATTGCAATCAAGCGCGTTCTGTGACTCTGCACCTTGACTTTTGCTTCGACTACTTGTTCCTGGTGCATCAGCTTGCGATTCGACGTGTTGACCCAGTTCAATGTAGAATCTTGTGCTTTCAGGTGCACAAATCCGCTTGTGAATGTTCCAAGAGACCACTAATCTTGATGAGATACGCTGAAAGTGATAATCTCATAGCTCGAGTATTTCGAAGGAGATGCCTTCAAGTCTTTCCAGGCCACAAGTTCAACTGACGTGAAATGTGCTCGTAGTTGCTTGATCCATTTGCACATAGCCCATCATGATCCTCAGCGTGATAAAACATAAGCTTAGCCGGCTCCACAATAACATCGATCCTGGCTTGAACGCACCTCTCTTTCACAATTCGTGTTCTAATTCGTATCATGACGCATACGCAAAGACATCTTTTACTGCACAGTGCACCTAATGACGTCAAGCGTCCTGCAGACTTGTAGAACTAACAACACATCTTTGTTGGAATTCGTGATAAACGCATACGTGAGCACTGTCAATTTCAACTATGCAAGCACTGACAAAAAACAGGCAATCACTCCCAACACGACGTGACTCTTCACCCTTGATGCAGATCGGTCCAGGTGGAAATCTTCACTTCTCGCACCAACAAATCTTCAACTTCAATTATTGGACTCACAGATCGATAGAATACATAGATGTTCCATCTAATCAATCAAATCACGGTCTAATTTTTTATTACACAATGAAATGTATTTAGTTTGACCTTGAGACTCAAACAATCAAGCACGCTGCACTCTATTCTAAAGCGATTTGTTCACAAGAATCACAAACTTTAGCGGGCAAAACGAGTAAGGATCTTTGATATAACAAAAGCAATCGAGTTGCTTCAACATATGCTTAGAGTTACATCAAAACCTATCCCTGCGTCACCATACGACTATCAACGTTCAAGTCGATGTCTTTTTTTGTTTCTTTTGACGATGTATAGAAAGTAAGAAAGAAATGTAAGTAAGGCAAGGTTAAAAGTGTGTCAAACCCGTGTAAAGACGAGTCCAAAAGTAAAACTTAAAGCATGGTTCAAGGGTCATGGATCTGAAAAATTCAAGTAAGAAGTGATATGTTGCATTTTCAAAAGAGATGACAAAAAACTATTTACAAATTTTAAATTATTACATGACGAGATTGCAAAGCTTAGAGATGATAAAAACACCATTTCTACACAAATTCAATCATAATTAACGTGGTCAAACTAAACAAAATGAAAGGTCTACAGTAGACGCTAATAGGCAAGTATCTTTTGGGAAACAAACCAAAGTAGGTGTGTCCACCACTGTGATATCAGAAGAAAAGCTTGAAGAGCGGACATGAGAAGAGGATGTGTTGATAGAAGGAAGAAAGATTGCTGTAGGTTTGGAGGTCATCTGATCAACTATCTCGATTGATATATCCTCAACCCCTTCTTCTCTCATTATTTGATCCAATTTGGTTTTCCAGCAAAATGTTTTGTTGGATTTCAATGGCGGAAGACTTGGAGGAAGATGTCTTCTGTAATGAGCTGAATTAAATTGTGAACATCCCACATCCAGAGTTGAGGTTTGGGATTTTTCTTTTTGCATTTGGTTGATCATCTCTTGGTTTGATGATTGTATGAAATCCAGGAATGAAGTTTGTTTACAAGATGAGAAAGACGAGGGTGATGGGCGGATTGGAGTAACATCAGGATTGTTGAACACGGGCTCTTGAATAGTTAATGGCTTTGGAGTGTCATTTTGTTGAAGGTTCCCAAATGATGAGATGGAGGAAAGAACTGGCGATCCAATACAAGTAGTGTACGAAGAAACACTCGAAGAGCGCGAATGAGAAGAAGATGAGGTGGAAGATTCGGCAATGTCTTGATTGGATTCGGTACCACTTTCTCCAACGAGCTCATCCAAGCTTTCATCACATTCTTCGCCTGACTCCTTCATGATCTCATCTAATGTGGTTCTCCAGCAAAAAGGCTTCTTTGATTTCTTGCTGGTAGACAATTCAGGCAGGGTTGGAGGAAGATGTCTTCGGTAGTAAGCAGAGTTGAATTGAGCGCATCCCAAGTCTAAAGTTGCCGATCTTGATTTTTCTGCTAGTAACCTGTTTGATGCTTCAAGGTGTGAAGCCTCTAAGAAAGCCAGGAATGGTGACGGGGCAGAAATTGAGCTGAAGGTTGTAGGTGCTTGTTTGGGCTGAGCTTCAACCGGTTCAGGTGTGGCTTTGAGGAGGATGGTATGTGAAGAAGTCGATTGCAAAAGAGAATCATCCGTTAGAGAATTGAGAGTTTCGGAAGGTTCTCCTTCAATTTTCAAGGATGTGACGGTGAGTTCGTCTTCGAAAGATACTGAATGGACTAGGGTTTCACAGTCCGCTGATCTCTGCTCTGTGACCGAAAGCCGAGGTTCAAGTACAAAAGGTAAAGTCAGGGGTTCACACCTCAAGCTTCTGACTTCATATCTAGTAACAGTCACAAAGGAAGTCTAAAACAAATCAAAACGTCAGTATCAGCACGGATGATCCTCATGCGAGATAGAAAGGACATACCTTATTGACCGCAATCGACTTCATCGCGACAGTCAGGATACATGGATCAAGCTTGTTATCGAGACTTACTTGTGTACGAGTGATGACACTCTTGACGATACGTAATAAGTTGAGGCCAAAGGCCAAAGACGAGCTGGAAGAGTAAGACATCTTTGATGAGACACGTTTAAGAGATTTAAGAATGGAGAAGAGCTAAGATGTTGATAGTTGACTGTGACAATTGAGATTCAAAGAAACACAAAAGCGCGATGATCAATGAAGTGATGAGGTGATAGAAGCTTTAAGGCTAAGATGAATAAGTTCTTTGAAAGATAAAAATCTTTAGGAATTTGGATGGATGGAAATCTGATAAAGTGAGGGAAGTCAACAATATTTGTGATGAGGAATTATCGCGAATGAGAGAAAACGACGGGTATTTATACGATATACTTGCATGCGAATTGCAATCAAGCACTTGTTTGATTTCTTTGATTTTACTTCGCGGCCTTGTTCCTAGTGCATCAGCTTGCAATTCGACTCCTTGACCCAGTTTGATAAAGAATATGGCTTTCAGGTAACCAAATCCGCGCGTGAATGCTCCATAAGACCACTAATCTGAATAACAAATGATGAAAGGAAGAACCCAGTGATATGAGTATTGCAAAGAAGACTACTACGAAAGAAAATAATCCAGGTCACAAACTGATGTGAAATCAGCACTTCATATCTCATTTCACAAATCCTACTGGAAATGCTCAGATTGATAAACGATGAGCTTGACTGACTCTATAGAAACATTCATCCAGGTTTCAACGCATCTTTCTTTCACAATGCGCGTTCTAATTCGTATCATGACGCATACACAGAGACATCTTTTACTGCACAGTGCACCTTACGTCAGTCACTCTGCAGAATGACCTAACAACAGGTCTTTGTTGGAATTTGTGATACACGCATACAGGAGCACTGTTGATTTCAACTCTACGTAGCACATCGATGCAAACACTGAAAAATACCAGGCAATCACTCCCAAGGCAACATTACTCTCCACCCTTGAGGTAGATCGGTCCAGGTGGAAATCTTCACTTCTGCCACCAAGAGATCTTCAACGATAATTGTTAGTCTCATAGAATAGAATGATGTTATGTGCAAATCTGGTTAAATTTTTTACACAACAATCTATTCAAAGAATAAAGCTCAGCTCCTGACGCTGACAAATGGAAGGAAGCGAGAAAAGTGGAATTTGATTATCTCACCCAACATTATGTTGGTAAGCTGGTTGCTCGTCCTAAAGGTGCTAGGGTTATCGGAGGTATGTGGGTATTGAAGAAGAAGCGTGATGAGAATGGTGTTGTCTTGAAGTATAAAGCTTGTTGGGTCTGCTTTGGAAACCGACAAATTGAAGGAGTAGATTATCGTAAAAACGTATTCAGCCGTTGGTAAGACTGATACTCTACGTCTTATGGTTGCTATTACTGCGTATATGCGCTTATCAGTTATTCAATTTGACATCATGACGCATTTTTACATGGTATAATGAAAGAAAAAGTTTATATTCAACAGGTCAAAGGATTTGTGGCCCCCTGGCTCACAGGGTCCAAATTTTGCACTCACGACGTGTTAGCAAAGCTTTTTCCAAGATTGTGTCAAGATTGTTGTATGTTTGGTCCCAGGCTGCACTTTGTGCAGCTTTGGAACATGCTCTTTACACCTGGCTGGAGTTGAGCCAAGTCAATCAACAAATAATCAGTATGAGTAATACCTATCTTGATACCAAACATGTATGATTTCTTTGATAATGTGTCGTGAGTATAAAATTTGGACCCTGTGGTTGTGAAGGCATGGTTTGGCAACTTGGCAAATCTCTTTATGGAACATGTCAAGGTGCTTGAGATTTCAGCAATAATTTACAAGGTAAACTCTTATCTTTTGGTTTCAAAACATCCAAAGCGGATAGTTGTCTTTTTGTCTTTTGACACGGCAAGCATTTCATTTATCTACACATGCATGTAGATGATGGTTTTATCATTTCCAACTCCGATCCTCTCATTGAGGAGTTTTGTGTTCATCTTTTAAAATCCTACTAATTGAAATGGAAACCAAAACCAACTCTTCATCTTGGAATGCGAATTCAACATCTAAATGATGGTGCTATATCTTTGGATCAGTAACTTAAACCCAGTCAAGATTCCTTTTCCTGTTAGTCTTAAACTCAAGCTCAGCTCTCCCAAAGAAGTTGCTTTGGCTGTGTATCTTCCTTTTCAATCATTGATTGGCTTGTTAAATTGGACGGCAGTTAGCACTAGACCTGATATTGCTTATGTGGTTAGTCAATTATCACATTTTAATTCATGTTATACTTTTGAGCATTGGAATGCTGCGAAGCATATTGTACAATACATTAGGGGAACTTTGAATAAGGGTATTGTGTTTAGAGGATCTATGCCAACTGATTTGAAGGCTTTTGGGGATGCAGATTATGCAAATGATCTTATAGATAGGCGTTGGGTAACGGGTTATTTGTTTACTTTTGGAGGTGCTGTTATTTCTTGGAGTCATTGTCAAAAGTCAACTGCTTTATCAACAACCAAGTCAGAGTACATGGCGTTATCCAACTGTGCCAGACACACAATTTGGTTTAAAACATTATTTAGAGAATTAGGTTTACCAGTTTCTGCTGTTCCTATTGCGTCTGTTGGGGATGCAGTTCAACTTTTCAATGACACCAGAGGAACAGTGTTATCGTCTAAGGAACCTGTTATCAATGATAGATCTAAGCATATAGATGTCAGATATCACTTTATTAGGGATCACGTGAAACTTAGAAGCATTGTTACTAGTCATGTACCTACCATGTCCACGTCAGCGGATTTCCTTACTAAACCACTACCTTTTGACGCTTTTGAATGTTGTTGTTTCTAAGTTTCTAATGTAGAATGTTTGAGTTAGGGGGGAATGTTGCTCAAATCTGATTTAAATCAAATAAGTGTTACAGTCAATCTAGTTTTGCTTGTCCAATCAGATTTTATTTATTTATTTATTACACCAATACAGGTGATTCTATAAGCATAAACATCATATGCTTATGTGCTTTATCAGGAGTCGTGAGTCTGAACAACCACAGTTGACCACAGTCCACAGCGCTTGATTATCACAAACCTGTCCTCGACATCATCCTTTCATCCTCACACGCATTGTTCCAGCTCGATCACATCTCTCATCGTCCATCCTCACAGCCAAGGAACCTTCATGTGAGTTTTGACCAAGAGGCTTCGATTTTGGTCTCTTTGCTTTGATCCAGACCTCTCAGCTTCGATTTGAACCTTCCCGTCTTTGATTCAACCCTCTGCACACTTGATTTGATCCTGTAAAGTTCACTCCCTCAATCAAAACGTAGCTTGAAAAGAATGCTGACCTACCTTGCAATTTTATGATCCATGGAAGTTCATCAGATTGGAGTGGATTATTCAGAGCACCTTTATCAGCTACTTCTATTCTTAATAAACAATCGGCAATCAATTTTCAACTGGATGGTGAAGAAGAAAAGATGGATGGTTTGCTATCAAAAGTGTTGATCTAGGTCTTGATCGCTACCCACACAATATCAAAACAGAAGCCAAATTATAGGCATCAATCGATCACCCTAATGTTGGTTCAATCCACTCAAGCTTCTGTTCAGTTTGGATCTTGGTCTCATTTTTGAACCCTTCCTTTAGGCTTTGGATACAGCTTGTAAGCATCAATTTCTCTAGATGTTTGTTGGGCAACTTAAGAGTTCCGTTCTTATACATTTCTTCCTTAGCTTTGAATGTTTTCCATCAGATTAATTCCATTTTCTTAGTGTTTATCCTTCTTGTATTTACTCTAGCCTCAGCTTTTCATTGTAATACACAACACTTTGAAATGCAGTCTCTTCCTGTACAAATTCAATCTGAGATCAAAATGTGGATCTGATGAGACACATTGTACTCATAGGCAATGGAAAAAGTCCAGAAACTAAATTGACTATAAGACCAGGGATTTGGGAACGATGAAGGTAAATTGTTCATATCATTGATAATGAGCACTTGGATAACAGGTACAAACTCCCTATATACAAATAAGACACATATACATAGCAAGAAAAAACAATACGAGATTCACAGACCTAGACAGATCGATGTGAAGCTCTGAGCAATCATGTTAAATAGCAGTGCTGATGATTAGCAACAAAAAGTTATACTTATGAATCAGCAGTATCAACACAAATCAACGACACACAATTGATTATTGCCCCTGGGTTTGATTCAGTGAATTGGTCGGTCTCCAAAGTAGAAATGCCCGAACTGACGACTAGAGCTAGAGTTGACAAGCAGAAGGGAGTCAAAAGAAGTTAATCGTTTCAATCAGCGGGTGTTCAGCTGAGTCAAAGGACATACATAGTTTGAATCAGCAATAAGATAAGGAATCGATTTGATGAAATTGAAGGTATCTGATGAACGGACCAGGATATTGAACCCGCTGGAAAGATAAGGAAGATATTTAGAAATCAGAGGATTGATATCATTATGAGAAAGACATTCAAGGAGCTTACTTGAGTCAAAGCCAGGATATTACAGTCGAGACCAAGAGGGTAAGATCACGGATGAAATCTTGAGAGATATCCTCAATTCTCAAAGGATATGGTGAGGTAGAGAGAAGGGATTGGACAATTCAAGTGATCCATGGATGGGTTTGGAGGCGATGGATTGGTGCTGATTAGTTAGCAGCACCGATCGTGATTGGTGGACAGCCCCCTTCAATTGGATACACTTCAATCACGATTGAAGGCTATGTATGCTTATAAAATGGCCTGTATTGATGAGAAAATAAAAAATAAAAAATCGGAATGGACAAGCAAAACTGGAATGACTGTATGTGTTTTGTTTTTGTTGTCTGTTTATGTTACATTTGATTTGTTGTATGATCATCCTACGTGATGATATTTCTTATTTGATTTTTTTATCTTGTGTGTTTTGTTAACTCTCACGGTTATTTTTCTCTCTTGACTATAAGAACCTTCCTGAGTCACCAGTTGCTTCGTACATTATCTGTTCAAAGCTTCATCATCTGATACACAAGCTAATTTGAATGTGCTTGTGCATGCTGGTTGACTCATAGGTTAGTTTCTTTTTGTGCTATGTTTTCTCTCTAGTTATGATTTCTTTATTGTTTGTGTGGCCTTTATGTGTTAAAGAAATACATGATCTGTTCAAAGCTTCATAATCTGATACACAAGGTAACTTAGATGTGCTTGTGCATCCTGGTTGACTCATATTACTAGTAATTGATATATGTGGTCTTTTGCACTTTGGGAATAATACTTATAATAGTATTGAGTTATTTCTCTGGGGCCTTTATCTTTTTCTCAGTTATTGCAAAGTGGTCAGCAAGTGCCTTGTGCTGGTTTCTTTGAAGAAGACAGTCTTTGGGCAACTTCTACTAGTCATACATCAGTAGATTCTCCCTTCTTAGGTGTTATAAAGCTCTTGTCGAGCTTTAAATATTATAACATACCTTCCGCTCCAGCAAGGTCACACTATCTTGATTTCCAAATGTGAGCTCCGTTGGTACATCCCCAAAATTCTCATTTCTCCACTGCTCAAAAATCACACTTATCAAACCCTCATGTTCTGATAATGCAAGGAGGCCCAGGCTTGACATCTCCAATGGTCTGCTTTCAAATATTTATTACCTCATACAGTTATTAAAGTATCATGGTAAGACCATCTGAGGATAACCCTGGGGTTGTACAAGAAATCACACCAGACTGCTGTGGCCAAAACCCAAATTTGGACAGAACAAGGCAACAAGAGCGGACCAAACCTTGAAATAGCTTCAGCCAAAGTTTTAGCAAAATATTAGTTTTGTAAAGCTATAAAGCTGTGATTTTCAGCAAGCCCACCTAGTTGACGCTGTGGCTGGAGCTGAACCATGTTCTTGGCATGATTGCAATCAAATCAAGCCAGCAAGCTTTGAATGAGACCACACATCTTGTACTCTAAAGCAGGCTCAGGCTATGAACCTCAAGGTGAATCAACAATTTATGTGATACATTGCTGCTTTAGTCTTGGTGTGATTACTTATGTTGTGAGGACTGGTTGTGAGGTTCGCTAAGAATGTTTTGACCCATTCATCAAGGATGTTGTTGTGGTAATTAGGTTACATTGGTACTTTTTATTTTTTTCATGTGAGTATTTGTTAGGTTAATTTATCTCTTTTGTCTTATTGGGTCAAGGATTTCTGGTTACATCATTTCAATTCAGAAGTTCATTTAGAATGAAGAAAGAAGACTAGTGAAATTCAAATTTGGGAAGAATTTTACAAATAAGGATGTTACATGATTAGGATAGTAATGAAGATGTAAAATAGTTCTCTTTTGGGAATAAGTTGTATGAGACTTGAGCTTTTCTTTTTGTCTAATTTGTAATGAATGTGTATGTGTGTCCGGGTCGTTTGTTGGTTAAATATAGTTACTACCATCACTCACCCAGATTCTTTTCCTTTACCAAAAAGAATCTGTAAGTGATTTCATCATATACTTGTTTAACCTCATTAAAGTCTAATACATGTCTTTTCAACTTATAGTATTACTCAGTTTTTCCTTACACTTGTATCTCTTGATCTTGTACATCATTCCTGTTGCTTGTGCACAGGTTTGTCAGTTTTTCTCTTTCTCTATTTTGTGGGTTGTTAGTTTTGTCATCTGATTAGCTCTATTTAGCTTCTGTGGCTTGTTGCTGTACTCACACTTACCTGATTACCCCAGGTAATAGGTATGCAGAGTCTACTTGATCAAAAAGAATCTATTACTCAGTTTTTGCTTACACTCATATCTCTTGATCTTGTATATCATTCCTGTTGCTTGTGCACAGGTTTATCATTTGATTAGCTCTATGTAGCTTCTGTGGCTTGTTGCGGTAGTCACACTTACCGGATTACCCCAGGTTCCAATTTTATCCGGCAACACCACTTTTGCTCACTTGAGTGAATCAAATCTGATCTCCACAGATGTAACTCCTCAGGCTCAGAACAAAGCTGTCTTTAAAGTTTATGGTCTTGGAGTAAGAGCCTTGTTGGGACTGGACATGAACAATGTTCCTGGCATGATTTCATTCAAACCGAGGTAAAGTTATACCACTGCTTTCTTTTGCATCACTTAAGTGGGCAATCTTGGCATCTGCACTCCTTAACCACTGTGAACAAAATACTGGTACGTTTCTCATATCAGTTCTCATTGTCATGCAGTGGTTGCGGCTCCAAATGATTAATGCAGACATTTTGGTGTCAGGTTGTTAAGCAGGCCAGGCTCAGCCAATGCATTGTTGTTATGTTCCTCATAAAGTGCAAACTATATCTTGGTCATATCAATCATTAATGTAATGAAACCCTTTCTGAGGCACAGCATCAGAATGACATGTGCATGAATTTGGCCCCAGATGCTCTTTTTGTGATAAAATAAGAACAACTCATGATAGTCAATTTTTGAGAGTGGTCCATTGGAGATAATGAGCCTGTGCTTCTTTTGTATTATGAGCACATGGAGGTATGATAAGTATAATTCTTGAGGAACAGAGAAATGAGAAGTTTTGGCAATGTAGTACACCAACAGATCTCACGCTTAAAAATCAAGATAATGTGTAAGCCTCTTGCTGGAGCAGAAGGTATGTGCCAGTGATAGGACTTATTAATGTTGCCGCCCAAGCAGTTGAGGCAGGGACTTACGGCTAAAGTCATAATTCTCAACTCACAACAGCAGAATTTTCAGCCTTTTTTCATTTTTGCCCATTACAAGGGTCTTAGACCTCAAATAATCACTCATCCAGCCACTCATAGCTTCCTTAACATCTTGCACATCTCCTGCTGCTGGTATCAGATTGACACTGCCGGTAGATTCACTGCTATCTTGATTCCAGGGCACTATGTTTTGGCGGCTTCAAGTACGCCTTGAGGGGTCCTGTATTGAATTAAGTGTTACAGCTATAAGTTCTTACAACTCTTCTGAGTGAGTTTGATGAACAAAATGTCTGCTGAAAAGTGCATGGTGACATGTAGAAGTCTTAAGAGAAAACCATACCAGCTGCAAGCATGATTTTATGAAGTCTGTGACCCTCATAATTAAAAATTAAGGAAAACCACCCAAAAGTTCTGATGTTCTGTTGAAAACTATGACTTTAGCTGTAAGAGCACCCACTATGGGTGCGTTAACGAGGTGATTTAGCGTTACCGTAACGCTAAAATCCAGACAGGTCCACTACGGACCTGTTTTAGACATGCAGTCCGTACTGCTGCGTTAAATCTTGCACCCCGCGTGCTCATATCTACGCAAGCCTACAACTTGATTTATCGTACGATAATCGGTCAACAACTGCCTTTTCCAAAACATCAAATCCCAAACTCCACAATTCAAGACTTCAAATCTCAACGTTCAAACCTCGACACCTCAACTTCAAAGTTCAAACTTGAAAACTTATATAGTTTCCGAGCACGTTGAGTGCAGTCTTGATAAGTCTCGATCAATTCAGATTTGAGTGCGAGGAAGCGGAGGTGGTATGCGAGGTTTATCAAACAAGAAGTCAAGACTAGTTGATGTTATTATTGTTGTTCCTATTGCTATTTGAAGACTTCTGAGATAATTGATCTTTGGGAAATGATTATGAGGAATGTGATGATTCATTTCAAGATCATACCACTGTGGATCTGGTTGACTCACAGTGATTTATCGTTGGTAAATCAGGTTGTAAAGCAGCTCATAGTGGATTTTATCAGTTTACTAATTTAGTTGTTACACGCGTGATTAAATTTCCCGGTTGGGACCGCAAAATTTACGATAAAACACGCCCACCATAGTGGGTGCTCTAAGTCCCTCTCTCAACTATGTACAGCCCTTTGCAGAATTGATGACTTTGGAAAAAGAGAAAACGCTTGAGTTTTCAAAAAAACCTGCGAGTTTTTTTCAAAAACTCATCGAGTTTTTCAAAAACTGAGCGAGCTCTTTTTCTTTTAGACTTACTGAGCCAGGTTTCCAAAAAAAACTCACTGACTTTTTGAAAAACTCAGCAGCTTTTTGACAAAACTCAAGGTTTTTTATTTGAAAACTCAATGTTTTTTTTTCTTCAAAGTCATCAATTATGCAAAGGGCTGTACTTGGATGACAACCAAAAAGACCCATGCTTGAAACAAAAAATCTTTAAAAACAGAAAAAAATCAGAAAAAAGGATTTTTCACAAGACATTTCAATTTTCAAAAAAATAATTAATTATTCATAACCTTCACCCCCCCAAAAGAATAAGAAATCATAGACATTTCAACCAAAGAAAAAACCAAACCAACTTTTTTTCCACCAATGATTTTTTTGACTCTTCTATTATATGTAAATAAAGTACTACACTTTCAACGAAACCAAAACATGATTACAAAACCAAAACACTGCGAAAAAAAAGAAAAAAAGTAATGGTTTAATTTTTTCAGTTCAAAAAATCAATTAAAGAAAAACTTTCAACTATTGCATTCACCTACAATGCACACCTCTTAAAATGTTGAAAATGTAAAATGTTTATAAAGTAAAGTAATTTTTTTCTTTGAAATCAGGCTTTCAATAAACTTTGTTATGACATACAAAGATAAAAAAAAACATATAACGCAAAAAAACACAAAAAACACACAACACACAGAACAAGCACAAACACAACACACAAATCATAAAGAATAAAGATAAACAAAGCAGTTTAAAAAAATTGTCTTCTAATATTCACAGAAAGAAAAAAAAACAATCACTTCAACAATTGATTTGATTTGATTTGATTTGATTTGATTTGATTTGAATGTAACAGATTTTTTATGGTTTTTTTGCTTCTGATGAAAGTTTCCATTTAAAAAAACTCTTTTGATTTTTTTTTTCGTGATACAGAATATTGTTGAACAAAGACTTTGTTATATATATATATATAATTTTGTTAAGAAAAAATCGAAACCCTTATTTGACTTCTACCAACACACACACACTTAAACACAGAAAAGATTGATTTATACTAGAATCGAAATACGGTTTTTTTCTTTTTTTTTCTTTTAAGGAAAATCAAATCTCTAATTCGAAAGGTGCATCATCATCATTATACAAATCTCTTAATCGGTTCTGATTCTGATTCTGATGAGTAGAATGATACCGATCTTGTTGAGGATGAGAATGAAGAGAGGATTCAAAACTTTCTTCTTCTTCTGTAGCTCGATAAGCATCAAATCCAAAACTAACATTCCTACTCAAAGGTGAACTATTCGTATATAACGGTCTACCAATCGCTGTACTACTGTTACTGATCCCATTAAATGCAGTAGTAGTAGTCGAATGACTAGAAGAATTCAACCCTGCAAGTCGTTGGGATAGAGCTGAAGGCATTCGTAAGTTGTTTCCATTGAATTCATCAGAACTTTTTAAGGATGGATTGAAATATGTCGAAGTGGTGGTCGTGCCAAAAGTTGAATTAGATGCAGGAGGTGACACCGTTCCATCCCGACCGAATGGATCATGACCATTAGCAAAACCAGAGATGATACTGTTACTTGAAGGAGAACAGGAAGGGGTCAGACCAGTATGTAAAGGTGGTTGGAAGTGTAATCTAGATAAACCAGCAGCAAGTCCTTGAGGTAAACTACTACCCGGTTCATGACCATAGATTTGATTATCTTGTCTAGAAGATGAGATTAGAGAAGGTGAAAGGGTTTGAGTGTGTTGATTGATTTCTACATTTTGATGAACCGTTTGCCAGCTGTCCATGTTATGGGATGGTGGAATGTATGAAGATGATAACTGAGTATGACCTTGACCTCGAAGCGTCGAAGCTGATGTTTCTCTCTGATGAGCAAGCATCAAGTTAGGTGGAGATCTACTACAAACTGACAAGCTAGGTAAAGGTGAAACAGAAAGTGATGGAGGATCCTGAAGAACGATAGCCGGTCGAGGAAGTCCAGATAAGGACTTGTTGATAGGATGATCAACAGGCACCGATTGAGAAAACAATTGATGAGTATGTTTTCGTAAGTGTTGACGCTGTCGTTCTTCAGGTGTCAAAAGAGAATGTAAGGAAGACGGCAAAAGCTCGGTGACATCGTCTTCAGCGTCCAAATGGTTCCAAATCGTACCGTCATCTGAATGAGGATGATTATTTGCAAACGAAGGTTGACGAGGACTAGCACCAACGGACGGAGCACGTTTTGGGAAACCATCCTCTGAACTGAAGGATCCAGACCTAGGAAGGAAAACGCTTCGAGAACCAGGTGCTGAGAAGGGTGAGCCGTAGCCAAAGGGGCTCGGACTCTGATCACGAGGTCGAGCAGGACTTCTGGCAATAGAGATCCGAGGTTGAGCTGGTGAGACAGGACGAGAGTTGTAGGCGTAAGAAGGGTGATCACCAAAGACATCGGTAGTCAGATGAGTTTGAATAGGAGAAGGAACGGCCACTGGATAGTTGGCCGGATGAGCATGCTGGGGGGAAAGCGGATAACCAAGATGATGAGATCGAAGGCTAGGGTGAGTGAAATCATCTGGTAGACCAAATTCGAGTTCATCGGTTAGATTAGGAGTCTGATCGCCATCGAAATCAGAGAGTAGATGAGAATGTAAGTTGATTGAGTTGAGATGCGAATGGTTGGAATGAACAGGATCCGATTGACCATAATCACTAGGATCGGTTGAATCAGAGTGAGCATTAGCTGAATGTTGATTGTGATGAAAGCTCAAATCGTGAGGTGAACCCGAGAGCGGATGATGTTCGTTTGCGTTTGCTAGTACAGTATTGATAGGAGCAGCAGCTTCACGAGCAGCAGCTTGAGCAGCACGCTTGTTTTTTCGATCCATCGACATGGGTTGACCAGGAAGGATGTGAGCCTGAAGATAGATATAGAAAAGATAATAGCAGAAACCCAAAAGACAAAAAGTTAAGTGTGATCCGAAAAGAAAGATAGCATAGATAAGGATAATTGAAGAGACGTACAAGAGCACATTTGTGTGCAAAACGACAATTGCCTTTGACAAACCATTGACAGACCGGTTTACCTTGACCTACCTCTGGTAGATTATGAGAAAATTGACAAGCACTACCAGCGGAGCAATTACCAGCCTATAGATAAGAACCAAAACAAACATAAGTTTAAATCAAGAATAGATTAGAATTGAGTCAATATGAATGAATGTTAAAAGATTGATACCTTGTAAAACTTGCAAATGACATGAGAAACCTTTGAACCTGGTTTTTTACTCGATTCCGTTAAAGCAGATTGAGGAGAAGATTTAGTAGTAGGAGTTTTAGGTGCAGGAGACCAAGGAGAGGAAGGAGGATCTTTAGGAGAGTTGAGTGGTTGATCTTGACGATGTTGATGTTTATGTTTTTGAATGAGTAACTTTTCTGGAGTGACAAAAGAAGTTCTTCTAGACTTGTTTTTATGATCAAGTTGATCATTGACCATATTTGAATCCACCAAAGCCGGTGAAGGAGATTGAAGAGTGGTCATGAAGCACTATATAGAAAGTGATGAAGAATGAGAAAGATTCTTTAGGGATCTGTGATTGATTTGATTGATGAGAAGTTAAAGATCAAAACCTCGAATTGAACTTTTTTGAAGAAAGGAACCAATCAACACTCAACACTCAACACCAAAGAGAGGAAGGAAGAGCTTTTAATGATGAAGGAAATACGAAAACTGTAAACCAAATTAAAAAAAAAAAAGATTCAAATCCAAAATACAGATCAAATTATGACATGACAGCTTATCTATGTACACTTAACCATCACTTAATACATATCTAGCACTCAGCACTCAGGAGACAGAGTCAGAGACAAGGAGAAAAAGGAACGAAGATGGTCATCAAGATACAAAACAGTCAGCTGATTATGTCATCGATCAATTCTCATCTTTATAGTAGTTCATCTTCATCTTCATCCAAACAGTTTTCAGTTGATCATGAAAGAAACTCACTGACCAATCCGTAAATTCTTCATCGAATCACTAATTTTCTATTTCGATTTCTTTTACTTTCTTTCAATCGAATTGACTGATTGATTTCTTGGTTCACATTCATCATCTGAACTTGACTAAAATAACAAACATCAAGATCATATGACTCTAGCTATCTACTATATCGCGGTGATACCGCATATCCTTTTAATTCACATCTTCCCTTTGGATTTACTCCTCCCTTTTCATCTTGGGGTGATATTCGATCAAAGCTTTCTACAACATACTTTGATACGGTCCCGGATCGATCACCATTTTTTTGGTAAACGATCATGGATTTCATCATGTCTTTTGTTTTTGGTGAAATTTTACTATCTTAGGCTATCCTCAAATATACGGCTTGTTGAACCGTGTGTTAGGTTGGTCCAAGTTGTTTTAACCTGCGAATTGGTAACAGAGCGGTACATGTTTACCAGTCCTAAAGATCCTCACTTTTCTCTTTCTATCAATTAAAGTTTAACGTTTCTTATGAAAAGAAATCAAGAACTTTCTGATCCTAGAATCTCTACAGCACCAAATGTAGTAGAGACCAACAAGAGGGCGCTTTATTTCCTGTGTCATCAACTCAAGATTATTTACATGTATGCGATATCTCATCGTGTTCAAAAGAGATTTAACAAGATCTTTCTTTTCCCGTCACTTAGAACTTGGAATATCTTATCAACAAATTTCACCTTTGATTCTGATGCAGTGGAGTTTGAAGTGCGCTTTATATCCTGTGTCGTTTCAACGTGTTCCAACTTAATTTAGATAGTCATAGAATTCAATGAGATAAATGAATAATTTTCAAGGATTTTGTTAGACTCAGACCATTTACACCGCAGTGAGGATTTTCATCTCGACTGATTTCCATACGAACGATGGGGATCTTACTCGCGAAAAAGTTTAAGCCCTGAAGATGTTTCTGACTGGATTTTTTGACACAGGTTTGCATTGAATTATCACACATCCGAACTGACGATTCAGGTGAACGGGTGGAGATATGGAACCAACGTTTAGATGGACTGATGAAGATATGCTCTGTAGTTTGGATGGAGTGGTTAAGGTTCATAGGCCGCTATGCAGTCTCTGTGTATGCGTCGTGATACGAAATTGAATCCGAATCGTGAAAGAAAGATGGGTTCAAGCCTGGATGAATGTTTCTATAAAGTCAGTCAAGCTCATCGTTTATCAATCTGATCGTTTCCAGTAGGATTTGTGAAATAAGATGAAGTGCTGATTTCACATCAGTTTGTGACCTGGATTATTTTCTTTCGTAGTGGTCTTCTTTGCAATACTCGTATCATTAGCTTCTTCCTTTCATTGTTTGTTATTAAGATTAGTGGTCTTATGGAGCATTCACGAGCGGTTTTAGTTGCCTGAAAGCGATATTCTTTATCAAACTGGGTCAAGGAGACGAATTGCAAGCTGATGCACTAGGAACAAGGCCGCGAAGTAAAATCAAAGAGAAATCAAAGGCAGTGCTCGATTGCAATTCGTACGCAAGCAGATCGTATAAATACACGTCGTTTTCTCTCATTCGCGATAATTCCTCATCACAAATATTGTTGACTTCCCTCAATTTATCAGATTTCCATCCATTCCAAATTCCTAAAGATTTTTATCTTTCAAAGAACTTATTCATCTTAGCCTTAAAACTTCTATCACCTCATCACTTCATTGATCATCGCGCTTTTGTGTTTCTTTGAATCTCAATTGTCACAGTCAACTATCAAGATCTTAAATCCTCTCCATTCTTAAATCTCTTAAACGTATCTCATCAAAGATGTCTTACTGTTCAAACTCGTCTTTGGCCTTTGGCCTCAACTTATTACGTATCGTCAAGAGCGCCATCACTCGTACTCACGTAAGTCCCGACAGTAAGCTTGTTCCATGTATCCTAACTGTCGCGATGAAATCAATTGCGGTCAATAAGGTATGTTCTTTTTATCTCCATTGTGGATCGTCTTTATCTTTACTGATGTTTGGTTTGTTTTAGACTTCCTTTGTGACTGTTACTAGATATGAAGTTAGAAGTTTGAGGTGTGAACCTCTGACTTCACCTTTTGTACTTCAACCTCGGCTTTTGGTCACAGAGCAGAGATCAGCGGACTGTGAAACTCTAGTCCATTCAGTATCTTTCGAAGACGAACTCACCGTCACATCCTTGAAAATTGAAGAACCTTCCGATGAAACTCTCAGTCCTCTTAAGAATGATTCTCTTTTGCAATCGATCTTATCACCGACCATCCTCCTCGAAGCCACACCTGGACCGGTTGAAGCTCAGCCCAAACAAGCACCCACAACCTTCAGCTCAATTTCTGCCCCGTCACCATTTCTGGCTTTCTTAGAAGCTTCTCACCTTGAAGCATCAAACAGGTTACTAGCAGAAAAATCAAGATCGGCAACTTTAGACTTAGGATGCTCTCAATTCAACTCTGCTTACTACCGAAGACATCTTCCTCCAACCCTGCCTGAATTGTCTACCAGCAAGAAATCAAAGAAATCTTTTTGCTGGAGAACCACATTAGATGAAATCATGAAGGAGTCAGGCGAAGAATGTGATGAAAGCTTGGATGAGCTCGTTGAAGAAAGTGGTACCAAATCAAATCAAGACATCACCGAATCTTCCACCTCATCTCCTTCTCATTCGCGGTCCTCGAGTGTTTCTTCGTACACTACTTGTATTGGATCGCCAGTTCTTACCTCCATCACATCATTCGGGAAGCTTCAACAAAAAGACACTTCAACAACAATCACTATTCAAGAGCCCCTTTTCAATCATCCTGGTGTTACTCCAATACGCCCATCACCCTCGTCTTTCTCATCTTGTAAACAAACTTCATTCCTTGATTTCATACAATCATCGAACCAGGAGATGATCAACCGGATGGAAAAAGAAAAAATCGAAAATTCGACTCTGGACGTTGGGTGTTCGCAGTATAACTCAGCTTATTATAGACGACGTCTTCCTCCAAGTCTTCCGCCATTAAAATCCAACAAAACATTTTGCTGGAGATCAAAATTGGATCAAATAATGAGAGAAGAAGAGTTTGAGGATATATCAGTTGAGATAGTTGATCAGAGTACCACCAAACCTACAGTGATCTGTCTTCCTTCTATCTACACCTCCTCTTCTCATGTCCGCTCTTCAAGCTTCTCTTCTGATATCACAGTGGTTGACACCTCCACTTTGGTTTCTTTCCCAAAAGAGACTGGTCTATCACCATCTACTGTAGAAATTTCATTTTGTTTAGTGTGATCACATTGATCATGATTGTGTAGCATTGGTGTTTTTCTTATCTCTCTAAGCTTTTCAATCTCGTCATGTAATAATTGAAAATTTGTAAATAGTTTTTGTGACCTCTTTTGAAAATGCAACATATCACTTGTTACTTGAATTTTTCAGATCCATGATCACTCATCCACTTGAACATTGCTTTAAGGTTTACTTTCGGACTGCGCTTTGTGTGGGTTTGACACACTTTTAACCTTGCCTTACTTACATTTCTTTCTTACTTTCTATACATCGTCAAAAGAAACAAAAAAGGACATCAACTTGAAAGTTGATAGTCGTATGGTAACGCAGGTATAGGTTTTGGTGTAACTTTGAGCATATGTTTAAGCAACTCGATTGCTTTTGTTATATCAAAGATCCTTACTTGTTTTGCCAACTAAAGTTTGTGATTCTTGTGAACAAATCACTTTAGAATAGAGTGCAGCATGCTTTATGCTTCGAGTCTCAAGGTAAATAACCAGATTGACACATAACATTCAGGTATTCTATTGATCCGTGAGACCAATAATTGCAGTTGAAGATCTCGAGGTGGCAGAGGTGAAGATTTCCACCTGGACCGATCTGCATTAAGGGTGGAGAGTAACGTCGCCCTAAAAGTGATTGCCTAGGATTTTTCAGTGTTTGTATTGATCGGCGACATAGAGTCGAAATCGACAGTGCTCCTGTGCGTTTATCACAAATCTTGGCAAAGATTTGTCATTGCACGGTAGACTGAAATATATCGTTGGGCCTACAAGTCTGCAGGACGCTTGATGTCATTAGGTCCACCGTGCAGTGAATGATGTCTTTGTGTATGCGTCATGATACGAATTAGAACACGGATTGTGAAAGAAAGATGCGTTGAAACCTGGATTCATGTTCCTGTGGAGCTGGCTCAGCTTGTCTTTTATCACGCTGAGGATTTGTATGGGCTTTGTGAAAAAGGATCAAGCAACTACGAGCACATTTCACGTCAGTTGTGGCCTGGAAAGGCTTGAAGGCGTCTCCTTTGGAATACTGGGGCTATGAGATTATCACTTTCAGTGTATTTCATCAAGATTAGTGGTCTCTTGTAACATTCACGCGCGAGTTTGTGCGCCTGAAAGCACACGATTCTACCTCAGACTGGGTCAACACGTCTAATCACAAGCTGATGCGTCAGGAACAAGGAGACGAATCCAAAGTCAAGGTGGAGGCAAAGACCGCGCTTGATTGCCATTCGTACGCAAGCAAATCGTATAAATAGACGTCGCTTTCTCCCATTCTCGATACTTCCTCATCACAACTATTGTTGACTACCCCCACTTTATCACATTTCCACCCATCCAAATTCCTGAATTTTCAAACGCCTATCCATCTTAGCCTTAAAGATTTCATCACATCATCACATCCCTTATCGTTGCGCTTTTGTGTTTCTTTGAATCTTCAACCATCAACATCTCTTCTACCTTTGATCTTCTCCAATATCGAATCTCATAAACATATCTCATCAAAGATGTCTTACTGTTCAAACTCGTCTTTGGCCTTTGGCCTCAACTTATTACGTGTCTTCAAGAGTGTCATCACTCGTACACAAGTAGGTCTCGATAACAAACTTGTTCCATCTATCCTGACTGTCGCTAAGAAGTCAATTGCGGTCAATGAGGTATGTTCTTTTGTCTCCTTTGTGGAGCATCCATTCTGGTACTGACGTTTGATCTGTTTTAGACTTCATTTGTGACTGCTACTAGATATGAAGTCAGAAGCTTGAGGTGTGAACCTCTGACTTTACCTTCATCTGAACGTGAGCCTTCTGTCACAGAGCAGCTATCAGTGGACTTTTCAGTCCCTTCCATTTTGTTCAAAGATGAAGTTCTCGTCTCGTCTTCAATCATCAAAGAAGAACCTTTGAAAATTATCAGTCCTCTTGCGAATGACTCTCTTTCGCAATCAGCTGTATTACCTAATATCCTTGTCGAGGCCGCACTCGAACCTCTTGCGACTCAGTCCAAACACGCACCTACAACCTTCAGCTCAACTTCTGCCCCCTCTCTATTTCTGGCTTTCTTAGAAGCTTCACACCTTGAGGCATCAAACAGATTACTAGCAGAAAAATCAAAGTCAGAACCTCTAGATTTAGGATGCGCTCAATTCAACTCTGCCTACTACCGAAGACATCTTCCTCCAGCCCTGCCTCGATTGTCTACCAGCAAGAAATCAAAGAAGGCTTTTTGCTGGAGAGCCACGTTGGATGCAATCATGAAGGAATCAGGCGAAGAATGTGATGAAATCTTGGATGAGCTCGTCGAGGAAAGTGGTACTGAATCAAATCGAGACATCTCCGGATCTTCCACCTCATCTTCTTCTCATTCGCGCTCTTCGAGTGTTTCTTCGTACACAACTTGTATTGGATCGCCAGTTCTTACCTCCATCTCATCATTCGGGCAACTTCAACAAAAAGACACTTCAACAACAATCACTATTCAAGAGCCCATTTGCAATCATCCTGATGTTACTCCAATACGCCCATCACCCTCATCTTTCTCATCTTGTAAACAATCTTCATTCCTGGATCTCATACAATCATTGAACCAGCAGATGATCAACCGGATGGAAAAAGAAAAATTTGAAAAATCGACTCTGGATGTGGGATGTTCACAATTTAATTCAGCTTATTATAGAAGACATCTTCCTCCAAGTCTTCCGGCATTAAAATCCAACAAAACCTTTTGCTGGAAATCAAAATTGGATCAAATGATGAAAGAAGAAGGGGTTGAGGATATATCAGTTGAGATAGTTGATCAGAGTACCATCAAGCCTACAGTGATCTGTCTTCCTTCAATTAACACCTCTTCTTCTCATGTCCGCTCTTCAAGTTTTTCTTCTGATATCACAGTGGTGGACACACCTACTTTGATATCTTTTCCAAAAGATAGTTGTCTATTACCGTCCACTGTAGAGCTGTCATTTTGTCTGGTTTAATCATGTTAATCATGATTGAATGTGTGTAGCAATGGTGTTTTTCTTATCTCTAAGCTTTGAAATCTCGTCATGTAATAATTTAAAATTTGTAAATAGTTTTTGTCATCTCTTTTGAAAATGCAACATATCACTTGTTACTTGAATTTTTCAGATCCATGACCCTTGAACCATGCTTGAAGTTTTTATTTCGGACTGGGCTTTGTATAGGTTTGACACACTTTTAAGCTTGCCTTACTTTTCATACATGGTCAGAAAGTAAAAAAACAGACGTTAACTTGAAAGTTGATAGTCGTATGGTAACGCAGGGATAGGTTTTGATGTAATATGTTGAAGTAAATCAATTGTTTTGTTATAATCAAGATCCTTACTTGTTTTGCCCACAAAAGTTTGTGATTCTTGTGAACAAATCACTTTAGAATAGAGTGCAGCATGCTTGATTGTTTGAGTCTCAAGGTAAAACTAAATACATTTCATTGTGTAATAAAAAATGGGGCCCGAGATTTTTGCAGACTACGATTTACAGACATTAATGTACGTAAAATGTGTGTGCTGTAAAAATCCACATTGTCCCGGTGATTATTGAATTTTACAGCCATTCTCAAAAATGGAACGATTGCAAGGCTGAAGCGCTGTAAGTTATTGAATGCAAATTTGTAGTGAGGGCAATCAAAATTATAATTTTGCAGTGGTTTTTCCCGAAAATTTGCAGACATTATTGTATGTAAGAAAAAGACGGATGCAAAAGTCGATAATCGCCACCTTTTATGCAACTTTGCGGCTTTTCGTTTCCAACCTTTTTGCTCCGTTACAAAAGACGTCTGCAAATTTGTGACTCACAAGCGTAATATTGAAATTTACAGCACATCTTCCGCACATAAAATCGAAAGTCAAATTTCACAAGTCATAGCAGATGCGCCGCTGAGGGAGTTTGTCTCATTATGATGCCTTGATCACTCGTGTATCAACTTGTGTATCACACAAACAAAATGCTTTTCACCGAAGATGAATGATTTTATTATGAATGGGGATGTATTTACGGATTTGATAACATTATCAATTTATAACTGGAAGGAGAAATGACAACCAAACTATCCTCTTCTACGTTTTGACTTCCTCACGGTGCCATCATCCGACCCTTCTTGGCTTTCTGCTACATCAGTCTGCACAGTCTCGGCTTCGACTATTGCCCACCCTTTCCAACCCTTGGGTTTTTTTTGTTCAGCTGTCAAAGCAACAAGACGTGAGCTGAGCATGCCCGTAATTGATGAAACGTGAAAACGAAAAAAAGGATATGGGATCCTCACCAGGTTTTTCTGCACCTATCACACCCTTTGCCTTTTTTTGCACTCTTCAAAGTGACTTTGCCCCTGCGCCTACGCGCATTGGAACTCTCTGCAAGAAACACAATTAGTATTTGTAATACATTTACGGTAGGTAAGTGTATTACCCCACCTTTCTTCTCTCGTGGACTGTCGGACAACACCAAAACCGCAGATCCTTGTCCTTCCAACTCTTCCTCAACAGGCGCTTGGGATTGGGGGTCGGTACCTACCATAACCTTCTTCGGAACCTCATCTTCGTCTGTTTCCGATATCAATATCTTGTCCATCTCTTCCTGTGTCATTGGGGCTTGATAATCATCTGAATCTTTAAAACAAATGCATTAGAACTCCCAGCCACGAAATAATGACAAAATAGAAGTCATATTTGACTCACCTTCCTCTGATCCAGGCGCTTTTTTGACCTGACTGGTAGTTTGTGAGAAAGGGATATCACCTTGAGGATTCGGATTTGATTTGGTTATCCTCGCTTTGGCGGCCTCAATGATAACAGATTCGTCCGCAGTTGGTTCTCGCGAATACATTGCCCAGCTTGTTTTTGGGCAAGCCCCACCAATAGATTCCAACTCCCTACTGATCAAGGTCGCATTACCCTGGTTTTCCAAGTCGTTGTGGTACCACACGCCAGCTAGGCCTCCCACGGTACGTACCACTTGACACCAAAAGTGTCCACCTGACCAAAAACCACGTGCCCGCATGAAGTAGGATATTCCATATAATTTTAACCCGTAAGGTAATAAACACTCATCCTGCATCTTCACCATGTCTGATATTCGTGATTCTGAAACCAAAAAACTGGAAAGTTCCAGATGAACGTAAAGGTGAGGAGGTGGAGTGTTCGGCTCGAAAGAAATTTGGGTCCGCTCGACGAAAGGAGGAGGGCGTTTGTCAGATTTCTTACAGAGCTGACAATGACGATTTGATAAACCTCGAATTCCTGCTGCCGATGCCCATTGTGCCAGCAATTCGGGGGTTTGTGCGTAAGTGAACTGGTTTTCGAAGTCTTGAGGACACAAGTTGATAGTGTTGGTCGGAACGGTTTTGTTAAGGCGATGTGATGCATCACGGGAGCAAACCAGCTTCCGTAGTCTGTTCAGACGGAAGAGAGTCCTTGTAGGACCTGGAACAGCCACCGCTTTATCTCTGGGATCAAAGATTAACTCGAAAAAGGTGTCGGCAGATGCGAATTGATCCGTGGGGAAGCTAGCAGAAGCTGCTTGAGCGGCAGCATGGATTGAGTTCTGTCCCAAAGACAGAATGGTTCAAATGCTACCATTCTGTGACATTTCCCAAGTTGTCCGCGACAATAGCACCTTCATGAACTTCGTGTAGATGTGGCCTGATTTACCTTTGGAGCCGTGAAACCAGAGGGGTGTGTGGAGAGCATGCAGGCACTCGACAATTGCATCAAGCCAGCATCTGTTCTGGCAGCCTGCAGTGTTTGACACATAGAATCCTTGAAAAGTGGTGACCGGATTCCAATCAATGTTGACAGACCCAACAGGTCTTCCGAGTTTTTTGCTACCTTTGCTACCTTTGGTCCCTAAAAGAGCATTGGTAGTGTCGGGAGCACGACCATCGTTGTGTTTATCTTTGCGGTTGCGGTTTTTCTTGGACCATCCTAAGGTCTCGGCCACTTTCTGATAGTTCTTGGTTGACCCGTATTCGATTGCGACACCTCGAAGTAGATCAGTATGATCACGTTGAAGGCTGGAGACCAAAGCGTAGAGTTGCACCAATCCTACCTGAACGGTACATTGGCCTTCACTAGAGATATCAATAAAACACATCAATGTTGTGATGCAAATGAAAGAAAAAATCCTCATGAAAATGAGGAATACAGGAGGAAGACAGTAATGAGGAAGAAATAAAAGAATGAAATGGAACTGACAAAATCATATAGTAAACGCGGTGCATTGACTCCTGAGCGTTTGTCGTCTCAGGGAGGTCATCACATAGGCCGTCATCGTCGATTTGCTTCTGCCTTGAACGGAAAAGCATGGCCTCCGTATCCGAAACTTGCCACCAATCGAGCCAACGTTTGGCACGGGGGAAAAGACGCCTCAAAGTTGCCATATTTTGCTCATACGTGTCCTTTCCAGGAACGTCCTTTTCCAAGAGAGCCTCCGTGAGCCTCTGAAATTTGCCCTGTGGTTACGGTGATTAGTAATGAATCCAAACGTTTTTTGAATTGAAAACCTAATTTACCTGCTGGTGCCTCGGAATGATGTTAAGATTCCGCCGCACCCGTGTGACTTGAGCGCGGAAGTGCTCTTGACAGCCTCGAAGTTTCCCAAGCACTTGTGCCCGATCCGTAACATCAAAAACGGCCATGTAAGCCCGGATGAAACCATTTTGCTGCGCGACAGAAAAATTGACCACTTGTCGAACCAGGATGTCGCGTTCATCAGGTAAGAGTTGTGCTTCCTTGATCTGGTTCATCAGGGTGGTGAAATGTGCAACATAGTGCTCCTCTGAGAGACCGTATCGCCAGGTGAGTTGCATAGGAATCCACCTGTGAATGACATTGTGGTACATCGAAGTGGTCATTAAGTACCCATTAGCAAAAAATTTATACGTGACATCTGATAATAGGCCGCCGCTGTAGACACTGCCATCTTCTTCTCGTGCAAGGAATTGCTCGGCCATCCACGGGGTTTGGAAGGTCATGTGCGTGTTCTCGGGCAGAAAGGATGATGAAATCATCCTCAAACCCAGTCTGCAGGTGAAGACAGTACATTAGAATCCCAGTGTGAAAAGAGGGTATTCATCAAGAGCTGATGAAACTTACTTCGCCCAGTGGATCATGTCCAGGAGAAAACTGTTGCCAGAGCCAGGGATTTTTTTCTCCGGAATGACACCAGCGTCCACCAAGAGTTTTCGACGGTAGTAGCCAGTTTGATGCAAATTTCCAAAAGCGGGATGGATGCCTGATGCCGTCTTGATCTCTTGCTTTCCAGCTGGAGCTCGACCGACCTGGATTCAAATAAAGTCACACATTAGAAGGATTCTTTGATGAAGCGTAATAACAAGCCAAAGGGAAACCAAAGTGAGATAGAAAGATTACCTTATGTTGCAATGGTCCGACCAAAGGGTTGTTCACCACCCTATCACCCAACTTGCTGATTGAAAGCTTATCAGGCTTCCCCCGACGTGGCCACGGATGTACATGATAACCGGCATGTCTTATGATACCCCAGCCTGTTGGGCGGTGCTCATCCATCCGACAGATGGTATCTTCACATGGGACGTGACGGAGGTATTCCGAGCACAGAGCCGCCGGGCATTTCACAGGTCTAAGGAAAAAAAACAGATATTAAAACGTAGAGAAACAATCAATAGGAAGTCAGAACTTGCAATCTAGCCACAAGACTCCACTTTGAATGACTAAAAGGTGTGGCTTACGTTTCTTTCATTTGATCAATTTTCCCAGGGGCTGTCGGAGGTGAGCCTAGGTAATCACAATCCTCCTTGCAACAAATGACGACTCCAAGGCAATTGAACCTGACTGTTCGCCATTCGGGTCGTTTTTTTTGGACACCGCCACCGGAGGTTTTGTAAGTGAAACCAAAGGTACCCCAATTGGTAAACTTCTGGCCTGGATGCCTAACAAACACAGTCTTCCCATTGGGTAGGAGTGGGTAGCCTTTGTCATCTAGAGTGGTGCTGTGATCGATGAAGGTTTCGAAGGAAGGGTGGTCAAGAGGAAGCCCAAAGGTTTTCTTTCCCTTCTTGGCGACCTTCTTGGTTTTATCTTCGACGGGAAGGTGATTGATTGCGTTTAATTCGTCCTCTTCAGGGTCTGGATCATCCTCTGAAGCATTGTCGTCGTCCAAATTTCCTAACGGTTCTTTGTCTGGGAAATGGCTGAAGTCCCGTAGCTGTTCGTCCGTGTCATAGCCAACAGATTCAGCTTCAGAACCTTCCATTGGATTGATGTCGTAATCTTGGATATCAGGTTTAGCATCAATCATTTTGCTCTTCATCGTGGAAAGCTACTATAGGACGAATCAAAAGAGAGAAGCGGATAAGAGATATGAACAGTCCGGAAGTGGGAAAAGGATTGGGCGAGGATAAGTTCAAGGGAAGGGACAGACGAGTTCTAGGAAGCTATGAGTTTCTTTAGATCGGTTTGATCCCGGTTAAGCAGTAGAGTAGATTGAGCTTGATTCGAAATAAATGTAAACTTCGTTGGAAAGATTTTATTCTTGTTAAGCAGGAGAAGTGGTTGAGAGAGAGCGTGATTGGAAATCTATCTACTCTTCGATGGAAAGTTTTCCTTTTTTCTCGTTGAAGAGCCTTCCAAAAGACTTCTCCTTTGGGAAGTGGCTGAGATGACGAGAGGGTCGTGGGCACCTCTCGTTGCTTGTCCACATGAGGCCTCCAAGCCTTGTCGTTGTCTTTTCTGAAGCAGTAGAGTAGATTGATGCTCTTTTGGGAAGAGGCTTGAACCAGTTGTTGATGCTGGAGGATCAATTGACGAGCATCGACGAGTGGTACCATCTCGCTTCCAGTTCTTCCATCGGTTTGTGGATGGGTAAATGTGGCTATTGGCCATACGCACTTCCATCTTTGGTCATGGGAGTGCCGGATTGATGAAAATTATTGTACGGAAATTTCAATACTGGACCCTTCGAGTCGAATTTTGCGAAGATGTTTTTGCAGACTTATTTTTGGCTGTAACACATGTCTCATAAATTTCTACTTTGTCGGGCGATGTTTGCTTTTTGCGGTGAGTTTTTTTAACGATGTATAATGATTGCGAAAGACGAAACGTAAATTTCAACATTGGGTCAATGTGATTGATGTTTGCGGGGGTTTATTTGCGACGATTTTGTTTACATACGTTTCGAATTTTTGGAAGTGCTGTAAATTTCGAGATTGGCCCGAGGAAAATGTATTTTTACAGTTACACACATTTTACATACATTAACAACTGTAACATGTAGTCTGTAAAAATCATCGATCCCATAAAAAATTAGACCGTGATTTGATTGATTAGATGGAACGTTCATGGATTCTATTGATCTGTGAGACCAATAATTGATGTTGAAGATCTCGAGGTGGCAGAGGTGAAAATTTCCACCTGGACCGATCTACCTCAAGGGTGGAGAGTAATGTTGCCCTAGAAGTGATTGCCTACGATTTTTCAGTGTTTGTGTTGATGCGCTGCGTAGAGTCGAAATCGACAGTGCTCCTGTATGCGTTTCTCACAAATCTTGGCAAAGATTTGTCATTGCACGGTAGACTGAAATATATCGTTAGGCCTACAAGTCTGCAGGACGCTTGATGTCATTAGGTCCACTGTGCAGTGAATGATGTCTGTGTGTATGCGTCATGATACGGATTAGAACGCGAATTGTGAAAGAAAGATGCGTTGAAGCCTGGATTGATGTTTCTGTGGAGCCGGCTAAGCTTATCTTTTATCACGCTGAGGATTTGTATGGGCTTTGTGAAAATGGATCAAGCAACTACGAGCACATTTCACGTCAGTTGCGCCCTGGAAAGGCTTGAAGGCGTCTCCTTTGGAGTACTTGAGCTATGATCATCAAGATTAGTGGTCTCTTGGAACATTCACGCGCAAATCTGTGCGCCTGAAAGCTCACGATTCTACATCAGACTGGGTCAACACGTCTAATCACAAGCTGATGCACCAGGAACAAGTAGTCGAAGGAAAAGTCGAGGTGGGGTCACAGAACGCGCTTGATTGCAATTCGTACGCAAGTAGAACGTATAAATACACGTCGCTTTGTCTCATTCGCGATAATTCCTCATCACAATTATTGTTGACTACCCTCACATTATCACATTTCCACCCATCCAAATTCTTAAATTTTCGAAAGCCTATCCATCTTAGCCTTAAAGCTTTCATCACATCATCACATCCTCTATCGTTGCGCTTTTGTGTTTCTTTGAATCTTCAACCATCAACATCTCTTCTACCTTTGATCTTCTCCAATATCGAAGCTCATAAACGTATCTCATCAAAGATGTCTTACTGTTCAAACTCGTCTTTGGCCTTTGGCCTCAACTTATTACGTGTCTTCAAGAGTGTCATCACTCGTACACAAGTAAGTCTCGATAACAAGCTTGTTCCATGTATCCTGACTGTTGCTATGAAGTCAATTGCGGTCAATGAGGTATGTTCTTTTGTCTCCTTTGTGGAGCATCCATTCTGGTACTGACGTTTGATTTGTTTTAGACTTCCTTTGTGACTGCTACTAGATATGAAGTTAGACGTTTGAGGTGTGAACCTCTGACTTTACCTTTTGTACTTGAACCTTGGCTTTCGGTCACAGAGCAGAGATCAGTGGATTGTGAAACTCTAGTGCTTCCAGAAACATTTGAAGATGAAATCACCGTCTCATCTCCAAAAACTGAAGGAAGACGTTCCGAAACTCTCAGTCCTCTTACGAATGATTCTCTTTCGCAATCGACTTCATCACATACCATCATCCTCGAAGCCACACCTGAACCGCTTGAAACTCAGCCCAAACAACCACCTACAACCTTCAGCTCGACTTCTGCTCCGTCTCCATTTCTGGCCTTCTTGGAAGCTTCACACCTTGAAGCATCAAGGAAGTTACTTGCAGAAAAATCAAGTTTGGCACCTTTAGACTTAGGATGCGCTCAATTCAACTCTGCCTACTACCGAAGACATCTTCCTCCAACCCTGCCTGAATTGTCTACCAGCAAGAAATCAAAGAAGGCTTTTTGCTGGAGAACCACATTAGATGAAATCATGAAGGAATCAGGCGAAGAATGTGATGAAATCTTGGATGAACTCGTTGAAGAAAGTGGTACCGAATCCGGCAATCAGGACATCGCCGAATCTTCCACCTCATCTCCTTCTCATTCGCGCTCCTCAAGTGTTTCATCGTACACTACTTGTATTGGATCGCCAGTTCTTTCCTCCATCTCATCATTCGGGAAACTTCAACAAAATGATACTTCAACAACAATCACTATTCAAGAGCCCATTCTCAATCATCCTGGTGTTACTCCAATCCGCCCATCGCCGTCGTCTTTCTCATCTTGCAAACCAACTTCATTCCTGGATTTCATAGAATCATCGAACCAGGAGATGATCAATAGGATGCAAAAAGAAAAACCTAAAAACTTGACTCCGGATGTGGAATGTTCACAATTCAATTCAGCTCATTACAGAAGACATCTTCCTCGAAGTCTTCCGCCATCGAAATCAAACAAAACCTTTTGTTGGAAATCAAAATTGGATCAAATGATGCGAGAAGAAGAGTTTGAGGATATATCAGTTGATACAGTTGATCAGATGACCACCAAACCTACATCAATCTTTCCTCCTTCTGTTTACACTTCCTCTTCTCATGTCCGCTCTTCAAGTTGTTCATCTGATATCACAGTGGTTGACACAGCTACTTTGATATATTTTCCAAAAGAAACTATTCCATTACCATCCCCTGTAGACCTTCCGTTTTGTTTAGTCCGATAATATTCTTCACCATTGTCTAGTTGTGATTTCTCTTTCATTTCAGACCATCACATTGATGTCTTTTAATCATATAAAATTTGTAAATAGCTTCTTTTTCTCTTCTTTGAAAAATGCAACACATCATGTGTTACTTGATTTTTTTGCCTTGTGAGCCACCCACTCAAACCTTGATGACAGGTTCCAATCTGGTCGAGAACTTTTTCACAGATTGCAAGACCCCTATGTACCAAACCTGATTTTAATTATCAGCTTGTGATCTAACGCTCCTGAATTTTTTACTTCTTTCCCTCACCCACCAAGAGTTCTGAGCCAAAGTGTTTCAAACTTGGCTCTCCTCTGGTAAAATGAATTGCACAGGACCATCACATCAATTTTTGTATGTTGTTTTCACCAAATCATAGAGGTAGGTCATGTTCCATCACCACATCGAGATATAGACTAATTTGAAAGTACAAACGCATAAATATCATTATGTTTAACATATATGTGTTATATGTATGACATCAGAAAGGAAAACTCTTGTACATACGTGATACTATATACTACTCAATACATGCGTTTGATAATTTTTCGTTGAAGGGTGATGGTCTCATCCATGTTCAACTGGTGAATAAAAGTGTGTGCGCTTTGTTTCCTGGGAGAAAAAGAAACCCTTGTTCAATAAAGTGTGATTGTAAGTTGTGTTGTTCCGTCCACCAGAAGACATTGATATCTTTCAAGGCTCTAGCTTCCACGAAGCTCAAATCGTCGTGATTGAAGAAGCTGTTTGATTCTTCCTCTTATCTGCACTGTCTGGAACTTCAGTTTCCAAATGCTTGATGCCCATTTCACATCCTCTGAGTGCAAAAGTCCTATATTCAAGGCCACTGCGGCAAAGGATGACACACATCTCATCATCTTTTTCAAGTTTCGAGAGACCAAGTGCTTCCGATACGGGATCATCCGGATCGGATTGTACTGAAGCGGAGTCCACCAGGACCCCGGTATGCTCCTATAAGGGGTAGTCACACAGAAATGTGACTTTTGAGCTCCGCGGAGATGAGCCCCTGCCAAACCGCTAAGTCTTTCCCTGGCTTCACCCATAGATCTAGGACTGGTTTTATCCTAAAGAGTGGCAATCTGTGGCAATACAGCAAAGGCAGAAACTGGCAGGTCTCTATAATCCCATGTGTAGTATCTCCACGGGAGCTCAAAAGTCACATTTCTGTGTGACTACCCCTTATAGGAGCATACCGGGGTCCTAGTCCACCCCATCACTTGGCCGTGTTGCAGCGGAGTGGCCCCGAACGGGTAGATCCCGCGCTTAGACGCGGTCCTTGACTTATTTTACTTCGAGTTCGCGACCAACTCAGCTTTCTTTGTGACCATTCTTCAACAATTCTTAACCTTCTCACCTTCCTCAACAAATCATCAACGATCGATATCAACTCTAATATATCCAGCCTCTACTCCAAATTCACCAAATGGGCATTCAAGGACTATTGCCATTCCTCAAATCCATTCAACGATCCTCTCATATCAAGGAATGGGCCGGTAAAACCCTCGCTATCGATGCTTACGTTTGGTTACATCGAGCAGCATATGGATGTGCACAAGAATTATGCCTTGGAACACGGACAACAAAACATATCGATTATGTAATGGCAAGAGTGGACTTATTACGACATCATGGGGTTATACCTTATGTGGTCTTTGATGGTGACGCGCTTCCAGGGAAAAGAGGAACGGAAGAAGCACGAGAGAAAAGAAGACAAACCAATTTAGCACTTGCAAATTCACTTTTATCAGAAGGAAAAAAAGAAGAAGCAAGAGAAGCATTTGTAAAAGCAACGGATATCACACCTCAAATAGCTCATGATATAATCTTATCATTAAAAGAAGCTGGAGTCAAATATGTAGTAGCACCATATGAAGCAGATGCACAATTAAGATTCTTAGAACTTCATGGTCATATAGATGGAATTTTAACAGAAGATTCAGATTTATTAGTTTATGGTGCCAAAAACGTTTTATTTAAGCTAGATCCACTTGGGCATTGTATACATATTTCTAGAGATGATTTTGGTAAAGTTAAAGATACTCAATTATCACTTTGGACTGATACCGAATTTCGTCAAATGGCTATCTTGAGTGGTTGTGATTATCTACCTAGTATACATGGTTTAGGATTGAAAAAAGCCTATCAGCTCATCAAAACTTACAAATCAGCAGAAAGGGTATGTCGAGTGCTATCTTTAAATATCTACAAAGTTCTGATGCACGTACGCTAACCAGATCTGTTCTTTTCATAATTCCAGGCTATCAAGGCTACAAGACTAGAAGGCAGCCTCAAAGTTCCATTAGGCTATGAAGCCCTTTTCCGACGTGCTGAACTTACTTTTTTATACCAAATCGTCTACGACCCCACAACACGCAAACTGGTACACCTTCATCCGCTTCCATCATCCCAACCCAATCCTGAGGACCTCGTGAGCTGTGGTGAATTCTGGGAAGACCAAGTTGCGGTGGCCGTAGCCGAAGGGCGCGCCGATCCTTTCACAAAGACGACCTTCCAGTCAAGTATCAATGTCCTACCCTCCGTGTCTACTTCTCGCTTTATCGAGAGATCAAGGCCATCTCAAAGATCACATCCTTCATCGAAACCCACCGCTATTCCAAATCAGCGTACACTGAAGAGTTTCGCTTTTAGTTAAGTCAAGACTTGGTTTTTTGTTCCTGAGGCACAACTATAATGTATGATCTAGACTTCAGTTGAGCTGATTGAAACTATTTGACCATCCCCACTCACAGCTGCATCGCCCGAGGTCAATAGCAAAGCTCGCCTGGCATCCTCAGCCGAACTCTCTGCCGGTCAAGGTGCACTGCATCCCATCGAAAACTCGATTCTTCAGCCGACCTTGCCACAGACCTCCAAGCCATTGAGCAGCAAGTTTTTCGCCGCTGGATCAAAAGATCAAGATGAAAATGTTCCAACTCCACCTTTTGTACCTATAGAAACATCGAGTAGTACTTTAACTTTTGACGAACTGGTTCCAGAAGATGCTGAACCATTATCACAAGAAGCTTGGAGTGAAATCTCGGAAACAGGTGGATCAGATGAAATGGGTCCAGATTTACCATCAAGTCAAATGCACGGAGAAGATATCAGACCATTTGCCAAACTACTTCAAGCCAGTCAAACTGAATCGATACCTGAAACGACGCCTCCTAGAAGTCCTATGATCCTCCTTCATCGTCAAAATCACAGTTTGAATTATTCTGATGGGGTGAATAGTTCGCCTACTCATGATGATTCCAGAGAGCGAGATACTCTGATCCAACCTCGAATTACGATCTTAACTGGGCCGACCTTGGCTAGGAATGATACACCCTCTTCAAACTTGATGAAGTCGACTTCTAAAGCGACGTTACCTATCAGCTCTGATCCGATCGTCGATGACGATGACGATGATATGATGTATGGTGAACTTAATCGGCCTCTGAACAAATTCTCATCGATGAAACGACCTCAACATAATAACGATACCCCAACTACACTAAAAAAGCAAAGAACTCGACCAGTTGTAGTACGTGAACCGTTACAGAAGAGTAACATGGTAGATGAGATGAGTCCAGCTTTAGCAAGGGTTGCGTCAGGAATGAGAGAAAGATTTACGTTTCGTGGTCATAGTTCACCTATGAATCGGACACCACGGAACCTTTCATCTACCTTTAGAAAGAGTAGTATCACACCTAAAACACCTCATATGGAATCTACTGATATGGATGAAGATGGGGATGAGACTCCTCAAAGTGTACCTATGATTCAGAGAAGACATACTGATGGAATCTCTCGACATTCTAAAGGGCTTGATCGCAATGATAATGAACATCAAGGAAGAAATTTGGTGGATCAAACTTCGAGTCCTAAACTAGCTGCATTTCTTTTCAAAGGTGGGACCGCTTCACGAAGGAGCTAAGTTTTAAAACTGCTGATAATGGACATGTTAATATTTGTGGTAGATATCTGTCTGTTTATTTTTGTTTTGTTTTTCAAATTTTTGGAAGAGGATTTTTATAATTTTTCAAATTGTAGATAAGTCTGTTTATGATGAATTGTTATAATCGCTTTTGTATGGGCTCTGTTTTTATAGATTTTCAAAAAAGGAACATTATCATTTTTGGATTCATCAAGTGATAGAGAAGCCAAGATTTTTTTCTTGAGATCATTCTCCCTGAAATACATTTTGACAAATACCCATCACAAGATGCTGGATTTCGAAAACAATGAAGCTAAAGCTGTGCAATCAGTATTCCCAAAACCAGAATACATTGCACATTTAAAGATGTCCTTTTGACCAATGCAATATGGCAGTCAAGATATCTCAATTTTAATGGTCACTTAAAATATGATGCTGATTATGATATGGCAAAATATTGACGGCAGTCTGGAACCAATGTAAGAAAGAATTGGTATTTGAATTGGTATCAACCACGAGTCCTTTGAATAATCAATGCTATTTTCTAACTCTCAAAGGGATACAAATATGGTGGGATCTGTTTTTCGGACATGGACGTCTAAATTTGCATAGATACTTTAAGTGCAACATTCAAGATGTTGAACAAACACATGTGTTATCAATTTTCAAACTCTTAGTATCAAAATTAGCCAACCTGCAAAAGACGTATACCAAAAATGATGACATATACCGGTGCGGGGAGATGATATTGAGATCTCACCTTGAGGTGTTCAGCTACCAAACGGGAGAAACGAAGGAAGAAGAATATCAAGTCAGCAGTAGAAGTGATTTTAATTAGACTTTCAGACCACCTTAGTCTTTGGAGTCGAGCCTTGTTAGTGGGAGGCAGTCGTCCAAATCGACATGATGCTGCTGGGATTTTTGCGTTCATCATGTTGGCAACAACGCACACAACTAATATCGAGTCACTTCATCATTTCGTAGAAAGAACCAAACCAGTGAATATACATTGCAGATAGACTACGAAACACTCACACTACCATGGCTCTGGCGTAGAGCCATGTTTAGAATCTCCTATAAAGTTGCCCTTTGCTTGCACGTTGGGCGTTCTTATCATCACTCATCACATAAACATAAGGTACTCTGGCAGTATCACCATCTTAACCTTCCACAACATATAATTTATCCACTTCCTAGTATCTTCTATTCAGTGTCTTCGAGACTTTACTTCTATCTATATTACATTTTCAAGTCAATACTTTAAGCATAAACCTGACTTATTATACCCCGTCCAGCATAATTTATTACATTCGACAATGCGTTTCATTTCTGCCACCTTTGTGATGTTGAGCATTCTTTATGTTTCCCAAGTAGACTCAACTCTTCAAATAAGCAAGTCAGTCTTATTGTTTTGTTTATTACATTTCGATATACTTTACTGACAATTAATGGGTTCTTTGACAATAGTGGTGACCTAACCCCCAGAGCACCAGCACCGGCCCAAGCAAGTGCTTCTGCATCCGCAACTCCCAAGACACGTCGAGAATTGAATGCCCGCTCACCGTCCCCAGCCCAAGCTAGCGCTTCAGCAGCACCCAAGACTCGTCGTGCATTGGACACTCGTTCACCAGCACCGGCCCAAGCAAGTGCTTCTGCATCTGCGACCCCCAAGAATCGTCGAAACTTGAATGCTCGCTCACCATCCCCGGCCCAAGCTAGTGCCTCAGCAGCCCCCAAGACCCGTCGTAAATTGGACGCTCGGTCACCAGCACCGGCCCAAGCAAGTCCTTCTGCATCTGCGACCCCCAAGAATCGTCGAAACTTGAATGCTCGCTCACCGTCCCCGGCCCAACCCAGCGCTTCAGCAGCCCCCAAGACCCGTCGTGCATTAGACACGCGTTCACCAGCGCCAGCACAAGCCAGTGCCTCAGCAACCCCCAAGACGCAATGAGAATATTCCATCACACCTTTATCTTAGATGGAATTTCGCGGTAATAGATTGGCAGGTTTAATTTTCACCATAGAGTATGAATGCGTTTTCTTCCAAAGATGTATATTACAACTTAATTGTGCTTAACATGCGTCTGATTTGAAGAAACTTGCATATATCATAAACCATTTACTTGATTTCTGCCAAGTCCTTCTCCGTCAGGATCTTCACACTAAGAGCATATTCCCCCCTCCTGATCCTCTCTCAGCTTTTGTTCGGGGATATCTCCCATAGCTATATCATGCCTTGCTTGACTTGTACCTCTGCATGGGAACCGTTTGCATACCTACAAAATGTGTTCACCTCCCAGTACATATGCATTTTCCCAGCAGCACAATTTGAACTTTTCACGGCTCCAAGTAATCTCACTGATTCATCGAAGTAGACTCGCTCTCACATTTTGCAAACTCGACATCTGATCTGTTGATGTTGGGTGAAAGGACTTCTACCTCTAGTCCTCCGCATCAACCAAACCAAGTTACAAATCCTTCCCTTGAGTTTTATAGTGGCTTTGCCACATCATATGTGTCAAAGCAGACCAAACAGTGTTCAAATTGTTGAACCCTCTTTTGTCTTTTTCAAATCCTGATCTGAATGAGGACGAAGGAAAGTTGACATATTATTACGGGCAATGTACAACAGGCTATTTTCAAAATTGGATACATATGGGTTTTGTATGATCCATTCTCTACTCAGTGATATCTTTTTATGTGTGCAGATGTATTGTATTTATTTATTTCTAATGTTATAGATTTACCAATCTATCAGAGCTAGTAGCCCTATTCAAACCAAAACGACCCATACGAGAGAGGCTGAGGTTTCTTGGGGGGGCCCCTCCGCTCAAAGGAGAGCTGAGGGGGGTAGGACCACCAGCACTGTAGATGGGGGAGCTCTGAACGGCGGGCTAGGCAAACCCCTCTACAACACTAACAAATAAACATACAAACAAATAGTAGAAGTGGATCAAACCCAAGGAAAGAAAGAAAAAGGGGGGGAACCAAATCAACTACCACAACCAACGTAGCTAGTTAGCGGCCCCAAAATTCTGACCAATAACTAAATTAACTATAAACCTTCAATCCAACACATACACGACTTCCCACGAGCAGTTTCACACGGGTGGAGGGTGGGTTCGAAAAAGAGAGAGACTGTGAGAGAATAGGATGAGAGCTGTTGTCCAACTGATAGCGTGAGATATCCAGAGGTGAGGGTAAGAGTGGACGCGTGGAAAAAAGGATGAAAACTTTTTGAGAATCAAATTTCAAACTTCTCATTTTCCACAATGTTGCGTACAGGAAAATGGCAGCTTCAATAGAAGCATATTTTTCCCCGAGAGGCCCTGATGTGATATCTCATGCTTATCATGGAAAACGGCGGTACCGTCATGCCTTTGGGCACCGCCTACCATCCATTCTCTACTCAGTGATATCTTTTTATGTGTGCAGATGTATTGTATTTATTTATTTCTAATGTTATAGATTTACCAATCTATCAGAGCTAGTAGCCCTATTCAAACCAAAACGACCCATACGAGAGAGGCTGAGGTTTCTTGGGGGGGCCCCTCCGCTCAAAGGAGAGCTGAGGGGGGTAGGACCACCAGCACTGTAGATGGGGGAGCTCTTCCCCTTGACTCGGGGCATCGTCCTGAGCCTGAGAAAGCCCATCTACGGTGACCAGTGTCAAAAGCAATCTGAGAACGAACTTCTTGAATAAAACTTTCCCCAAAAAAAACCTCCTAAATTCCAAAATTAACCTCAAATTGTGTGATCAAAGTTGCGATGCAAGCCTCAGTACAATTACTTCCCACTAAATACATAGTTCTTGCAAAAGTTTAACCAACTTTTCTAACTCTTCCGTGTCATATTCTCGTATATAAAGTTTATAGGCCTTCGACTTCCATCGGCCTACTGCGACAATTTCTTCTAGCGGTATATCTAAATTCCACCGTAGGGAAGCACCACCCACCCTGAACAAGTGGCCGGTAAGTTTGACACCCGCTCTTGTTTTCCAAACACTTTCAAATATTTTTTGACAACGATTCTTAGTCAGGCATACACGCTTCCCGTTCAACGGATACAAGAATAAAGGTTCGTCCTCTGTCGCTCCCGTACTGCTAATAAGTCGCCAAACTTCACTAACAGGGTCTAGGAGTGATGACTGGTGTTGACAATGAATTTCTTGTACCTCTCCAACGACAGCAGTTTTGGCTTCCCTAATCCAAATCCTCAAGAATTTATTGTCTGGTTCCCAAATAACGTCTTTCACCTTTACTTGATCGACTTTCATTGATGATTTTAACAACTCGCCTAACCGAGCCATACCCTAGAAGGCGATCAGCGCAACTCACAGGGGCAAAAATTGATGCTCACAACTATGTGAGCGTTGAAATTTTCCTGTTTTGTTCCCATTTGTTTCCCATTTGTTTCCAATTTGTTTCCAATTTGTTTCCCATTTGTTTCCCTTTTCTTTCTGTTTGTCAGCTGATTACGTGATCATCAGGAACTGAGCAGACAAACTAAGCCTTCCTCAGCATTTATTCCTGAGCAAAGAAGTCTGAGGAAGGGCTGATCCTGAGCGGCATTCCCTGGTTCAGTAAGCTCCAAGGGATGCCACCAATGTATAGCTTAGGGGCTGAGCTGAACTGAGTATTCCCTTAGCTAAGTCTCTGAAGTATCCCCCAGATGGATCACAGAGCGCCAAGCTTGCCTCAAGCTTGATGGCTCCGGAATGAAGCCTGAGGCCCGTCTGCTCGTTCAACTGAGCTGCTCAGTTATTCCTCAGGGGCATCCCTGAGATCAGGAGGATCCGGAGGATTTCACTGCTCATTGGATGAGGGCCTGCTCAGCTAGTCCTCAGGGGCATTCCTGGCCGGATCAGAAGGATCCAAAGGATGTCACTGAGTATTAGCTGAGGGGCTGCTCAGTTGATCTCAGCCCCTCAGTGTGAAAAACTTTATCCGGGGATATCACTGAGGATTAGCTGAGCAATGAGCAGACGGGATGACGCTTTTATCAGGCTTCATTCCTTGGCAAGGAAGTCTGAGAAAAGTCCGGCCCATCAGTGATCCAGTCAGGGGATGCTACTGAGTATTTGCTGAGCAGCTCAAATGGGACGCCCCTGGGCAGGCTTCTTCACTGAAAAATGAAGCCTCAGGAAGGTATAGTTCATGTGCTCATCTTCATTTTGAACAAATTGCTGAGTATTCAGTGCCTCATGAGCTGATCCTGAGTACTCATCGGGAATCAGTTATTGCTCATCCAAGATGGAAATGAGCCTTCTCAATAAATGTCAAGTAAAATATGAGAACCACAGGATGATCACCTGAACACAAACAAGATTGTGAATTGAATCAATCTGAAAGAAAATGAATCTTTTTTGGAGAATTCCAAAAATTCTACAACGCTCACATGTATGTGAGTATCTATTTTGGCCCCTGTGACTGTGTAAGCAACCTGACTTTCCAAATCACCGCCTGCTAAACCTTCTAGCAACATAAACAGATGTTTGATCATCACCGGATTCTTCGGTACCTTGGGTGCTTTTAGAAGTTCGAGTTTTGCTGCCGTTCGTAAAATACACTCGACTCTTGGCATCACAGTATGGGGATAGTCGTAGTTATGAAATAAGTGCCACGCCTTTATCCCGGACAGGTAAGTTCGGACCGTGGACGACTTTATCGGCAGTGTCCCTTGAGTGAAATTGTCTTCGACCAGAGGAGGGCTTGCCCACACAACGAACTCACACAGAACTAGAGGGTCGATCGGCAATAACAAGTGTCGAGGTACGTGTTTTTCAAGTGCGAAAACTAGTAATTTTGAGACTGCCGCATTATAATGTTTTAAAGTCGAAGTTGACCAACTTCCACTTATGATATAGGCCTTGACACGATCAGTCGACGAAGAGTCTACACCATCTTGACCTCTCAAGAATTCCATCAAGGTTAAAATTTACTGAAGAAACTAATTGTTCGTGTGGTTAAAGTGTAGTATTAGTGGTCTCGAAGGCTCAAGGTAACTCTCTAGAGCCACCTCTGTGAGTGGGTTATAAACAAAGTACGTGTCTCTCGTACTTTTCTCCCCAATCGGGAGCTGTCAATTTTTTGGTTACAAGGCTTAATTCAACAACGTTAGCACACAATAGACTCAATAGCGGCGACTACAAACAACACCTATTTGATCTTTGTTTCAAGTCTATATTTCACGTTATCACTTGCTTCACTACAGAGCGCAGATTGATAGGTATCTCTATCACTACTTGGTCAACTGAATCGCGCTTCTCTAGGCCTCTCGACAACTTATCAGCCAGATTATCGCCGGACTTGACTCTTACTGCAACCAGGTCTGAATGCAAACTCATCAACAGTTTTTGAATGGCCTTCCACTCGCCATTAACTGCCTGGTCTCCGGATCTCCTTTTTTCGACCGCTGATTGTGAGGTGGTGTTATTGGTAAGTACGATAAACCTCTTACCACCTACTTCATGGAATTGAGTAATCATAATCATCCCCAGGCGAATTGCGACAGTTTCGGCCCATGCTATATTCTTTGTAACTTTCCCTTCGACCGGCAAGTTCCATCCTTCTTCCAGTACAAACTGAGCCCAATTAGCGCCAATCAGCACTCCTATCCCCGTGAGTGATGCATCTCCAACCCATTCCAAATCGATGGGAGTCATATCTGGAATAATTCTTCTACAATCAAACGTTGACAAAGTATTGTTCCATTCTGTCAGGTCTTCGCGAACATCTTCTGGTATTTGCCTCTTCGCTGACGGTACCATCCACTGTTTTTTCCACCTCCATAAACTCGGCATATAGCATTGTAAATGTGGAACAATATACGTTGTGTGAACCAACCTCCCGGTAAGCTTTTCCACGTCTTTCAAGTAGAAGGAGGCTCTAGGAACTAAGAAATCCACCACTTGTTGTAACCGTTCCTGTAATTTCTCCTTGGGCAAACGCACCGTCCGTTCTTTGGCATTCCAGATAAAGCCAATGTACCTCTGTTCATCTTCGAAATCGTGAACCTTTTCCGGATTCGACGCCACACCCATATCGTTACTTAAGCGTACAATATCTTCGATGGTTGTAGGATTAGACCTTTCTTTAACCAGCAGATTATCGTCAACCCAACGAAATCCACATTCTAACTTGAAGACCTTCACAATGATTTTCCTCCATAGATCTGCCGGTCTACCAAACACTCCACATCCAGCAACTCCCCCGAACTGCACTCTTGTGTCCATCCACAGCCGATTATAGAGATCTAATATAAATAGATAACGCCACTGCAATGGGTGTGTAGCGATTTGTCTATACGCCTTTTCCCAGTCGAAAAGTGCTAATACCAAATCGCCGTTGTTGTTCTTGAAAAACATGATTACCACCTTGAAATCGTCCCAATTGGTTTCAAACTCCTTCTTGTCGACGAAACTATTCACCGAGGGTGTCTCCAAATCGTCATGAGGAAAAGATAAGTCATTTATAATACGAAATGAACCGTTGCCATTGATTACACTACCCATCGGGCTGGACCAAAAAAATCCCAACTTTTCATAAACTTCGTCGTGAGTGAAAGGTCCGAAAATCCTTGAAGCTCTTCTTTCTTTCTCTAATGTATTTCTGATTTTTTCTTCTGCCAACTTAGCTGACTCATGGTTCTTGGGCGTAAACCACTTCCTTGACCCCATGGTATGTTGAGGAATGCCTTGGTGAAACCCATCTCTGCATCCCTTCAGCACCTCCTGAGCGTTGTCCTCAATCTTAAACAGGCCAATCAGCAATTCGCACTTGGGTATATTCAAAGCAGACTTTGCCACTTCCCCAGGCCATTTAGGGCAATGATTCCTTCCAGAGTTTCTATAGGGAATAACGCGCACTTTCTCACCCCTTTCACAAAGGGGTCTCCCTGGTGCAGGAAATAGTCGTGGAGCCTCTATATCACTACTTGCGTTCCGCAAAACGTACAGTCGGCAAAGGAGAAAGGCACGATATGATCAGAAACTCATTCAAAACCATCAAAGGAACATAGCATAATCACAGAATCTGCATTTCAATGGGACAGCGGTTCTAAACTGAAAGGCTTTAGAACATCAGAAAATAAAAACAATCCTAGTGCGGAGGTATAACCCCGACTATCAGTCCCACTTAAAAATAGTTAAACAAATCAAGAAAAGTAGCGACCGAGGTGGGTATGCGGAACTGTTGGAACGGCAGTGACCTTTACTTCTCTTGGTACGTCATAGACTCATTTTAAAAAACAAACTGAGACTGAGCAGGAAATTCATCTGTTAATTTACGACGGCTTACTTTGCCTTTCCGTTACTCCCGTATGGCTTTGTGCCTTTATTATAGTCGCGCTCATCATTTCTGCGATCATCTCTTCTGTCGTCTCTGCGCCAGGAACCTCCTCCTTCGCCTCGACGAGGGTTATCGCTACTCCACCGAGCAGGAGGGCTTGGGTCTCTACCACCACCGCCACCATTGAACCAACCGCCACTTCTTCCTCTACCTCGAGTATTGCGACCATTGTTACGCCGATCTTCAGAGGTGTTCTGGTAATTGACACTACCAGGTCCGTTATAGACCATACCGTTGGCGTGTGACCAAGACCTAGCGTTCGGCTTGCCGCCGTTTTGGTTGTGTTGATGGAAACCGTGGTTGTTTGGATGGTAAGGCTGATTGTTGATACTACTGCCTTGCATCATTGACGAGTTCGCATTATGATTCGCAGATCCGCTACGAAGGTCTTCCCCAGTGATTGGGTTCATGTGCTCCTTCGGTCCACCAGTAGCGTAAGGGTTCATATCGGCAAAGGATGGGTGGAAATCATTATAACGCTCAGTATCTCAAAAGCACTTCCTTTCGATTGACATATTGCGGACAGCCGGGTTAGCAAGGTTCCCATTCGCGTTGCGGATGGTCATGACGGTAGTTCGGATAGCAATGTCGTAGCGGAAAGCCATAGGCCAGTTCATGTTTTCCTTCATTATCTCCAGAACATTTTGCTTATGGATAACTAACTTATTGGCTAAATCATTATGGGTGTAATGGCGACAATAAGCTACGAACAAGTCGAATGCGACAACCCATTCTCCGAATGACATTTTCCACTCTACTGGTACATTCATCCCGACATAGGCATCCATCAATTTCTCCTTAGCAGTAAGTTGACGAAAGGACTGTTGTAGAAGATCCTGTTGAAGCCAGTGTGTGTTGAAGATAGACAACGGAATATAACCTTTTACTGCCGTCATCCTAGTGTCAAAATATTTGGACAGGGCGACAAGACCGTTAGTGTTGATACCTTTGTCATCACATATGACTTTAGTTTCTTTCTCGACGGCGGTATCGGAAGTAACCGCCGGGGAACTGGTAGGTGTATCTATAGCGTCGTCAATAATACCGACCCACTTGACTGACGATGACTTCTTGGGGTCGGTTGGTTGGGTATGTGTTTGCGAAGTTGACTTGATGATACCAGATACAGCGTTAACTTGCTTGTGGAGCGGCAAAGTGTTCCTGTTCGCGGTCGAACGTTGATTGGACGATACATTAGGAGTATCCGAAGATGAGGTACCTTGAGCCGATGTAACCATAAGACCGTTTGCCTTCAACCAGGAGTGAAAGCCTCTTGGTGGGCTTACATTAGTACCCGCGACAGTATTACGACGGGCGGGTGAACGATTTTCTGTTATAGCGAATCCGGCCACAGGCGAAATGAAATTCATGGATCAGAACCCAATCCGAAACTAGGACATCTCAATATCGAGGCAACATCGTCTGATGGCTACACGAAAAACGTGGCATCGCTAAACTGCGGCAGCACCTGAGGTGGGTAAACATGAAATTTATTGTCGCTTACGTGTCTCAGGGACGTTAACCGAGTCTCTTTCAATCAAACTGTTTGGTTGAGTAGCATCTTTGTTTCGCTCTACCGACAAGCTTTCGCCGTTGATAGTATCAGTTTCGGTATCCGGGTTGGACGTCGGGTCTTGCTGATTGGCTGACGCGTCATCAGTAGTGGTTGCGTTGGTCGCAGCTGCAGCCGCAAGGCTTCGGGCGGCTGCATTAGCCCTCGTGTTAACGGTGGACTTCTTCGCGCGTCCTCTACCTCTCCCTCTGGCAGTCGTTGTTGAACGAGTTCCAGTAGATCCGGAAGTCGAAATCGGTAAGTCTGGCATTTGGACAGTCGACCTATCTTCTGGCGGGACCGAACCTGCTCGGTTGGCGAGCCTCACACTAGTTCTCCTCACGTGCTCGTTGAACTTTTCCAAGTTTGCTTCTATTCTATTCGGTTCAGACATGTCGGATTGTCTACGTACTATTGTCTCACAGGATATTGGAAAATAACACTGTCTGATAAGTCGGATTGATGATTATGCGATAAATCCACTAGCGGAGCGTGATGAATTGGATAGGTGATCAGGATATTGATAAATATCACTGCGTAATGTTTTTTCGAAAAAGAGAGAGACTGTGAGAGAATAGGATGAGAGCTGTTGTCCAACTGATAGCGTGAGATATCCAGAGGTGAGGGTAAGAGTGGACGCGTGGAAAAAAGGATGAAAACTTTTTGAGAATCAAATTTCAAACTTCTCATTTTCCACAATGTTGCGTACAGGAAAATGGCAGCTTCAATAGAAGCATATTTTTCCCCGAGAGGCCCTGATGTGATATCTCATGCTTATCATGGAAAACGGCGGTACCGTCGTGCCTTTGGGCACCGCCTACCATTCACGTATGACAAATTGTTAACGAGAATAAACAAGTTGCAAGGCAACCCCCCATGCCTTATTGGACCACAACCAATCCTCTTCAAGAGAGAAGACTACTTATGTTGGGATAGATTCTCTCATCGATCACTTTCATAGTTCACGAGCCCTGCGAGGAGTTAGTCACCTGCGCCAAATCGGCAGGTCGGTAAGTTACATCGATCTCTGGTTCTGACAAATCTGGTGTTCATACGTAAACAGGACTCTGTTCTACAGCATGAGCACGGCAAACTGAGACTGCGAGAATCCCAAAGTCCGAATCCTGGTTGTCGATCAGATAGCCTGCGTAGTTTCAAAGTCGGGTCTGTGGGCGCGAGAAGTGATGCCGCAAACACTATGAATCGATATATTTCCCCCAAAGCTGACACAGATTGCTTGTTGGTGACCTAATCGCTACTCTCCGGCCGAGTTACTTTGAAAGAAAGACCCTCAACAGCACCGCAGGCTTGACTGAATGTACAGTTGCAGCTAACAATATGAAGCACTCTTATTGCCTTCCTTACCGCACGATACCTACATACCCTATTACAGTGTTCCCCTATAGGTGCAGCTTTGCCCTCTGTGTCCACGTCAAGGACACTTTTCACTGCACATTTTTTCACATTTTCTATATTCAATCTTTCTTTCATAGCGGTGCTACGCTACCATGTTATTCTTGGTCTTGGCTTGGTATCTTACGCTTGTTTCCATCGTTCTTGGGGAGTTGAGAATTCCGCTACTGGCCGTTCATAAACCCAAGGTTCGGGATTTTTCGGGCGAACACGCGTTGGTCTCTTTGACTGAGGGAAGTCAAGGCGCTTCAGCTAAAACATTCGAATGGATCAACCCGGAAGAGAAGATTGCAAGATTGAAAGCCATCGAGATCTTCAAAATATCCGAAAACAACATCAGACTTAGCCCGGGGCCAACGACATGGTCACAAATCACAGACCTACTAGCAAAATGGATGGTTATTCTACCAGAGAATCGCGATCTTGTCCATCTCGTCCAGACAGTTCCAACACATAATGAAAGTCTTGAAAGGCTAGTCAAAGCGACACGTGGGGTGGTCCGATGGTTCTATGAAGCGGTAGATCTTTGGGACGAAGGGTCACCATTGGACAAAACTGTACTCTTGGCACTTGAAACCTTACAAGGAGATAATTTGACAGCTTTGGAGCGACTGTGGGTATTGAGTTTGTCTCGCTTGCTCCAATCATATCTCCCAAGGGGAGATCTGAAACCTATCAGGCTGGATCCAAATATGGGACCCGTCTGTCGAGGTGCATTAGAGCTCTTTTTAACTGAAGGTGATCTGTTTTTCCAACAACCTTCTGATCTGTGGGACCTTGAAGAAGAGAAGCTGAAGCGTTTTTATGAATTTAGGAATTGATTTGACACATGCGATGGATGACAAGATAGAGGTGGTTCCTGCCAGTGAAGGTCAGTATATTTCACCATTCAACTCAAAAAAATTGGAGAACACAGGGCAACTTATTTGGACACCTTCCAAAGCCCTAGAAAGAGTTGAACTTATTGTGAAAATCAAAAATCACTTTGAAGATTTTGAAAAAGACAATCCAACCGCCAACTTCATGAAAATATATGACTCATTACTCCAAACCAAGAGTAAATCCATCAAGCGGGAATTTGTTTGGTTGACCTTGAGATGTATGCAGCACATGGTAGTTGAAACCACTCCAAAAAAGGAAAAAGAATGTATCTTTCACATACTGGATCATATCTCAACGTTCAGTCAGGAAAGCAGGAAGTACATCCAAGAACATGTTGCACAGAAGGATAACTTTGGGGAAATCTATCAATCCATGTCCAACAAGTTCAGGTACCAAGCTGAGTTACGGCCAAGGGTGAAAAAGTACTTTGCAGGAGAAGACATAGATCCCTACATTGGGAACCTTCTTTTACCTTTTATAGGACTCACACCAGTCAGTCTGGATCACATCAAACATGTTATCACTTCTTTGCATCTTCAACAGTATGCACTTTCACATGGACAGGAGGAGTTATATGGTCTAGATCTTGAAAAGGCACATAAGTATAATGAAGACCATCATTTTGTTCTTGACACATTACACATAGCAAGTCCATATGTTGAAGGTAGCAAAGAGTTATTGGATAGCAAATCAGAGGCCCACAGTGAGTTCTAGCCCATTTCCTTCTATAAGTTTCAGAAGATCCTACTGCCTTGCTTTGCTCTGTACATGGGAGATGCTGATTTCCTTTATTTATGATCCTGCAGGCAAAAGTCTTGAATTGAACCTTGGATTGTCTCTCAACTTGCCCATGGAGAACAGCAATCATCTTAGTTTAGCCATCAAGGACAAAAATTATGATCCATGTGCCATTTGTACTGAGGAATTTTTTCAAGGCCAGAGAGTTATCCAATTAACTTGTTTTCACTCTCACAAACTTCATGCACAGTGTATGGATGTAAGCTCATGAGTTTCCACTATCTTGACAATGTTCTTGGCAGTAGCTGAATTGAAATTCATTCGGTAACTTGTACTTGAATTTAGGTTCTTGTGTTGTATTCAAAAGAAAAATGTAAAGATCTCCGGTGTCCAAAATGCTGTAGGAGCATAGACTACCCACTTTCAATCAGCCAGCATTCAATTGAATGATTAGCAGCACTGGAAATTTAGACAAGTTCAATGAATCTTAGTAGTACATGATTATCAGGGTAGTCTGTCCACCATGACCTCAGAAAACCAGATGTATCTTACTTTCATTTATACCTTACCACATTTCCCACATACATCCACATACATATACCAACTGGTCTTGATCTTTTGTCAACGTAGACTTAATCAGATCTATACTGAGTGTTTTACAGATTTTACAGAACACCTTTTGGAAGTTGTACACATAGAATCCCTTACTCAGTCAATTACTGAATATCCATAATCTATGTCTTCATCTCTATATATGGATCCCACTATTTAGCGCCCCCTTGGCAGACATCCGGCGCCCCCCGGGTTTTGGTCAATACCCGCGCGGCCCGTTGATACCCGAGCAATCTGAGCCTAAATTTTGCACATCGGACCTTGGGGGCACCTTGAGGGCTCCCTAAGAGGGCATAACTTCACAGATGCGCCCTTTATTCTACCTTTTTGATGCCCTTCCATCCTTGATGGGGTATCAAAGATCATCCAAATCATTGAAAGGGCGTCTAAGTTCTTTTGTGCCCGGACCGGCCCAACGGCTGCACGGTCATTGGCCCCTCGGCTCTGATGGAAGTAGCATATAGGAGGTCCCGGTCAACCATCTCAAACTCTTTTCCCTTGGACAACTTTTGCTTTTTTCCTGTTTGCCCTTTCACTGATCACATTTCCAAACTTCCAACCACCACCAACAACCTTCATCCCACCCATCAACTTCGCATCAACCTCATACAAACACAAACAACCTTCAACTCTTAAACCTTACCAAACTAACAACTACTAATATCACCGCCATACAATCAGTCACTCGATTCAAGCTAAAGTTGCTCAATTCGCTCATCCAAATCTTCATCTCTTGAACTCTTGATGCACAGTACGGCCCATTTTTCAATTTCATTGGATATATTACTCTACTTTAAGTTTCAAACACTATTGAACTTTCTTCTTTAGCTAATCTTAGTACATCTTCTGCTAGATTTCTTTCTTCTTCAATAATTTATAATTGGGTTTCAATCTCTTTTATTCCTTCATCCAATGGTTGATTTATAAGTTTTTCTGTTTTTATAATTTCAGTTCGATTTAAATACAATTCTTCGATTAATCTATCAGTTTGATTAGGCCTTTCAACTTGATTTACTTCATCTGAAATCAATAAAATTGATTCTGTAATTGGTTTATCTGTATCTGCTGAATTTAATTTGGTTGAAGGACTTTGAGGAAATGAAGCAGATACGGCGAACTCCAAGAAGCGAATGAGCGGCTGCGAGAAACAAACATGATCAATGAGAACTCCAGAAGAGATCTTCAGTACCAATTGGACAATGCGCATCAAAAATGGGAAGATTGTAAAGGTCAAGGTGACTTTGCAGCCGTTCAAGTTTGAGGAAGTTTGTTGACAAACTTCCTTTCTCAGAACCACGCAATTATGTTGTCTCAAACCCCTATGCCTTCCTTGTATGCTGTCAATTTACGATGTTATGTTTATTCCGATGACGGTCTTGTGTGCTTGCTCATCGAGCAGCGAGCTCCGCTCGCGTGACAAGGCCATGTTTTACTTGGCTAACCTTAGACATTCACATACCATACAAAAGAAGAAAATGTTTAACCAAGTATATAAATATATAAGGCGAGATGAAGTAAATTGTAGTACGAGTCTATATATGGGTGTCCCAATATGGTGCCCCTTTTTTTGAAAAGGGGCACCAGAATCGTTTGTAGCCCAGTGTCCGACCCGACAGGGGGCGCCAGATACTGTTCCGAGGGCGCTAAATAGTGGGGTCCCTATATATATCCTTGAAATTATTCTATGAAGCCTACATCCCTGATTTGAAACATGTCAATATCTCCTAGACCAAAGAATACATGGTCAGAAATTGTTGGCTGTCAGAAAATTTCAGTAAAAATCTCAATGCAGACCTCCACAGTTTTTGGTGTGTAATGGCTTAATTGCATGGATCACTATCTAAACAAGTTAAGGGAATGGAGACTAGTATACCATGTGGAAAATGGTTGTCTATCTGGAGCAAGGGATATTTTTATAAGATTTTATTTAGATTATACATATGTAGACAGCTATGTAGTCTTTTGTGGTTAGAGTATCTATGTGGTTTGCATACCTTTCAAGTAGGATTAGGGACTTGACTTATCAATACAACATATTTATTTGCTGGAATTCACCTTTGTGCATTCAGCACACACAAAGGAAAGTGGTGGAGTTTGAAGTCATATAACTTTGAACTTCTTGTGGCCTCCACAGAATTGAGCAAGAATTATGTACCCCCTCCTGACCCCCAATCCTAGTGTCAAATGGAGTCATGAGGGAGAAAGGAGGTTGTTGTTTGAATTTAATAGAGTGATGACTTAGGGGCTACAAAGTAAAACATGGGCATGTGCCCAGACATGTGCCTGCAATTATTTTGGCTGTGAATCTGGATTTTCTGGGCAAAACCCTGGGCACGGACCCAAATTTACAGCCAAAAAAATCTGGGCACAAGGCTGGGCACAAGCCCGGATTCTACTTTGTATCCCCTGAATGTACCAACCTGCCTGTTTATCCTGACAAGTTGGTTTTGAAGCTATGAGTTTGTAGAAATTGTCTTGGAAGCTGTTTAACAACCAAACCCTTTACTGGGATTGGACAGCTCTTGAGTACAATATATATTTTTAAGAATTGACAAAAGTCCTTGGGCAACCTTTCCCTTGCTCTGTGTGACATGACAATTTGTTTAACCTTTGTCGGTCCATAAGGATCATGGACAGCTCCTATGTATTGAGGCACACAATGTAAAAGATCTCATTTTATTTCTGTGAATTGCTCCAAAATTCATGGCTTGTAAATTGGTACTAAAATACTTCACACCAGTATCACTATGGAATCCAAATTTGACAAGGCCCCTTGCTTCTTGCTGAGAATTGCTGAGGAAAGAGCAAGGACTCTATTAAGTTTTTATCAATACAAACTCCAATGAAGGGTATATAGTGTAAAATTTTGTGTCCACAGTATTTCATTAAACAATCAGTTAACACATTTGAAGCCCTACTTAACTGAGTGCCACAGTCAATACTGCAATTGCTCTTCTCATTTTGGCAATTGCAAAGCGGTTTTTGGCCCCACTATATGATGAGGTAGCAGAGCCTGTGCTGCGCACCATGGGGGTGGAAAAATTCCATAATGCAGTGAACACTCTGCAACAGGCCGGGGCCGAGGTTTCTCCACTATATAGTGGAGAAATACCCTATACCCAGCAGTTTTGGGTATTGTACAGGCTGTACCCCAGCCCAAACCAACTTGTACTTTTGATGTGACATTTGAATCACTTTCAATCACTTTTTTCACTTTCTCCACTCAATCACTCTCAAAAAATCCAACCAATTAACTATAGTCTACACTAGAGCCAACATGGAGAACTAATTAGCTAGAAACAACATGGATAGTTGAGGTTGGAAGAATCTTTGAAAAAGGTTGTAAACTGTTTGACAACCTTACCAAGCCTCACCTGTGGTTCATCTAACAAATTCCAAATCATTATAAGCTGTGTGTGCACTACTACCACCTCCATTGGTCATGATCATAGATTCCCCCTTTAACTTTTCTTCCTCAAATTTTGAACAACTTTTCTAAACCTTATAACCATGATATCCTCCAAAAGCTTGTCTCAATCAAGCTCAATTTCACTTCCAGTCCTGGGTAAAGAATAATCTGTACCTTCCCAAACCCTGAAGCCACCAAGCCCTGCTTGCACCCAAGCAGGGTTTGTGATTCCCCCAAAAGATTAATGTATCACCATTTCTCAATTACTAGTGCAGCTTTTGAAGCCGCAGTAAAGGAAATTGAAGCCTATAGGGAAAGCTTGACAAAGATCAATTTGAGTTTCCTTTCTTTGGTTTTGATTCCCTCTTGGTTAATTTTCATTTCTCTTTTTATTCACCTCTATTGTACATGGTCACTGTTTTTTATTTTCTATATCATACACTGTGGACATCATTCAGTTTCCCCAAGTGGGGAGGGGAAAATGATTAAGAGTGTACACTGTGTCCTTGTGGCAGTTGCCCAATGACAAGTGCACACTGACTACCTTTGAGGCAAAAAGGCACCTTGTGTGCGCTTGTTGACAAGCAAACACCACACAGACATGATGGTAGTTTGTAATGAAAGTATCCATCACTGCACACCTGAGCCATAACACACACACATTACATATGCGCAACAGGCTTAGTTAATAGTTGCCTTTCATGTACATACAAATGTGCTCAGCTGTCTGCTTATCTGACTAAATGAATCACATGTAATACACCATGTAACCTTTTTGCCATTGACAAAATTGTCCCGACATTCCACTACATATATCATCATGGCTACTCAGGCAAGATTCTTGTAGCCATCTTTCAGTAACAGAAAGGGTGTTACATGAAGTTTAGTTGACAAAAGTACACCAAGACTGTGATCAGTGTATGCAGTCAATTTTTGGAATGATTTTGTCAAGCTGAAAAAAAGTTACATGATGTATCACATGCAATTTATTTAGTCAGATGAGCAGACAGCTGAGCACATTTGTATGTACATGATAGGCAACTATTAACTAAGCCTGTTATATGTAGTGTGTGTGTTATGGCTCAGGTGTGCAGTGATGGAGCCTGTTATGACAAATTATACTCCTAATCATTTCCCCATTCCCACTTGAGAGAGTTGAATGATGTTCACAATGATACATGGTCACTTTACTTTCTTTTCTCCATCATACATGCTCCCTTGTGTTCCTTTTCTCTTGTATACACAGTCACTTGTCTCCCATTTGTCTTTATAAACAGTCAATGAATGCTTGTTTTCTTACATTTCCTTGATAGCCTGTTGCTCAGTCATAAATTGCCATATTGTGCGCTATAACACTATATAGTGGCACAATGCAAATTCTGCCATATTGTGCACCATAACACTATATAGTGGTGCAATGCAAACTTTGAAGCCTGCTATATTGTGTGCAATATGGCAATGCCTTGCACTTGAACCACTCTGCAACTTTGAGACACAAAAAAACAAATTACAGTGGAACATTGTGGTGCTGTTATAGTGCAGTCTGTGTTCTGAAAATGACAATGAGGTCAAACTAAATGTGTTGTGTAGCAATTGTGGTATTGATGCAGTCAGAAGCTTCTCTCTTGCAAGCTCAGCTGTCTGGAGAGGGATTCAAGACTAATCAGGCAGTCTTGGTGAGTGCATATGTCTACAAAGGTTTAAGTTTGGCAGGGAGACTTTCTCACCACCTCAACATCTCTTTTCTACGCCTAAAAAGGGTTTTGGATCTCTGCTTGTACACCAAAAGTAGGCAGTAATACAGAAGTCCCTCTCCAGGGCACTGAGCTCACAAATGTTAAAAGAGCCCTGAAAGAGATTGGACTTGTGTTAAGTTAGAAGACCTCTGCATTAACTGAGACACATCCTATAGACTTTACCACCAATCTTGTATCACACCTAAATGATGTGTTGATGATGCAAGTCTGTGTATGTAGACAAAGAGTACTAAGTAAACTGTGATCTAAAAAGAAAGAGTGACAAAGTGACAAAGTTACACACACATGACATGGCTCAGTGAAAGATAACACATCCACACATTCAAAAATTCCATTTCTAGCTTTTGTAATGATCCTCAGTTTTTCTGGACACATCCACTTCCATCAATTGGTGATATTCTTCCTCTCAGGAAATCTGTAATCTAGTTTTGCCAGATTCAAATGTAGTCCAAAACAAGAGACATAATAACCCACATGTTTTTCAAACATTTCCAAGGGTGAAGATAAAGTGTCATCCAAAAGGTTCAACAAACACATGTGTTGTTGCTCTTTATTCTGGGCTACCTTTGTGATCGATCAACCTGGAAACAACATACACTGGATAAAAGTGTGACAAACAGTAATCTACTGGAGTTGAGGTTGAACCAAAACATAGATCATCATCAAAAACATACTGAATTCCTCATCCAGTATGGGCTGCTGTAAAGGACGTATAGTCCTCACTTGAAGTCAAGGGTATGTTGGTTTCTCTCTGAGGGAACAGGACAATCTTTGCCACTATAGTGGGCTTGGATATTCAATTTCTAGAACCAATGTATGAATGATAAATTTCTAGATCTAGCTCCAAAGGGTGGTGATTACAATTCCCTGAGGAGCTAGGATGAAGCACACAGAATTTGATAATATAGAAAACAACAGTAGGTCTAAGGTCTGAGTATAGTTGTGGTTGTAATAATATGCTTGTAATGATACTAAGTGTGTGCATCATTACAGCTGCTTGTCAAGAGGTCTTTGTATACATACAGCTATCCCATTATACATATTCTCTTGAAATAAATCAAGTTTTTTTGACTGTCTTGAAGAGAACTTAACATCAATATTTACCACCCAAAACCAAAAAGATATAGTTGACTGCTAGTCCAAATCCAATTAAAAAAATCACCCTCATTATCTTTTTCCAAGAGAAAAGATATGATGGGCTACACAGGAGTACAAATCCAGTATTCAGAACATATGAAACTTGGGAGACTCGCCAATTCATGCAGAGGTCACTTATTCTAATGACACACCTTTCTGGACTATTAACATTGATTTATTCCTGCAGGTACAGCCAAACCCCTCCAAAGTTATACCCCTCAGTGGGAAGGAAACTCTTTGACTATAGAGGGGTTATATCTTTTTTGGGGAGCTCCTCTGTAGACATACATTCAAGGCTATATATTGAAATCCCTGTAGACATGACACATAATGGCTGTAGAGGGTAAAGCTGCATAGAGAATATATGGCTTGATATGGGTTGGAGTTTGGTCAGCTGATTTGTACAACTTAATCAAATAAGACCATGTTTGTTTCAGTCTGTTGCAATAAAAAAACATGGTACATATTATAAGAAATGAAGAAAGATATCACATCTCATATCTGAGATCTAGTCTTGTACTTACAAGATTTCATGGGGATGCCAATTTATGTATCACCAGACAGATTAGTTGATTCACAGTCATGCAGCAACACATGTCATGGATCACTGAAATCTCAAAAATCAACACAATTAAGAATTCCTTGACTGGATCTTGAAATCATGCCCAGTTTCTTGGACAAACTCATTTCCACCTATGTATAAAGTCTACTCAAGACTCAAGAAATGGACTCAAACTTGTATCCAGAAACTAGAAGTTTCTCAAGTTTCTGGAAGACTTCTGAGCTCCATGACCTGAACTTATGTGAACTCCTTGTGTGTGTGTTTATGGTGTGTGGATTCCACCAAGTATCCTCCAGAAGTCTCACTCAAGAAACCTCTGGACACTTTTTGGCAATGGTGGTATTTCTTGAAACTTGAATGCTGTTCTTGATGATCTTGTCTCCTAAACTATAAAATGTTTTTAATTGTTGATGCTCTTCGCTATTGTATAAAAATTTATTCAAACCCATTGAATCTCAACCCTGATGTTTTGTAGGATTCAAAAGAAAACCCAAAGGGGATCAACTCAAACTACAGTTTGAACAAGGTAAAATGAATTATGAAAATGAAGTTTGATTTGATAAACCTAACCCTAAAGAGTTAAGTTTCAATCGAACTAAACAAACACAGAACCCATCCAAACTTTAAACGCGTGAATTGGACTCCAGTCACAATCGAATCGAAGGTCAAACGACAATAAACAGCGTAGAATCGAATCGAATCGAATTAGTGAAAAGTAAAGAAAAGAAGTTCAAGAAGCCAACAAAAGAAGTAGAAGACAAGAAATTTATAGAAGACCTTTTGGATTAATATCATCTCCATCGATCGATCAATCGATCATCCTCACAACCTCACGACGATCATACCTTTATCTTTCATACATTCATAACCACATACAATCCGATCTCTCAAAACCTCATTTTTCATACTCAAGAAACCGTTCACGTTCAAATTAAAGATTCAAACTTCTCAAGAAATAATTTTACAAACGAAACGAACCAAAAAGTAATAATTGAAAGATGAAGTTAATTAGGTAAACTTGATGATTTCTTTTAAACCTTTGATATCTTTTTTGAACCTCGATTTCTTTACAAAAATCTAACTAACCATTGAAAAATTCGTTTTTGAAAACCTTTTTTTAGGTTTTTAATGAAGTAAGTTACGGTTTCTGTTTTTTGAAAATAAAGGAAGAGATTATCAATTAATAATTGACTGGTGTTTTTTTTTCGATTAGATTGAATCAAGAAACTGTAACAGTTGAATTAAAGAATGGAACAGTAATCCACGGTACAATTTCAGGTAAGCCTTACCCAACCCAACCCAACCCATCCAAACCCATTAAACCCACAATCAAAACCCACACCCCAAAACCCAAAATCAAACCAAGTGTAACACAAAAATCTAACCAGAAATATTTTCCACACCTTTCAATTTTCGAATATGATTTGATATTTATTTTTACAGGAGTAGATGTAGCCATGAATACACATCTAAAAGCAGTCAAGATGACCGTCAGGAATCGAGAACCACAACAATTAGATTCACTTTCGATTCGAGGTAGTAATATTCGATATTTCATCTTACCTGATTCTTTACCACTTGATACTTTACTTATAGATGATGCACCTAAACCTAAAAAGTACGTTCTCTAATCAACAAAACAAACAATGATATGTTTCTTTTCTGATTGGTTTTCTTTTTGGTTTGGGGGAAATAATAGGAAAAAAGATGGTGAAAGTAAAAGAGGTGCTAGAGGTGGTGTGAGAGGTGGAATTGAAAGAGGTGGTAGAGGTAGAGCAAGAGGTAGAGGTAGAACACGTGGAATTTGAAGAAAACAAAAATCCAATTAAACGAGCCAGGAGAAAAAAAGATGATCAAGATTGTTGTTTTTTTGGAATATGTTTTTTTGATATTTTGATGTTTTCAAAACCTAAACCATTCCTTTTTCAATTCAACTCTTTTCTGTTTTCTTGTTTTATATATAAATATAAAAGAGAATATATTGAAGAATAGAAAATGATGATCTTTTTGTTTGAGAATTTGTATTTAAGAAATCATTTTAAGCTAACCAACCACAACCCCACTCCCCCTCCCACAAAAGGTTGAATTATAAACAAGGTAAATGTCTTGAATTTTTGGTTTTTCAATTTGGATTTTTGGTTTTTGTTTCATGGTGATTAAAGAATTGATTTGATTATTAAGATCAGAGTGGAATGGTTTTCATTAAATTTGATAACTTTAGAATCCTTTCACAAACTCCTTGAGATCACAGATTGTTTTGGAATCAAAAATGAGATATAAAGCTACCTGATTCATTCTGAAGTTAACTACTGACCTCCTTTACATATACCAAACAATCAAGCGTCTCTTCTTTCATTTATCCGATGTCAAAGTATGTTTTCAAAAAAAATTGGTATGCTGAAAGAGATTTGTTTCAATTGATCATAATTTTACAACTGCGATCTTTGGTGATAAGAGTTAAACAGATCAAGAAACCAAGAAAATAATAAAATAAGAAATACAACAAGATATGTCATCAGATAAGACTCAAAGATAGTTGAGATCATACAATACCATCTATATCGAAAAATAAAGACCAACCAATCCAAAAAAACTTGCGTTTGATTGATATTTAAGAAAGTTCATTCATCACTTCATCTAAAGCTTCAATTGATTTTCTACAATCTTCAAATGTATTATAAAGAGCTACCGGTGAAAACCTTAAAACATCAGGTTCTCTTTCATCTGAAAGAATCCCTTTTTCGATCAACTTTCGATGAACTTCATTCATTAAACCTTTACCAATAGGTAAAAAGATTAAAGAAAGTTGAGATCCTCTAGCTTTAGGATCCGAAGGAGTGATAATCGAAAACTTTGGTTGATTTGAAATCGAAGAAGCGGAAGTCAAATCTTGATACGTTTTTAATCCTTTTAATCCGATTTCTAAATAACTTGTTAATTCTTCGGATCTACTTCTTAGTGATTTAAATCCTCCAGGATAAATTGAAAATAATTGGAATGAAGAATATAAATTGATTAGTGAAAAGATCGATGGATTGGAATGAACGAATTGATTGGCTCCTTTGATCGGTTCAAATCTTTCAGGCATCTTGAATCTAGTTTCTGGATTATGTCCAAACCAACCTGCAAGACTATTAAAAAAATCGAAAAAAATAATAATAATCAGAAATCAGAATCGAATCTTAAAACAAAAAAAAAAGAATGAAAAAAATCGGAAGAACAAACAAACCGAGGTCTACCATTTAATCCATCTGGTTGAGAAGTCCATTTCTCATGAACAAAAAACCCAGCAATCGCACCCGGTCCAGCATTCAAATATTTATAAGAACACCAAACCGCAAAATCGACTTGAGAAGAATGCAAGTCTAAGACTACATTTCCAATCGCATGTGCCAAATCCCATCCGACTATACAACCTTGTTGATGTGCTGCTGATGTGATTTGTTGGATTGGAAAAGCTTGACCTGTGTAGTATTGAACACCTGGTAAGAGAACTAGAGCGATGCTGGGTCCTTCTTCTGTGGTGAGTTTTTTTTAAAAAGGTTGGGAAATGTTCAAGAATTTCAGCAACGGATCATGGTTTTGCGGATGAAGTAGAGTTGAACTCAACTGGTGATTGTGGAAAGAATATCTTCGGTTCTTAGATGGTATTCTCCTTCTCGTGGAGATAAAAAGACAAGAGACTCGGAAGGATCAAAACCATGCATTTCAACTTGACTTGTCAATGCATACTAATAGAAAAGAGTCCATCAAATCATCATCAGAATGTCTTTTTTTTCTTATAATGTGATGGGGTTTGTTGCGTACTGTATCGGATGGAAAAGCTCTGGCTTCTAAAAGGATCTTGTACCGTTCTTTGGTAGGTCGATAAAATGTAATCATGAGCATATGTAGATTTGTAGTTAAAGAACCATTTACAGCTACTTCAGAAGTAGATGAAGCACCTATCACACAATCACATAAACCCCCGAAATAATCGCATCAGTCTCAAACGAAAAAAACCATCTTTCGGGTTTTGATGGGTTGAGGTTTTATAAGAAATACACAGACCAACTAAAGAAGCCAAAGTAGGTAAACACAAATCCGCAAAATCAGCCCAGTTCCTACCCAAAGGATGATCAAAATGACCATTCACAGCCCTTAAATCGAACCAAAACATTCACACATAAGTATCTAGAACGATGATTATGCTTAAGTAGGAATGGAAAACGAACCGTTCAGCCCAAACATCCATTTCTTCTAAAACCATTTCTGCAGCTCTACGTGGTTGAAGTCCAAGTGAATTTCCACAAAGGTAAACACATGCATCGGTTTCTTCATCGTCAATAGAAGTAGGAGCTGTTGAAGAACTATGATCTAATGCCCCCCCCCAAAAAAAAGAATAAGTCAAGCTTGTTCGATGAGTTTTGGTTTTGAAATCGTATTTACCAGTGATCGAACTTGAAGTTGAATTGATAGCTGATTTCTTTGGTAATCTAAATTCAGATCTTAATCCACCTGGTAAAGCTACATTATCCATGTATCTTGTAAAGTTTGGATCGGTTAATGATAAACATGCTGATGCTGATAAACGTCTTGCCCAAGTTGATTTTTGATTTGAGATTGAATTGGATGACATTTTGTTGAGTGGTTTGGTTGAGAATGAGAAGTTGAGAATGAGAATGATGAGAAGTTGAGAAGTTTGATAAGTTTCAAAACTCTGTAATAAGCAATACACTTATCAGGTTCAACTGTTTCATTTCTCAACAAGTTACTTCAATCAATAATTACTCAATTCCAGTATTGGTAGAATTGTTCAGCATACCTCATCCCATTAAGTTACTTCCAAAGTCCATCTCTTAGGGCCCGTTTGGTAGCCCTTTTTTTACCGCTGTATTTCTACAAACGCTGTAAAATAATCGGTTTTCAAATTTGGCCGTCTGGTAGCCCAAATTTCAAGATTATCGTAATGTATTAATTGAACGATAATCTCGAAATACTATGGTAATTTCATAATGCCCGTTTTCGGCATTATTTAATCCATAATCTGATTTCATTCCGTACGTGAGAAGGGAACTTGTCGAAAATTCACCCTTCTCTGTACCTCACTCTACCCTTCACCTCGTTTTCCCTTCGACTCCAACTCACCTCATTTCCTTTTTTTTGATCACCTTCTTCTTTTTTTGGTCTTCGTTTGACTTCCTCCAAATCCCATTCGACTCAATTCTTTTTTTATTCAACTTTCTTCTTCGTTCGACTTCCTTTCAAACTTTTCCAAATCCAATCAACTCGATTCTTCTTAATTCTTCTTACTTCTTCTTACTTCTTCGATTGACTTCCTCATTCCACTCGAACCGAATCAACAACATGCCAAAAGCTAAACCCGACAAAGTCGACGAAGCTGATGACGAAGCCAACGAATCTCCCAATTGGACTCACGCAAAGAGCCGAGCCTTGATCAACTCCCTCATCCTTCAAAAACTTGCTGGAAAGAAAGCCGCTACTGGATTCAAAAAGGAAGCTTGGACTGCGGTAGTCAAAGAATTTAATGATACCTTCAAGTGTAAACTCAAGAAACCACAGCTCAAGAACCATCTTCAAACGGTCAGTTTCTCATTTAATCAATTTCTTTCTCTTAAAACTATGCTGACCGATCATCAACCTTGTAATACTTAGGTTAAGTCCCAATACGCCATAGTCCATGCGTTGAGAGGAGCTTCAGGCGCTGGTTGGAACGAGGAAACTCAGATGGTAACTGCTCAGCCAGGGTTTTGGCCCGATTATTGCAGTGTAAGTTCTTACATGCTCAATGGTCAATATATATTCATACTGACTGCTGACAACTTTCAAAATCTGTAGAAACATAAAGGTGCTTCTGCCTATGAGAAGAAGCCCTTCCCGCTCTACGACCTCATGAACGAACTCTTCGGTGATGTCAACGCCACCGCCAATGGGATTATAGGAACTCAAACTGCGAATAGACCAATCACTAACCAAGCTATCAGTCCACCTGATGATGAGCTACCTTCTGACGATCCACCTGAAATCGATCTCATGGCTGAAAAGGAACCGGTCGCTAAGCCACCTGCCGTCGATCCCAAACCTGTCAATAAGCCACCTGCCGTCGATCCCAAACCTGCTGGAAAGGAACCTGTCAAAAAGCGACCTGTTGAAACTCGGACCGAGCTATCTGATGATGATGACGATGAAGCTTATCGTCTTCCTCCACCATTAAAGAGGCAGGGTAGGTTTTTTTAATATATTTGTATTGATCTTGTAACTAAGCTATGTCTTATTTACCTTTTGGATTTAGGCTTAGACGACACTCGCCATTACAGTGACCACTCGGGTGACACTTCAGATGAAAGTATCACTCAAACTGCGACTCCGGCGACTCCAAAACCTCGTGCTTACAACAAGAAGCCGGCTCCTTGAGTTAGACCAAACACCAAGGCCAAGCTTGCAAGTTCTTTGGACAATTCAGCTGAATTGCTCAAGAATCAAGCGGCTGAAGCCCTCGATCGCGATAGGGTACGATCAAAGGCTATCGCTGATCACGATGCTGCCAAGGAGTCGATGTTGATCACTGCTGCTCGATTGGATCGAGAATCTCAATCCTATCGATTCACCACCATCCCTTCTCAAGCGGAAGCGATGGAGATCTTCAACAAGGGCTGGAAGGACCACTTTTACGATAATCCCAAAGCTGCCACTGAAGCTATCCTTCTTTTCGAGCACGAGGACAAATGTCGAACATTCATCAATTCCGATGTCGAGTTGAGATGGAGCTGGCTCGCCCTGAGCCTTGGGTATGATGTTGTCAATGAAAAAGAAAAGGGAAAGGGAAAAGAGAAGAGAAAAGAAAAGGGAAATGAAGACGAACAAGAGGATGAAAATGATCAAGAGAATGAAAATGAAAATGATCAAGAGAATGAAAATGATCAAGAGAATGAAGGAAATGAATGATGGTTTTCATTTATTAGGATTAAATCCAATTTTTATTTTATATTACTTTATCAAATTACAATTATATGTTGTTGCTTTACATTAGTATAAGAATTGTATGTACAAAATGTCCTACTGGTTAAATACTTGATCCAAATGAAATATGAGATGTTAAAGTTTTTGTTTAAAAATAAAGGATACTTTCTATACTATTTGATGAGCTCTGAGTTTGAGTTTTTAGCCTCGATAGCGAGGATGAGCAATGTAAGCCTGCCACATGTCCATAGCAATTTGATCTCGAGCATCAGCAGCCTGTGTTTGAAGATGAGTTGAAGCCACCTGATAGACAGCCGCTGGTTCATTCTGCCAGCCTTCATCTTCATCGCCATCATTACCCTCCATGAAGGCATCCCCGCCACCTTTCCTAACAATTATGTTGTGTAAAGTACACATTGCTATCACTAATCTTGCTTGAAACTCAATTGTGAACGAGTGCATACTCGTGAGCATTTCGAATCTTTTTTTAATGACCCCAAATATTCTTTCGATTGCGTTTCGAAGACTGGAGTGACGTAGATTAAAAAGTTCTTTATAATCTTTGGGCCCAGCATTACCTTGGGCCCATTCCTTCAGATGATATCGAGTTCCACGATAGGGAGCTAAGAATCCTGGCTCATTGGCATAGCCTGTGTCGACAAGATAGAATTTGTCTTTAAAGGCATGAATATCAGCATCGGTACAAAAACAAAATGAGTGAGAGATTACATACTCGGTGGAACTACAAATCTCCCTTGCTGCCGAGCTACCTCCAGTACTTTGGCATCACAAGCGGATCCTTTGAAACCGGCGAGGACAAAGGAGAACATTAGGTTGAATGAGCAACCTGCTAATACATTCTGGCTTATGTAGCCTTTTCGATTACGCCACAGGTCTTGATCGGAAGTTTTAACGACAGCCTGTATGTGAGTGCCATCGATGGCACCGATACAATCCTTAAAAAAAGGATACCTCTTTGAATCATTGAGGATTTCGGGTGGGCATGGTGTTTGGGGACCAGGTTGTTTGATGAACTGGTCTGAGACCTTCTCTAGTGCTTCCGTTACTTTGTGAAAGTAGCGGCTGATGGTTTCTTTCGAATGCTGGAATCTTTCAGCGGCCATTCGATTCGAAGCGTGGTTTCCGATGATGTAAAGAAACATCATCACTTGCTCTCGAGTATCGATGTGTTTCAAAGGCATGAGATACACATCCAGAATGTCCATCAACGAGAGGAAGGTTGTCTTGTCCATGCGACAGACTTCTTGAAATCTGACCGGACTACCCTCAAACACTTCTCTAGCATACTCATTACCTCTGAGTCGAGAGGTACGGCAGGGGATGTTGGGAGCTAGTGCTGCGGTGAGAACTTCTCGAGCAGCAATGATATTATGTTCTAATTCGGCTCGGAGAGCATCTTCTCTTTCGGTTGATCCAAAAAGGTCGTCAGTTCGAATGCTCAGCATCGAATCCAGACTGTCGATAGACGCTGTTGGAGAGAGGTAATCTGACATGGATGATGGCGATGTACAGCTGTATGTACAAAGTTTGGATGATTTGGGTTTGATTTTACCAAACGCTATACAGCTGTAAACGTTACAATAATCTTGTACTACATTTCAAAATGGTTTTCAGCCATTACTGTAATTTTAGGGCAATAATGTATTACAGTTTTATGGTAGTGTACGCAAGAATTATTATTTTTCGACATTTCTCATCAGTCTACAATTACAATGTACTATAAACCATCTTCTTGTGTATGAAGAAAGTATCATTGATATAGATCAATTGAGCTTCAAATTAACAAATTGAAACAAGAATAAAAGAACCTCTAGAAATCAAGATCAAAATTGGATGACTACATAAAGAACTGTTTTTTTTTCTGAGTTGCATTGTTCAAATTGCAATGACACAAAAAGCTTGAGATATGATATATAAATACTGGATTTGTGAGTGATCCAGAGAAAATAAAATAAAATAAATCTAATTGTAATCACAAGCAGTACTATCACATTCTGAATTTACAAAAAAAATTAAAAAAATTGATAAGAAAAGAAATATTCAAAATAAGTCAATACAAAACAACCAAGAAGTTAAACATCATTTCAATAAATCGTAAATCAATATCTGGAGATAAGTAAGGTTACTTACGTATAAGTTTTTCAAAGTCTTTACAAGTATAAATTCCACGTTGACCATCAATACAAGCTAAAAAAATCAACAAAAAAAGAGACAATGAATTTGTAAGTAAGAATCTAATATCATCTTAATTCGAAAAAAAATCCAAGGTAAGAAAAGTTTACATTTCGTATTTAAATCGTAATAAAAACATTTAGTTTTAAGTTGAGTTTTAGATTTTGAAGTACAATCAATTCCAGTACCATAATCAGTAGTAACTAAAACCAAAAAAAAATCAATCAAAAAGCATCGGGTTACAAAAAGATTAAAAGAAAATAGAAAAAAAGAAGCTGACCATTTTGAGTACCATAAGTATTACTACAAACTGAACAATGAAGTCCATTACAACCTACCAAAAAAAATAATCAATCCGAGTGTCTCTGTTTTGTTTGTTTTTGTGTTGATTAACTTACTACCAGTATGACCTAATTGACCACCAATCGAATTCATATTAGGTTTCCAAGTCCATGTAGAACAAGTATCCCAACTAGAAATCGATACTGAGATCAAACTTGTTATAAGAAATACGATAAAGAGTGTAGGAAGACTTAAGTTATTCATAGTTTTGATTGATATTGATGATGATGAGATGGAAAGCCTTTAAGGAGTGGAACTTCCGAAAATAATCTTACAAGGAAGTATATATAGGAATTCTTCAAATAGGCTGACTATATCAAGTCTTGATCTATTGCGTCAATTCAATGAATGCCCACTCTCATACATACTTCAAGAAGAAGGTTTCAGAAACATTCAGAGATCTTAAGATTTTTTGTTGTCACTTCATTCAGATTCAAGTTGATGCTTCATGTACGGATCACGTTTTTCAAGAAAAGTGTGATCAGAAAGTCATAATGAGAAAACATATCAGCCTGATTTGAAGATTTGCCGGGTTTGTGAACCTGAGGATTTTTTTTTATGATTGATTAGTGGAGATGCAGTTGGCGCGGTTAGATGAGCCCGGTGGGGTCAAGGCTTGGCAAGGATCAATAGGGATTGGGCGAAGTGAAGTTTTGTAAAATTGCATTTTAGAGTATTTTCACGTATCTTCAATTCAATAGAACTGGACAGCTACTCCCAAATTAATCAAAAGGGAGAATTTTCAATACAATCAAAGCAGACAACCATCCACAAGTCCTGTAACTCCACATTATTTTTTTGCTTTTGATTTGATCTAAAATTTGTGGTTGTGTGTTCCACTAACCCGTCCTAAATACATGTGATATTCTTTGATCTGACATATTTTCAGGTCAACTCCATTTGAAAGCCTTATCTGTTTATAGATATTCGCGGTGGATCTGCCAGGCCCTTTGTTGAAGTTGCAGTCAAATCGAGTTTTACAAACTTCACTTCGCCCAATCCCTAATGTAAGAAGGGCTGGTTGCATGAAGACCATAAGATCATCCACTTACTGCAGGTGACCAATTCATGTATGTACCCCACTTTCGAAATTACCCTACCAGTCTGGTTTCAAAATATGCGACCAACACAAAAGATCTAAGGGATATTCATAATCACTCCTAAAATGTTTTTTCAATTCCGATTTGGTAGTATAAGTCCGGGTAGGAAAAGTTCATACGTATACAAAAAAGATAAGATTGAAGAATAACAAAAGGATCCAATGTACTAAGAATACTTGAGATTTCTTTATGGAAGAAAGCAAGTGTATTTACAATGATGGAGACTGTTATAAGAGTTATGAATTCAGTTTCGAAGGGAAATGATACTTCCTTGATACTCGAACAGGTGATTTACCTTTTACATATTGGATCTGATTCTTTCTATCTTCAGAAACTGGTTTTGATCCTAGATCCTTGATAGATAAAAAACTAATTGTAATCACAAGCAGTAGCATCACATTCTGATAAAAGTCAAAATGATAACAAATTCAAAACAACCATTAGATGAGTTTCAAATGATTTGGATAAACTTAATGAATTGATAGATCTATTAAGTTGAAGAGGTTTTGGTACTTACGCATAAGTTTTTCAAAGCCTTGACAAGTGTATTGTTTACTTTGACCATCAATGCAAGCTGAGAAGAAAAAAAGAAAAAGAAAAGATAAAAAAGTAAGAAAAAAAAAGGTTCTTCATAAGATATCTTGGAAATGCATAACTTTTTTGATTTAAAAAAAATATAGACTTACTTTGGGCTTTGGTATCATAAGTAAAACATTGAATACTAGCTTGAGTTTTACCTTCTGAAATACAATTATCACCAGTACCATAAGTACTATTACTACTACAAACTGGACAATAACGTCCATTACAATCTACAACATATATCAAAATGATTTAATCAATTAGAATCAGTAATTATATAAGTTATATTTTTTCATTGCATGTAACTTACTACCAGCATGACTTGATTTCCCATTGACTGTATTCTTGTTAGGTTTCCAAGTCCATGTAGAACATGTATTCCAATCAGAAACGATGACTTGAATCAAACTTGTGGCAAGGATTACGAGAAAGAGTATAGGAAGATTCATGTTTTTCATTATGATAAAGTTGATTTGATTTTTTTGATTTAAATGATGATGGTTAGTTAGAAGGAGGAGCGAGCAGAAGACAGGAAGCTGGTCTCTTTATATAGAACGGATTCGGGTTTTTTTTCGGTAGGGTAAAATGATTTTACGACTATCAAATTCTAAACGAATCAAGACCTTTTCCAAATGAAATACAAGATTTGTATACGTCAGAAGGAAGATGATAGAATTTCTTAGAAACCCTTTTCCATCACTTTATCCAAAATGTGGATTTCTTCTTTGATATATCAAGTTTTTAAAAACAGGGTGATGAACTCCACGGTGCCAATTTTGAACTTCTTAAACATGTTATCCTTTCTTGCCTCGCCGGTAAAAGTAAGAAAAGTTTTGGAGATTGCTAGATTGGTACATTGTGGTTGAGATACAGATGGCGCGGTAGGATGAGGTGTAGACTTTATGCTTGCTGAAGCGTGGAGATGATCAATCTCAGACCGCGTGGAGATGTTCCGACCTTTTGCACCCTACTCTCGAAATATGTTGCGCCTGCCAGGCTGGGTTCGACATGCGACGTCAAAAAGATCAACGAGCAAGATGATAAAGTCGCTACTCAATGTTTTTTTTCAATGCAAACATGTAGTATACGTATGGATAAGAAAAAGTCATACAACAAAAATGATTATTGAAAAGAGGAACAAGAGCAGAGAAAAAGACTTGAAATCTCTCCAAGAAAGAGAGAGTAAGAGTACAAGGATGTTGGATACAAGTTCAAGAGGCGATAGATATAAATGAGTTTTTTTTTCAGTTTGATCATACCTTACAAGTACATTTCCCTTGACCACGAACAGGCGCTTTACCTTTACCGATCGATTCATTATCAATTTCGAATCTAGGTATCATTGATGTATGATTCATTGATTTCTTTTTGGTTTTTCGAGGTTTAATTTTGGTTGAACTACTTGAAGCGATTGCGTTTGCATCATTTCCGTAACTTCTATCACTAAGATCTACTGGTGGTTTGCTTTTGATGACTCTATTTTTCAAACAAAATGTCCAAGTTAAATATGGTGATCTCTTTTTTGATAGGCAGGTCGATGTTGGCTTACTTTTTAGGTGGTATAGAACTGGTTAGTTGAAAATGTGGTGGACCATTACAAGTAACCTGGATATCCCTGATAAACCAAAAAAACAATTCAAGATCAGTTTCATAAAACGAGACAATGATAATTAAAAGAGACTGACTTTTTAGTGGGATCTACAGAGACGATATCTCCTCTAAAGTTACACATTCTAGCATCAAATGAACCAGGTAAACATCCAGTTGGACCTGAAATCAAAATCGGACGTCTGAAAGCAGGTACGATTTGTCCAAAACTATTGACAATCCTTCCAGTGGTGGTTTGCATGGGTTCTAAGTATTGGATCTTATCACCGTTGGGTGTAGTCTGTTAAAAATGATCATCAGTCAGTGTTTAGATACGATGAGCTTACGGGGAAGTTGGGGTAATCGACACATTTGGAGAGAAAGAAAACTTTATTCACTTGTTCGACCATATTGAAGAGTCCATCGACCGGTACTGATTCGACGACTCGCATGCCTGTTGAAGGTTGCCTTATGACGGTTGAAGTTTGTCTTATGCCTTGTGGGGATCGCCTTATGCCGGGTGGGAGTTGTCTTCTTGATGCTACTGGCATTTTGATTCTATGTGCTTGGTAATAGGTGAATGTGCTTGACTGAAATGATTTTGAAGTTGAACGAAGTTGATTGAAAGCTGAAGGAAGTGGTATGTTCTTTAGGATGAGTTGGAAATAAATTTATCTGTTTTCTTGATCGAGGCTTGAAAGATTTCTTTTTGTTATGTGAAAACAAATAGAAACTCGGATTTGGATATTGGATTGCTATTAAAAGGCGAACCAGGCCAGTATGAACTTCACATCCCAAAACGAGAAGTTGGTGTTCGTTCAGATATGGTAGTCAGACTTGAGAAGTGTATCGATGGCCCAGCTTAGATTTAAAAGTCAAAGAAAAGGTATCGATCAGCCAACTCCTTTTGACCCTTATTGCAGTGATTGGTGATAATTGTCGAATGTACCCTCCCAATTATCATTTTCACCAATTTATTATACCAAGAAATAGCAACCATCGAATATCTTGGATTCACTCGGGTTTATCGACATGTTTATCTTGCCGAGATTAGACCTTGCCATTGGTCTTAGTCCCAGCAATCACGTCGACCTGAAATTCTACACTCAGGCTCAGCTACGTCTACATAGCTGATGGAGCCTCCCTTACTTCAACTTTAATTGCCACGATGGTTGGCTGGAGAGGAATTAAATCCAAAAGAGTCAAGTTGCTTCAAATTCTTCCACCAGACCCTATGCCTGCATTACCATACAGCCAAGCATTTCCAAATTGATATGGTCACATACTTTCGTTTGCTTTCCGTTGCCTATGCATAGCAGGTAACAATCGATGCAAAGTGTGAGACAACCGTATTAAAAGACAGACTTGCGACTGTGGACTTACCAGAGAAGCTTAAGTGAGTGGCTCATAGAAGGTCATAGAGGTGAAAACTTCAAGCAACACGAGATGAGTTGCAATCTGCTTTGGATAGAGACGACGAATATTTTGTACAACTTGTTTGACGTGAAATGTGCTCGTAGTATTTCACAAAGCCTGTAGAAATGCTCAGCGTGATAATAGACAAACTATGTGGTCAACTGAACAAAAACTTGAATCCAGCGTTGAACACAGCTTTTTTTACAATTTGCTTGCAAGTCCTCCCCACGACGCACACGCAATGAAGTGATTGCTTGCATGGTGGCACTGGCCTACATCAAACGCTTGAATCTCAGCCTAAGTACGTTTGCACTCAACACATTCTGAACCGCGCCCTCAAAATGTGAATTCTCAGATTCTAGTCAAAGAGCCAACGAGAAGCTAGGACACAACGATCCACCTGTACTGGGGAATAGTCGAGGTTCGTTTTCTTCTGGTGGCACAAAGAAATTCACAGATTTTCTTTTGTTCACGGGCTATCCGCATGGCTCTGGAATGACAAAATACATTTCCTTATCGGTCTCATTGTTCAAGTGGTACATGTCTAAAGAAAGTGACAAGTCTGGCTTCAAAAGGTTCTTTGAAAAGCACTTGCCATGTAGAGATTTCACTGGGATGGATGTAACTTTCCTCATTGCACGACAGGGCTCTTCAAATCCAAGGCTAGGCTGGGTAGGTGTATCTTTGATCTAATTAAACCCTCCCATGGAGATCAGTAGGATCAAAACTGCGAAAAGTGTTCACGAAAAACATATTGGACAAACAAAAGGTTGCATAAATCGTATCTTGAAGCAAGAGATCATACATAAAGAGCAAAGGTATTTTGTTGATAGACTGGAGCAATTATTCAGTTAGTTACACATCGTAAATATACAAGACTTTCAGGTTAATTGAAGAGTTTTTTTCAAGGTGATTATGTAGCTTGTGATTGAGATTGTCTGGGTTCACAAATTCCAATATTCTACGATTGGCAGTAAGAAAAATTGTCATGTCAGAAAAGAATACTGCTGCAGGGGTGTGTTTTCAATGAAAGTTGTGTGATTGTAGAAAACTGACATTGAGTTCAAAGATTACTTCACCCTTGAATCGACCAAGGGCATTTGGTGAGGAATCTTGTTCGATGACTGCTGCCTTTCTTGTTCCATTAGATTCAAATCTCATTCGTAATTTCAAAATCGAAGGTAATGAAGACCAAGCTGAACTTGGTCTAAATTCAGGTGTGAGTAGAATAGTGTTTCCCGGGGTCCCCTTTTTTGTAGGTTGAGTGGTCATGATCACCTATACCGTAAGTCAAAAGAAGGATAATGCACATCAGTTACTATATCGATGACGACCACGTATGAGCATATAGATAACTTACAGTGCAATTGAAAGATGTTGTGGCAAACTTGATAGCTTCTCGGATATGCTGTCCTACTAATGCTCTTTCTTCAATGGTCATACTAACATATTTAGTATGGGCAGTGAGGGAATCCAGAACTATCATTTTGGTCTTAGCCATCCATTGATTTGTTGATTTGTCCAATTGAAACAATGAGAGTCAGATATGACTATCTATCCACCAGATGCCCAATGACAACATATAACGGTGCGGGGATATGGTATTAAGATCTTACCTTGGGGTGTTCAGCTAACCAACGTGACAAACGAAGGAAGAAGAAGATCAAGTCGGCAGTAGAAGTGATTCGAACGAGGTGAATTCCTTCACAGATTCGATCGATCAAACCATCCCGATTTTCTTGTAGCTCTTCTACTACACCTTGAGCCGAATCCTCAAATAATCTCGCTGGCGCACTTCCATCCGCATCTGATCTTTTTGTGTTATACATATATCATGTTGTCAGATGTGACTAGCTATCTTCAGGTCTATTGAAGACGACAGAGGGTCGATAGGGTGAAAAGAGGTCCACAATCGTGGCTGACCGATATAAAGCACTTCGACTTCTTCTGCACGACGTGTTATCAGGCTAGCCGTCCGAGCTCGAACCGCAATTCCGATTGCAACTTTAGTCTTGCCTACGCCAGGTGGACCCTCGATCTGAAGGTGTTGTCGACGAGACAGACCGGCGGGTGAGGATGGTACCAATTCGATTGCTTCATGTCTCCTTTTCAATGATCTATTGTTAAATAAGAGATCGAGGGAAGGATGACCTGTTTGAAAAGGTGGCTGAGGTCTGATCGAACTGAGTAGTTGTGAGCCTGTGATCGAACCAAGACTGCTCGGTATAGTGGAAAAAGAGTTAGAACCTAATGAGAAATCATGACGGGATAAGAGCTAAATGTCAGTTCAAGAGCCTGGCGAGTTATAAGGGATAATAAGGGATAAAGAAAGAACTCAACTGTTCTGTTGCCGATTGGTTGGATCCATCGAGTTGATGATAACTTATCGTCAGACGCTCAAGTAGTTCTCATACATAATACAGCAGTAGCTAGAATTCCATTTACGCAGCACCATTACATTTGTACTGCATACTTCTCCGAAATGTCTCACAACACCAAAATGGCAAAATGTTCAATTTGAACATCATCAAGCTGGCAGTGGCACTTGAACTCCAAGGATGTTCCATGTCTGAACAAATTTGTTTCTGGAATTGTTGAAAACGCACTATATTTGGAGAAAAAGTTGAATAATCATCATCAAAGGCGTCTTCACTCAATCATCCACTCTGGTAGTGAGTTTTCAATTTCCTTGAAGCAAATTGGGAAAAGCTTGTCACGAGTTGCCTGTAAGATTAGTCCAGCTTTTCTGAAGTGGCTGTACTACTTTGTTCTTACTGGGATTTGCGATTACTTTCATATATACCATTCCATTATATCAAGGCATAGCTAGTCGTAATCACAACTTTGAACCAAGGCAATGTCAGGTAAATCTTGCTCACATAGAGTATGCATACATTGGATAACTAAGCATGGCAAGACCGAAGGGCGGCTGGCCACTCTTGCTACCCGTCATCGTATGTTTCTTGAATGGCGAAAGCAGGGAAGATGTAGGCAATGACACCTGAGATTGTAATATTCAAGATAGTCGTCATCGATGAGCATATTGGTCATTCTTTAACATGTCAACAATTAGGCTTTCAGACCACCTTAGTCCTTGGAGTCGAGCCTTGTTAGTGAGCGGCAGTCATCCAAAACGACATAATGGTGCTGAGATTTTTGCGCTCATCGGGTTAGCAACAACGCACACAAATAATATCGAATTACTTCATCATTTCGTACGAAGAACCAAACCAGTGAATATACATTTCATATAGACTACGATTCCGAACCACTCACTGAGCCCTACTACCATGGCTCTGGCTTAGAGCCTTGTCTCTAGCTTGGAGCCTGTTCAGAATCTCCTATAAAGTTGCCCTTTCCTTGCAGTAAGAAGTTTCCTATCATCACTCATCAGATCAACAAAAGGTACTCCGGTAGTATCATCCTCTTAACCTTCCACAACAAATATAACTTATTCAGTTCCTAGCATCTTCTATCTAGTGTCTTAGACTTTATTTCTATCTATATTAACTTTTCAAGTCAATACTTTGGTTGTTAAATTAACTTATTTATACCCTGTCCATTAAATTTATAATCCATCACATTCGAGAATGCGTTTCATTTCTGCCACCTTTGTGTTGTTGAGCATTCTTTATGTTTCCCAAGTAGATTCAACTCTTCAAACAAGCAGGTTAGTCTTATTGTCTTGTTTATTTCAATGCAATATTTTGACTGACAATTGATGATTTCTTTGACAACAGTGGTGACCTAATTCCCAGAGCACCGGCACCTGCCCAAGCAAGTCCTTCTGCGTCTGCCACTACCAAGACTCGTAGAAACTTGAATGCTCGCTCACCCGCACCGGCCCAACCCAGCGCTTCAGCAGCACCCAAGACTCGTCGTGCATTGGACACTCGTTCACCAGCACCGGCCCAAGCAAGTGCTTCTGCATCTGCAACCCCCAAGAATCGTCGAAACTTGAATGCTCGCTCACCATCCCCGGCCCAAGCCAGTGCCTCAGCAGCTCCCAAGACCCGTCGTGAATTGGACGCTCGTTCACCAGCACCGGCCCAAGCTTCTGCATCTGCGGCCCCCAAGATTCGACGTGAGTTGGATGCTCGTTCACCATCCCCGGCCCAATCCAGCGCTTCTGCAGCCCCCAAGACCCGTCGTGCATTAGACACGCGTTCACCAGCGCCAGCCCAAGCCAGTGCCTCAGCAACCGCCAAGACGCAATGAGAATATTCCATCACACCTTTATCTTAGTTGGAATTTCGCGGTAATAGATTGGCAGGTTTAACTTTCACCATAGAGTATGAATGTCTTTTTAAAGATGTATATTAAAAGTTAATTGTGCTTAACATGCGTCCGATTTGAAGAAACTTGCATATAAATTTGCATATACCTTGAACAATCCACTTGAAACTAATTTTTGATGACAATCTTTTCCATGAGAGCACACTTCCCGCTCCCAATCCTCTCTCAGCTTTCGCTTGGGGATATATCATCTCCTGTAGCTATTTTGTACCCTGCTTTACATGTACCTCTGAATGGCCAATTGTCTGCATGCCTAGGAAATATATTCACCTCCCAGTAACTATGCATTTTCACAGCAGAAAAATTGAACTTTTCACGGCTCCAAGTAGTCTTACTGATTCATTGAAGTACGCTCGCTCTCACATTACTCTGCTCTCTTGGTTTTTGGTGAAACAACCTCTTTTACCTCTACCTTTAGGCCTTAAAATCAATCAAAACAAGTTGCCAATCCTTTCCTTGAGGTTTTATAGTGGCTTTGGTTCATCATATTTTAAACTGTGTCTCTTTTCTCGCATATTCATCACATTCCTCCAATTACTTGGGTTAGTACCAAGGTCTGCGTACCTTAAGTTAGGAGAAGAGGGCCCATGTAGTGCACTTTTTTATCAGTTTGCAATTGTCTTCTTGAACATTTACAATAACTCAGTTTCATGATTGGAAAAATCGTTTTTGAAGCTTACAGTTTGAATTCTGTTGATTACCTTTGTAACCGCAGCCGCTCCCCCACCCTCTGGTGTCACTGATCCATTGGTGAATAAAATGATGTCATTTCTCTCATTTTCTTCTTCCGATAACTGACAAGGTATTATTTTACCTGCTTCTTGCTTCTCAACTTTGTTAAAAAGCTCACCTATTCCTTTGGCCAAAGGTGCTTTCCGTTGAGTGTAGATGATGATTTTTATGTTCTCTTCTGCTAAGGGCTTGAATAGTTGGATTTGATTTGCATCTTGCTCAGGGTGCGCTTTTGGGTTATGTTGGAGTTTGTGTCCTATGAATTTTCTTGTTGGATGCATATAAAGAACTTCAGGTTTGTGGTTCTATCCCTGAAAGAGATTAAGATCAGACTTCAGTCTAATGTAAGAAGACTGATGTATGATTGAAGAAACCACAATCTAATGAAAGGAGATTGTGCAAAACAAATTGAGTTCAATTTCAAAATAAAGAGAACTAATTTAGAAGAAAGAAAACTAACACCTGAAAGAGATTAAGATCAAACTTCAGTCTAATGTAAGAAGACTGATGTATGATTGAAGAAACCACAATCTAATGAAAGGAGATTGTGCGAAACAAATTGAGTTGAATGAAGAAAAGAAACAACACAGTGATGAAAACAAGTTGTTTATATATAGAACTCATCAAACACAATGTAATGACATCATCTTCATGATGTTAGAAAGAAAACTTTAATCTATTATGCAAATGTAATCATACGTGTCCTGCAAACCAAGAGCCATTGCTACGCGATGCTCAATTCATATCTGGTGTGGATAATCTCTTGAGCCCAAAATTATGGTTTCTTCTGGTAAATATGCAAGTGAAGGGGGCTAAGTAAGTGTTCATGTTGCTTGTTTTTTGAGTAAGCCATGAAATGCTCACGCAGAGAATCCTGAGGATGGGGACCAACATAATGAACATTTTTACCTCTTTCATTCATATGCCTTGTCTATAAGTATTTTACAATCTGTGAGCTTTTCCTCCAGGTTCCAACTTGCCCAGAGTAGGTCAATTGTGGTTGGGGTTGCCCCAAGGGGAAACCTAGTTGGTTCTACTCTTGGTAAAATTGGCTTGAAATCCTTTGATCTGTTGAGGACAATGAGTTTCTTGGCCTGAGAATCTGTGTGTTGGTAATTTGGTGGATTCCAGTGATTGTGATGCAGATTTGAATTAGTTGTGATGAGGTTTGGTCTTTGTCTGTTGTGGCAAAGACATACCCATTGTTCTAGAATCTCTATGCCTCTGAGTGAGTTACATAGGCCAGGTGTACCAGGTGATGATGTGGGTTTGGGTTAGAGTGTGTACAGGTCTTTAATGTCTATGCCTAAGATGATGTCAGACAGGCTTGGTAAAATTGAGAATTGAGATGATGATATGAGTTTGGAAATATAGATAACAACTTGTGGTCTTTCTTCCCATGTGGTGGGGTAGTAATTATAAGCTGTGATCCTGTGGCGTGCTTTGTGGGTTGGAAAGTACAGGTTCATTGTGTTAAACTATAGTTCTTGAAGAGCTAATGACGTGTATTGAGTTTTTGTGAGGGCTTCAAATGTGATTGATTGTGATTTGCAGCAGTTGAAAACTAAGATTGAGAAATCACTTGGGAATTCTGATGATAGTCTTATGACTCATTATTTTTTAATTATGGTAAGATGATCTGTAATTGTGTCTGACGGTGGGGGAAGGTTAAGCCTTTAGGGGAATGATTATATTGAGGGAGGAATATATCAGTTATTTAATTCTCTCCTTGGATCTTTGGTCGTCATAACTGACACATCTGGCACATGCTTGTTCACCATCATTGTTGGCACAATGTTTTGTATTGTGGGGATCGCCACAAATTGCGCAATGGACATTGTTATCACAAGCAGCAGAAGTTCATGAGTACGTCGCCGGATTTCAAAATGGATGCGCTGCGAACCCGGATGACTCGCTGTTTTTCAACTGTTGCATTTACAGAGTGAAGGGCCTTGTTGATGCTGAGGACGATTTCTGTGATGGTCAAACCTTTGAATGCCTCTTTCTCCGGTGCTTTGTGGATAATAAGCGTTGTAGCCTTAAACTTATTAATCTCGGCGTTTTTGGGCGGTGGTTTGGGGGCGTTCAAAGCAGTAGGTCATTGAAGGATCCTCGAGATTGGATTGGTCCAAGCTTGAGGTTTGGCAGTGAGTGACTTGTCGTTGTGATTCCTTACTTCTTTCGGGGTTGAGGTTGCGAATTTCCTCGTGTAGGCCCCTGATGACGTCAATGAACAGTGACATCATTTGAATGACACTTTGAAAAGTGCATCGTTCGAATACGAGTTGTTCGTGGCTAAGGATGGTAGCACATCTTCCATAGCGTTCGGGTCCATCGTAGCTCGATTTGGTTTCCGGTTGTTCGGATGGGAGGGTGGATCGTCTTCGTCAATGCACGGTGAGCGTTTGGACGGGATGATGGGGGGTATGAGATGATCCCGATGAAAAATAATGATGAATTTTTTCTGATGTGGATTTGTGAGATTTGAAACGGGATCTTCTGGGGATTTGGTGGGGCTACCACTGGGATTCACCATCCCCTGTGAAGTTATAGTGACCAGTGTCAGTCTTGAAGGTGTCACTTGGTCAAATCGGATGCTTATGTTTTCTGGGTCTGACAAATATGTTGTTTATCTTCAGTTCCAAGTGTAACCCATGCGCACGGCGAATTGAGATTGTGGGATCCCAAAGTATGCGTCCTTGTCGATCAAACACTGCAGCAGCAACGTCGCGCTTGTGCAGGCCAATGCTATGATACATTTCCACAAGGCTGACACAGATTGCTCGTTGTGACCTGATTGCAACTCTGCAGGCGTGTTATTTTGGAAGGAACACCCTTGACGAATCCACAGGCCTGGCTTGGTATATAGTCAAAGCTCACAATATGAAATATTCTCCTTTCTTACTGCACGATACCTACACTGAGAACTTTTTCTACCATAACCTTGAAATTTCAGAATTATCATATACCTTCAAGTTGATTGTTTCTCCATCTCCGTACATTTCACAATAGCTCTAGCTCCTTATTGATCTGCAAGACTCGCACACCCATGGCTTCCCATCAAGGTTGTAGCGTACAACATCGAAAATATTCCACAGACAAAGTGTGTGACCTGGAAGGTAACAACATGCCTGACATTTCAGTTATGCCTGCGCTAGACTCTCGCTCACTAGACGTCCAAGCCCGCCGAAAGGGAACTTGGATAACGAAGTTCCGTAGCCATACACGTGAATTTTGGGCGTAAGTGGTTATTGATTGGTTGTATGTACATAAGATGGATCTACCACGATTGATTTTGTTTATGCATTGGCTTTAGGGAATTTTTTGGAACTGCAGTGTTGGTTCTGCTCGGTTAGTTCTTCCATTACAAATTTCCTCAGTTTCAGATATCCAAGCTAATCACCAACTTGACTTATGATCAAGGAACGGCCGTCAATCATCAAGTCACCCTGGGTGGGTCTACCAATGTTGCCCCAAGTGAAAGGGGTAGTTGGACTACCGTATCAGTGCGCCCATATTTGAAAAGATGTGTATCATTTCCACATGTCTGACAGACCCTTCATGTTTTCTCAGTTTGGGTGGGGAGTCGCTGTGTAGGTTGAACATATCCCAGGTAAAATTTCGGAGTACACTAGTTGACATTATAGGTGCTCGTTCTTAGTATGCTCGGTGTGGTTGTCTCTGGAGGTATCAGTGGAGGACACGTTAGTAGTCAATTTTTCAGTTGATTGAAGATGCGCTACGTGCCATCTCCTCCATCTCCTGCATACGACCACTCATCTCATTACGTCTATAGATCAATCCGGCTGTGACTCTAACTCAAGCATTACTACGGGGATTCTCTTGGAAAAAAGTGTAAGATGTCTTTCAATGATCTCATCCCGAAGAAGGCTTCTGCATCGACCAATATCGTATGTAGACCTCTTTACTGGTTGGCCCAATTCACTGGCGCATTCTTTGGAGCAGGGTACGGAATTTATCTCTAGATTTCAACACAGCTTTAGCAACATGTTCTGACGTGTTTCTCACCAATCTAGGCTCACGTGTGAGTAGTATACGATATGATATCTGCAAACAGCACTCGTATACTGATTTTGGAATGACCTGATTGAAGACTTGAATTATTCCCGCGCCATCTCTTTGTTCGAGGGAGGAACCCACATACGGACGATTAATAAAACCGGAGGCCTGTACTTCACGAGTAAGTCTCAATAACGCGACACCAGTCTAGCTACCGCAAAGCTTACCAAAACGCTTCCTAATTTTCAGATCCGTGAGTTCTCATAATTGATGTCTGTGATTTTGAGAGTACATAGTTTATCTAATTTGATTCAACCGCTATAGTCTTCCATATATGTCCAATTTCGGATGTTTCTTCAACGAGTTCTTGATGTCCTCGATATTGATGATGTTTATGTGAGTACATAGATGGTCAGCATCGATTGAGAAAAAATGCTGACATGAACCACGAGTGCCAGTGTTGCTAGCGGAGATGCCGGGAACATGGCCCCTCCAAAAGGAATCAGTCCCTTTATCATACTATGGGTGGTCTTTGCTCTGGCGTCTACTCTGTGAGTTCAAAAATTCAAACAATCTTACACCTTACATTAACTGACCACCATATTTCTACATAGTGGAATGCAAGTGAGTATTGAGTTTAAGCTTACCTGGCTTCAGGTCCCACGAGCTCACGAGTTCTATTATGATTAGACCTCCTTCGCCTTGAACCCCGCTAGGTGAGTTGGCCATCTACTTCGATTCAGAATGTAATATTGAATGCCTTTTGTGCATAGGGATATCGGACCCAGACTAGTCACTTGGGCCGCCGGATATGGGAGTGAGGTTTGGCGAATCAGATCAGGGTGCGTGTGGGATCTGTTAGGTATGCTGTGAATGTGCTGGTAAAACTCACAGCAATGTCCGTCTTCCACTTCATTCAGCTACTGGTTCTGGTGTGCAACTTTGGCGCCCGTCTGGTAAGTCTTCATAATACATATCCGGTCGTCCCAATCATCATCTCAGGCAAGTTGAATTTCGCTATCCTTTCCGATAGTGGAACTTTCGTTGGGTGCTTGATCTACGATTGTTGCATTGGAACCGATGTTGTCGAGAGTCCTTTACATAACCCTAGCGCCTCCGGATTCACTGGACGCCTCCGAGGACCGCCCCCTGCTCATGAGACTCGCACCAGTGGTTCTGGTAACATCAAGACTACTGGTGACAGTGATTAAGATGACTCCCTAACCCCTAGTTGTTTTTTTCTGCTTCCTGGTGAGATCACGTCAGGGGGATCTTGATTGTGATATGATCAAACTTCTAGTATGCCAGAACCTGATATTAACAATGTCCAGCGAGGCCTTGATAGTTAAGCGGTTGTGATCTTCAAATGAATTCCCGTTCAGAAACAAAAATGTGCAAAGAAGCTGTTTTGTAGCAGGGTACAGCCGGGTACAGCTACATACGGAGATAAGAAGTATAAAACTTACTCAGGTAGAGACCTTAACGTTAATCACCTAATATATAAGTACTGATCACCATATAAAAACATTCCACGCAATGGATAAACCACAAGACATAAGGAGCAGTTATAAGATCCGTAGAAAGATTATAACAATGAGTAACTAACTAGATATGATCACATATCATAGTAATTGAGGCGGATCTTTTACTCCTTGTTTATCCTTTTAAGATTTACAACAAACTTATAAACTACTATTACATGTATTTACGTAACCGTGTAGTTTGTGCTTGATTATAAAAGGAAGGAGTTCCTTCACTTGGAAGGAACTCCAGTCATCTTTTATCCTAGATTAGCATCAATAACCTTACCTTTGAAATCTAAGTCTTTTACTACCTTTGCTAAAAAGGTTGACCGCGTCAACCGCACAAGAGAAGACAAGAGGGGTCAAATTTCGCCGCAGCCTGCTGCAAAGCCGCTGCGCAGCTCACAGAATCAAATTCGCCTGATCACAAATCTTCATGTGATCGACTTGACCTGCCACTTTCTGGCTTTGAAATATCTTGCAATTGCTCATAAAGCACAGATATATAGCTCGGTATGTTGAAATCAAGCACACAGTCCGTTTGTGCAACTTCACCCAAGCTGTGAGCGCTACACTGACTTGTTTGACTCAAAGCAGGATAAGAACATTTGATTGAACGGTATGACAAGGCTGGATTGTGACTACAGAGTGCTTGCCTACATCAGTTCAAGCCTGGTTGGGTTTCTTTTTTTTGCTTTCATTTTGAAATGAAATCAAGGTTTTGATCTTGGATATGTGTCAGTGCAATCATCTATGACAATGTCATTTGAGCTCTTGACTGAGCGAGAAAAATGAAATATTTTTTTCAAAAAAAGACTTGGTTTTTTTTTCTGTGATGAGACCAAAATGTAAAAGCACAAAAGTACACACGGACTCGAACCCACCATCAATGATTCAATGCACTGAGATATGTGCCGTGTCAAACTACTACACTACGAAAACGATGAGGAACGATGGGAATATGCATTATCGATATTGCTGAACAAGAGCTGGGCTTGGCTGTACGGTCAATCTGGTCATACCAAGCTCTACATTTGTTGTCGAGATAGTTTGCATGAGTTTCAAGATATAGCAAAGCCAGAAAGCGGCAGGTCCAGTCGATGGTATGAAGATTTGTGATCGGGCGCACTTTGCTCTCTGTGAGCTGCGCAGCGGCTTCGCAGCAGGCTGCGGCAAAATTTGGCCTCTCTTGTCTTCTCTTGTGCGGTCGACCCGGTCAACCTTTTTAGCAAAGGTAGTATTAAAAACTCTACCGTGCCTTTTCCAAAGCCCGTTATATTTCAATCATATCTTATTCAAGTTATTCTTGAAACATCTACGCATTCTTCCTGGAGAAGAATTATCTTATCGTACTTATTTCTTTTAAATCCCAACCCTAATAGCCTAGGGTTAGAAAGCATAACGTGGGTTAGAATTACACCCCGTTACAGTTTGAAGTAGGCGAAGAACGATTATCCGAGCAAGAATCTTCAAGCGTTCAAATTCATGTGGAGAGCGGCGCATTTCTGACAACGCGGACATGCGGCCAGCAAAGATGCGCGCATGTCATGTGCGCGCGTGCTAACCTCTCAAAATGGGACCTGTGCGCATGTTTCTAGAACTTTCTATCCTAGCTGTAGAGTGAGAGGTGTGAATAAATTTAGTACCCTTTCTGATTGTCTTGTTTTAGGAGGGCAGTCCATAGACATCTTCTACTAGTCTTTTATTGGTAGATTATCCCCTTCACACTCTGTATAACCCTTGTTGGGTTATAAGTTCTACAACACCACTGCCAAGGTCCCAGGGTTTTTTCTTTTCTTACTTGACTGTTTTGTTTCTTCTCAGATTGATACATATCACCACTCAGTATCTGACAGACTGATTGTATGTCAGGCAATCAAATATGGCTTCAAAATGAAAAAATACTTTAAATACTTGTTTTTTCCTTAACATTCAAGATTTTTTAGAACAAATACGGGATACAAAGTAGAATCCGGGCACGCGCCTGGCTTTGTGCCCGGAATTATTTTGGCAGTAAATTTTGATTTTCTGGGCAAAAGTCCGGGCCCAGAATTCAATTTTACTGCCAAAAGAAATCTGGGCACAAAGCCTGGCACATGCCCAGATTCTACTTTGTATCCCGTAAAAGTTCATCACTACCAAGTGGCATATAGTGGGTAGTGTCTAAAAGTGTGTAATGTTGGGCCAGTTAGTATGGCCAAAAATCTGATTGATCAAAAACTCCATTGGATGAAAAGAATCTTCTCTACTGTAAAAATTGTTAAACACATGTTCAATACAATTTTGAATTCCTCTTGATGTGAGGATTCCAAATCTGCCCTTGGCTTCAAAATTGGATCAATTTTGTGGGCTTAATGAACACCTGATTTTACATGTTTAGGCACTACCCACCATACTCCTTCAAAAGCACATGATCAACAACGTACAGGCTTCCTTATGTCCAATCTTTGCGGAGACTCCTCTAGTCACTGTCACTGCAAAGCAAAGTGCAACCCATGTTCAACAATCTTTGATAATGGGAAACCAGCAGAAGTCTTCAAGAATGTGATCAATCAATGCACAAAGATAACCCCCAAGGCCAGGTCCTCTGATATTTGTCAAGTTCCCCAATGGTCAAAAGATAATCCACCCAAACAAATTCAATCTGAATCTCCTACAGCCACTGCTCCTCCAAAAATTGTCAATATACATAGTTTACAATTGATGCATCATTTCTTGGGCTTTTCTTTGGTGCCATCAACAAAGGCACAACTTAGCGGCAAGTTCCATGGCAGGGGTGCAGGTTGAAGTGTTATAAGCATATGCCAATACTAATAGCGCAGCCAACATGGAGTGTGGAAAAAAAATTTCCTCTCCATCTTGAGAGGAAAACTATACCACACCCTCCCATGTCATAGCATTGACAATCACACTCACACCTGGTGCCACAAAGACACATGGCTCCCTGATGGGGCACATGGCAACAGCCAGGGCTTAGGCCACCCGTGGCCCTCACCCCAACCCGTTCATGGCCTTCACAGGGCATGAAATTCAGTTGAAGCCCCCCTAAAGATTGTCTTAAGCAGGGAGTAGCTGCTAAAAATGAGGATCTGAGGTTGTTTAAATGGAAGCCCCACTGGGCCACACCACACCAGGCCATGGCCCCCACACAAAAGGCACCGGGAGTGAGCGTGAGAACCACCAAACTCAGAGCATCCATTGCAGATTTACATTTTGGTTTTCAACAGTTATCTGTGTTTATCAACAAATACCACCCACCCAGCATAGTCAACAGATGGTTTTGGCCTTTGCGTGAACCAGAAGATTTTCTGGTCCATGCAAAGCCAGGCTGGCCTGCAGCCTGCTATCCTGTTCCGCTCTACCAAACATGTATTGTACATCTTAGGCAGAGACCAGGTGGTATTGTATGTGAGTAATACACATATCCTGAACTAAATGTTCAAGGGCCAGATAAAACTTGCCAACAATAATCTTGATCTTCATGTGGCACAACATACTTCCAAGAATGTCCTCCAGTCTACCAGTGGAAGTCTCCATCAACAAGGAGTTGATTGGGCAACTGTATGTGTGGTGGTCACTGATTCACCTGCAATCATGGTCAAGTTTTGGGTGTGCACCCTCATTATATCTTAGTATCTATTTAGGCCTAACTGACAAGTTTCTACAGTGCCTTCTTTGTATTTCACATCCACATATTGTTCCTGTAGGATGCTGTCTTCATCTCTTCAATCTTATTGTCAAGGGCATATGTGCATTGCCTCTCATTCTACTGATAGTCAAACACAATAAGATCATTGCCAATTTTTTTCATCAAATCACACTACTGGGGGAAATTCTTGATGATTGGCAAGCTGAGGTTGGCATTGGACATGCAATTCAAACCTTTTGCCTCACTCGATGGTTTTCAATGGCCAAAGTGTGCTTTTCAGCCCAAGATCCTGAACCTGGCTTTATCAAATGTCTTACCATGTTAAAAAACCTGTCAATCAACACACCCAAAATCAACAAAGATGTTGAGAACATTGTCAATGACCACAATCACTTTACTGGAAATGAAGTACTTGTCAAAATTATATGTCCTATTGCCAATTCACTGGCACAATTAGAGCATGCTGATACAACCTTAGGTGATATATGGAAGGAGCTGGGTATTGTTTACTGTAGCATTCAAGACAACAAAGTCTATGAATGATTCAAGCCGCTCAAATAACATGTTGTCCAAAAGCCTGGTTTGTTAACCAGACATCATCTGTGTAGTTTCAAAGTTGTGTCTGCAGATGTGGCCTGTGACTTTGAAATCTGATGAATCATGCCACAAATACTACAACACATTTTCCCAAGATTTGACAGGCTGTTGCATGTGAATTGATTGATAACCTGCAGCTGTAGTACAGCCCTTTGCAGAATTGATGACATGAAAAAGACTTGAGTTTTCAAGAAAACTATTGAGTTTTTCAAAAACTGAGCAAGCTCTTTCTTCATGTTTATTCTCTCAAGTTGACCCAGTGGCATTGTCCAGAAATCTAGACCTATTCCCTCCTGGATGCCCCAGACATCCTCTATGTCTTCAAGACCTCCAATCATGCCGGGCAAATTGAGGTCATGGAGTGAATACAGGTTGCGTGGTCATGTTGAAAACAGAAGAAATTTCTGCACCCTGAGTCATGTCATGGCTGCATGACATCTCCTCATGTATTGCACCCCCGCCAGTCATACAAGTGACATGGGTATTTGGCCCACAATAACAGGCCAATACAGACCCCGTGAGGGACTTATAGCTATGTGACATGTACATTTCAGTACATACTCAAATACATGTGATTGGTGTGACATATACAGGGTGAGTAAAGGATAACAAGTCCTGCATGCCTGACAGGTGCCCCAGGTCCTGACATGCATTTGGGACCATGCAACCTGTATGCACTGCATGACCTGAATTTGCCCGGCATGAATGGTTCATACCTGACATTGGTTTCAGAGGGATGTCATCCAGAATATGTTATAAAACATGATCTTGACAAGCTTACTCAAATTTACAATCCAAAGAGAAACAAAGTAAAGTTGACTGCTCATGAACAGATTGAATAATTAGTTCTCAAGTTTCCCCTTTTCTTTACACTCTTTTTCAAACCACATTCTTTGTTAAATCACACTCTTCATTAAACCACAATCTCTATCAAATCACACAGTCATGAAAAAAGGCTTTGCACAATAGACACCCAATTTGATGCTTGTGTTGACTTCTGAGACCCAGCCAACTTTGCTGATAGTAAGCCAGCCCCATGCTTGTGCATGCCTGGGTCCAGATATGGGCTAATCCAATAGTTGTGATGAAAAAGTTGGCCTCTCATTTTTTGCTTAACAAGAATTTATAGTCAAATCAGTTGAATTTTGCGAGTACGTGGGCAACCATTGGACCAGGACCCTTCAGGCTGATGAATTGCTACAAGCCTGGGCTGAATGGTGTAAATTCTGAGAACCTCTGCAGTATAGCAAGCACTTGAATTATGCAAAACATGATAATTTCTAGATTCACCCTAAGGGTATGACTGGCCTACCATGAGGATCCGAGAGGGTTCTGAGTGGATATATGTGAGCGTCAGAGGCTTCAGCCAGACCCCGACTTCCGATCCGATCATACTCCTCTCAGGCGACTCATTCATATCCTGCAAGTCTATAGGAATTCGAAATACCCTTCAGTCAAATAAATTCAAGCGTTTTTCTCATTCAAATAACATATATCGAGAAATTATTAAAGAAGATTTGTAAATGGATCTAACAATGAGTCATGGATTTTTTTTGTGGTGATGAGACAATAATGCCAGGTGAGGATACAAATTTACAACAAAAACAAATTCGACTGATAAAAATCTATAAACAGCCCAAAAGTGAAGAAATCTGGAAAGCTATCAACAAGAGAATGAATGGAATTCTCGATAACCTAGAATCTTAAATATAATGCATTTTCAAAAACCAAGAGATCTCAAGCAAAGATTGCAATATATGCAGCTGCATTACCCCCTTCGTCCTATGTAACCAATTCACACAATTTGATCAGAACTTTACTCAGTCTCGTATAGAGAGCTAGAAGATGAGAACAGAGTGTACTCACAAGAAGTGGTGTCAGCTGATTTGTTCCAAGAGAAAAATCCATGAATGAGTTATTCTCCACTTTTAAATGATCAAACCAAAATTGCTTACATGGACTAGAGCTAGATAAAAATTAAATCAATCACAATATCAGTGGTGTCCTTAATCTCTTCAAAAATTGAGATCTGGCTATCCAGCTTCTTACCTGATTTTGCGGAAGGGCTATCAAATGCAGCTGCCTTATGACCTCTGAAGGGACGGAAATAAGCCAGGTGGCAATAGATCGGTGTCAAAACCACCTCCTAGTGAGCAGTTGAGCCGAGACAAATTGTTCACTTACACCGCGTTGATGGGTACCTGGTTGTACGATAAGCTACATGGAGAAGAAGTTGGGAGACCTCTAAAGTTTGATAATCGGAACCCATCAGAGATAGGTCTGATGAATACGTGGCGGAAGTCATAAGAGGTAGTGAATCTAACTCAACTTTTCAACCGCTTGGATTATCCGAGTCCTTATTGTATTCGTATTTTTCGGATTCTTTCCCTTGATCAGATGGAGGAAGCTCGTTCCTAGAATAGAGGAGTTGTACACTTCCTGCTTTGTTTCGGCTGGCAATCCTGTTTAAGATCAAAGGGACAAGTCAGGGGACTGTAGAGATAAGCATGAGATGGCATGGTTGATAATGATGACATACCCAAAAAAGAAAGCGCAGATGGTGTAGCATAGATGATCCCATACTTGGCTATCTTGAAAACCAAGAACTTTGATGATACGCGGGGGAGGGATATTCAAAAAGAAGTCAAAAAACAATTCCAATATGATCACGACGGACAACTTTCCATCATATGACAGTGAAGATCAAAAATTTCTGGACCCACTTTAAGATATATCGATGAGAAGTTTTCGGGAATATACTCCATTGATGGGCTTTCGGCGGGAACTGTATCTTCGCTGGTAACGGTAAGCTTGTGACTGGTTCCGCTACCTTCTTCGCTCCAACCTTCATCTTCTTTTTGTTTTCGACGTCCGATCCCTGTGAGCCAATCTTTCTTCGTTGTAGCATCTCGACCCGAACCGTTCGTCTTTCTCATAAACCTACTCCGTTTAGAATTTTCACTCGTAAGCTGCTTTTTGGTGTTATCTGACTCCTCCGCTTTTTTTGTCGGACCTGTTGTATTTGTATCTGGTAGGATAAGTGACGAGAGATTTTCAAATGTATCCAAATTACTCGTCACATTCTTAAGTCGATTATCAGCGTCAAACTCGAGGAGTACTACCCAAATCTCTGAAAGAAAATAGCTCACCACATGAGAGCACAATAGATCTGTTCAAAGCACTCGCCCAATATGGTTTTGCAGGTCACTTTAGTCAAATCTTCTTCTGCCCAGAATTCCTCGCGAACTCATCAAACAGACGCGGACTTACATGTCACTTCTCCCTTTGGGTCATACAGTGGTACCACGTCTAACAAAGAATAAAATGCTGTCCCATCCTGCCGATAATTGATCATCAACTGGATGCAAGGTTTCTGTTCTCGAATTGCGTTCTCGATATTATTAATGGATGCCTTCAATGTTCCTGGGCCCTGCCATCGTGATAGACGTAGAAAATTTTAGGAAAAACTACATAAATTGATGAAAAGAAATTAAGAGAAGCTCACTGGAAAATAATGAGAGCTCCCTCCAAGAATCTCTCTTCTGTCATAACCCTGATAGTCACAAATACACCGCTCATCATTGAGGTGACCACTGGGTGAATCAGGCATTTAATGAATATACTTACGGTAAGAGTGCTGTGCAAAGCATCAAAATGTGTAATTCAGTCAACACAATGTTTCAAACTCAACATCCTCCTTGATTGTCGAACGTCTTGCAGCGAAGTCCAAATGAAAATTCACAGAGGAACAAATGCTCACCAAAAACCCGGGGAAACCATCATTGCCGGGCAACCCCTAAAGCAGATGAAATCATCGAGCCATAATTCAGTATCAAAGCATGTTGTTACCAAAATGTCTGAAGGTAAAAGCTCAAAGTGAGCGGCGATCTGAAATGATTGAGCTTACGTCAAACGCGGATTGAGCAAAATAAACTCGGCAACTTGACTATCCTCGTTCGAGCTGAGAGGTGCGGTCAATTGGGCCTTGACTCTCTGAACCAATTTGCTAGCTATGAATCTCTAAATTATCAGATGGGTTGAATAAGTTACAAGTTTCCAAAAGGATCAATGCAAAAAACCATTCCGACCTGAAACTCTGATTCGAAAAGAGATTCGACTAGCCATTCCTGACTTTTCACGAGATGGGGGCCTTCCAAGCTACTAGACAGCGTCACCAAGTGTTGTACAGTTCCTTCTCTGATTGCGTTAGGAAGCTCGATCACGTTCGATCCTGATTGATTCTGGTAGTATAAATCTAGGAATTCCGCAATGACAATATATCAATGGACGTGTCAACCATTGAGCGAGATACTGGCCGCCCTCCTGAGCAAAAGCTCTGAAGTAGAGTGCTATTGGTGAAAACCCGAGGCTCACTGAAAAGACTCGCGCACTGTTTCCGGACAAGCCGAGCGAGCTGAACGGTCCGCTGTTCGTCCTGCCACCTTTTCGAGTACGCGGCGCGAATGTCAGGTAAGGCTGATGAGATGGCAGCAAGGACATGTCGACTCAATAATCTTACCTATCCAATTTTAATGTTCCATCCCCACTTGGTTCATTACGCACTAACCAACCTCGCAGTTCTTCACGCGTCGGAGAGTTTTCAAGCAAACGCACAAATACTTCCTTACTCAGGTATTTCATCACTTCATCCGCTGATTGGGAATGTGGCAAATTGACGACTCTTGGAAGACTCGGAGGTTCGAGTACCTTGTAAGAATTCTCATCGTCGGACGAAAGTAAAGACATTCGGCGGCGAGATTTTGAAGATTTCGGTTTTGTGATATTAGGCAAGGCGGTAACACAATCTAAGACCCTATTGATGAATGGATCAGAAAAAACAAATGCAGATCAAAGTCAGACGAATAGAATGTGAATGGTTGGATATCTTTTTGGGTTTGGGTGAGTGCCAAGTGAGCATGTAGAAAAACTATAGGCGTGAGTAGACTAGTGTTACACTCAACTCATTTTGTTCGCCAAGCTTGTGTGGATCCATATCTGATAGAGGAGATGTCATGCCAGTACTGGGGGAGTTGGGCATAGGGTGCGGTGCGCGGCTTGTATATGATGGCGAATCAAGCCTTCCAAGTTCGCTCATTGATCTCGTGGCCAATGTGTGACTGAATACTTCGAGACTTGGATATGTTTGGATCGGAAGCAAATTTTGCTGAAAAGGTCCCTGAGGACCTGATGCTTCGATGCTGCTTAAAGAACCTTCCGGTAACATGGATGAAGGATTTGAGGCTTGAGCTGTCTTACTTCTCCCCTCAGCCGTTTTGGGTCGCCCCTCAGCCGTCCTAGGACGACCATCCGAAGTAGAGTTGGCTGCCCGTCTGACGAAACTCGGTAATTTGGGCATAAGAAAGATGAATAAGGTTGTTTTCTGAGCGGCAGGGTGAAGATGCGCGATCAATAAGACGTCAAGACGGGCGAAAGGAGAAACACTTTGAGCTTCAAAAACTTTTCAAGAGATCGAACTGACAGATTGAGGTAAAGAAGTGGAACGATGTATGGTTGATCAGTTCAAGATGGTATCTTCGGGCGTTTCAAGAATTCGACTGAGAACGTTGAGGTGTGGCACAGGCTATTTGACAATCCTTTGCGACGTCCTGATCCTTGATATCGAGGTTGATAGAGAATGAAGGGTACAATCCTCGGTTGAAACTTGAGAGGACAAGTGGTGTAAAAGTGGAAAGAAGGTAAGTAAAATTTTGTTGATCAGAGGGTCGACTTTATTCGGGTGAACCAATACATGGGGGCTCATGGAGGTATTGCGACTTGAAGAACTCTCCCACATTTACTACATTGGATAATATGAAATGTGCTCTCTTGTGTTATTATTTGAATTCGTTCTTGGTTCCCAGTCTCTCATCACTCGGATGGATCCTTTGCTTCAACAGCGTTCTCTAGCGCTCTGCAAAGATCGGGATGACCACCGGGCGCGCGCAGAAAACCTACCCCAAAAAAGCTCACCTCCACCTTTCCTTACCTCTCGCCTACGTATATGACCAGATTGGTTCAAGACAACCTTCAGCCGCATCACAACTCTGTTTGATACATAATAAAGCCGCCTATCTTATTCTTGAATCTTGATATCCAACGGCGATCCGGCGGAGATTTTGGGAAATTAGACATCGCGTCTTACGCCTATCAATGTATATCTCGTCAAGCAATCGGGACGGTTCTTCTCAATGTCCCATCAATGGCGCAACTTGGCTGAAAGTGATTGGGCAGTAGCGTCGAGTGCTCAGAGTTGCTACATATCTGTTTCTATATAAAGGCCGTCAATTTAACTCGTGTGCAATGGTCATAAGATTGCTTAGGCGATGAAGCCTCAATGCTTGTGTAGCTTGTAGCTTTATTGCTTTCTGATTCTCAAAATGGTAATTTGAGCACTCCTACGGGACTATCAAGCATCCGGGAAAAATTCAGTGCACTGCTGAGAGATGGCAGCCATAATGAAATTCTGAGAGTTCCTACAACATGAGGCTACAAGTATTTGTAGAAAGTTATGCTCAACAACATTGCCAGCAAGGTAAGTAAAGCGGTGCTTATCAGCGAGGAAAGCATGAAAAAGCAAAAAACATCTTAAGGGGTTGGAGTCTCCGTGCCATAATTCACGCAAGCCCCTCGGCGGCTCACTACTCGGCGGGGGCGCGGACGCGGCCGCGCGCATAGAGAGCTTTGTTAAGCTAATGAGAGGACTTGCCGAGTAGCTGCCAGAAGGGCTCCCCATAGTTCTTCGACTGTTCTTGCGTGACTAGAGATTCAACAGGATCCCCGGAGGATTTGTCTTTTCGAATTTTGATTATTTTTGAGAACTGTGGTCTGAACATATCTCCAAGATGACCGCTTCAACTACCATTGGCCTACTTCAACTTTCACCAGTTTTCAAAAACCCAACCGCTACAATCGATCTAGCAGAAAAGTTGATAACCGAGTGAGGAGATATTTTTATCTAGTAAGATTCTTGAATCAGTAACCATTCGATCGATCATAAAGAGTCTAAATATCGTCGAATCAAAATAACAGCTTACGTCCTGGTCAAATCGATCTTCTCATTCTCCCTGAACTAGCTTTGGCAGGTATGTATCAATCCTGCCCATGCTTTGAGTTTCATGGGCGCACGCAACGTAGTACTCATCTATCGGTTCTCTACATTTCAGGCTATAATTTTCAGTCGTATGAAGAGATCGAACCATTTGTGGAATCCGAAATCGATGGAATCTCAGTCACCTGGGCGAAAAAAACAGGTAAAGTCCATACCAAACGACTCTGAATGTGATACCTGCTGAAGTGGTGATTTATGCGTTCATCATCTTAGCTACCCGCTTAAACTGTCATGTCATCATCGGTTTTGCTCAACGAATTCCTTCAAATCCCAACTCATCAGACCAATCCGATCAAAAATGTTATAATTCATTAGCTATCATTTCAAATGAATCTAAACTTTTGAAAACTTATCATAAAACTCAACTTTATCCAGCTGTTGATCCACTTTGGGCTAAAGCAGGCGAAGGATTTTTAAGGATGGATCTAAAGATTGGAAAATCATCAAATGGTGATCTCAGAGATGTAAAATGTTGTATAGGAATTTGTATGGATGTCAGTATCCTTTTTTCTTAATCCTAAATACGGATTAACAATCAATCATTAGATGACTGACTTAAAGTGACTTGTTCAGTTAAGTCCAGATAAATTTGAAGCTCCATTCGATGCATATGAATTAAGTTCATTCTCAGTTCAGAATGGTGCTGAATTACTATTATGTCCAATGGCTTGGTTATCTTCTACTTCAAATCCAGATCCAAATCAAACTCTTTCAGGGAAGAGTTGGTCAGAAGTTGGAAGTACTTTGAATTATTGGGCAGCAAGATGTAAACCGCTGTGGGAAAAAGCCGGTCAAACTTTTGTGGCTTGTAATCGTGTTGGATGTGAGAAAGGTTAGCTCATATTGACCGCTCTTTTCCTTAATATTGCACAGCGGCTCACTGACACTTTCGACTATCATCAGATACGGTCTATACTGGTACTTCTTGCGTGATCTCCAATGTACCAGAAGAGGGAGAAAGCTTATCTGAAATCCCAGAGCGCCCAACAGTATTAGTACACGCAAGTAAACACCTTCCAGAACTCCTGATCACGAAAGTTCCTCTCCTTTCATGAGATCTTATAAGATCAAACCCCGATATGTAATGATTCATGATAAGCACTCCACACCCTCTGGAAGAAAAGTGTGGCCTTGTAATACTAATTCCGTTGAAAACTTGGACTCAGAAAGAAGAATCTGACATGCAATGCTCCCCATTCACAAATGCATATTCAAAGACATGATTGACTAATCAAGGTCGTGTAATGTCTTTCTTGATATAAAACACTTTGAATATTGCTATGTCCTATGACCAGTCTTCACGTCACACACTAATTGAAACCCCGTACACGCGCCCAAAAATCCAGCATGCACTCGCAGGTCCTGAGAAGCAATATATTGTACAAACGACTGACGATGACTATTTCTGGAACATTTTCAATCCTTGAGTGGACATCACAAGACATCACCTGTGATTTGATGGCTCCATGTGAAACGGGTTTTCAGTTTGACTGACGGTTGAACTTTTCAGACGTATTAGGTTGTAGAGCCAAAGCTATGTAATTGAGCATTTGCAAGTTTTTTCTATCATAGGCGGCGATGAGTTTGCCAAACTTAGGACAAGTCTGGAACTCTTGCAGGACTCTTCTAGCCTTTGCAAGAAAAAAATGTGACTAGAAGGACTTAGTCAAGTTGGTGAATTTTCAATTGATCAAAGGCTTGTGATTTGACAAAGGCTCCTTGACCCCAAGCATATCAAGTGGTAGTCAAAATTTGATGCAATGGAACAAATGTATAAATAGAATGTTCATCTTCCTTTTGAAAATGCAAAAAAATCTGAAGTTCAAGACATACTTCCCCCCAGATTTGGACCCACCTGTTCAATTGATCTGAAGAGATGAGATCCATGAGCCAGGCAAGCTCTGCAAATCAAAGAATCCTTTCATTGAGTGTACCTTTGTTTAGATAGATGGAATCATGTCTTCAGATGGATTCAGCTGATTTGTTGATCTTTGAAATGTTGAACTTTCTCCATCAATTATTGATCAAAACCTGTTATGATCTCATTATTGGATCATTATATAAGAATATGCTTATACTTGTTAGAACAGATCTTATATACTTTGTTCTACGTATTCATGATTGTACTCTTCTCTCCATGGTACAATTCAATCATCATTATAAGATACAAGCAGCATCTCAACACATCTCTACAGCCTTGATCCAATAGCCTAGTCTCTGTACGTGATCAGTCTGCTCATAACAAAACCCCACATGTGTCCTCACATTATAATGTTCTGTAGAGGTTTTATTGCCAATCATCCCAACATAATAGAAATCATCATCCTGAAGGTTTACGGTAGCCCACATTTTTAAAGAAATATTCACTAGGTACACTGTAAACATCATTCAACTTCCCCAAATTGTAAGAGGAAAATGATTAATAGTACAGTTTGTCATAAAAGAATCTAATACTGCACACCTGATCCATTTCACCCACACTACATATGTGCAGCTAGCTAATTCAATAGTTGGTACATACAGGTCTGCTCAGTTTCTTGCCCATCAGCAGAAATAAATCACATGTTGTACCACATGTAACTTTTTTGACTTTGAAAAAATTGTGCCCAAAATTCACTACATATAATTCTGTAGGTGCTCAGGCAATATTGTTGAAGCTATTTCTTAGTAACAGAAAGGGTGTTACATGCAGTTGAGTTGATGAGATTACACCAAAACATTGAGTCAGTGTATGTAGGAAATCTTTGGAATGCTTTTTTTGATCTCAAAAAAGTTACAGCATGTATTACATATGAATAACTTATCCTGATGAGCAGATAACTGAGCAGAACTGTATGTACATGATAACCACATATTCACTGAGCCTGCTACACATATGTAGTGTGGGTGTTATGGCTCAGGTGTGGAGTGATAGATAATTTTATGACAAATCATACTCCCAGTCACTTTTTCCTGCCCACTTGGGGAAGTTGAATAATGTTTGCAGTGGTAGATTCATTGATATATTGCATCTGCTGATGCAAGATTTGTGAAAATGGATGAAAGAAAGATATTGAAATAGACTATGTATAGAAATTGGTTGAGTAAGCAAATAATTTTGTGGAAAGATGGTACACAATTTGCAATGAACATTGAAAGTGGAACATGTGCACAGACAGCCAGGGAAGCATGCCTGAAATATCAAGATAGCACTATTTGGCTGTGGTACATATATCTGTTATGGTAAGTATACAAAGCATCAAGAACTGTCCTTCTGGATCCAGGAAATCAAACAAAGCTACCTGGATCTTCAATGAGGTTCATTGGGGTTAAAGATACACATTCAATTGTATGCTGGCTGATTGGAATAGGGAGGTGTAGGCATTGATAGCATCAGTGACTCAAGAGATCTTTAAATTTAGCTTTTGAATTCATCACAAGAGACTAAATCCAAGTTCAGGTTGATAACTCTCTGACTTGCAAAAAATTCATCATAGCAAATGGGACATAAGTCATCATTTTTTCCCTCAAGGGGAGCTCTTTGACAAGCATTGTTCTCTTATATGGGGAAGTTGTGAGTCAAGTGAAGGGGTGAATTTTGACTTTCTCCTAAAAAGAATTGTCAGAAAGAGCCAATGAGTACCTCCAACATATCAAGCAGATCAATGCAGTAGGGCATTTAATATTTCATTAGAAGAAGAGTTGCCTGAAACCTACCATATAACTTTGTCTCACTGTCCAGGGATTCTTTGCTGCCTTCAATGTAAGAGCTTGCTTTGTATAGTTTCAATGAAAAAATGCTAAGCTTCATTATACTTATGTGTTTTGCTGAACTCTAAACCATAAAAAGCTGCTTTGTTATTTGCTAGTCCGTACTTTTAGAATCTCCAAAATGGTGTTAATCATCTGAAGCACACAAAACAATCTTGGTATCATTTTCATCCTCAAAGGCGTCCAAGTTCTGATTAAGAAGATAATTGCATATACGAGAACAAAGACGAGTAAAAAGCATAAAAGTTCTTAGGAAGTGATCCAAAAGAACCAAGGAAAACAAAAAACACTCTGATCAACAATTCTAAAAGAAACACTACAAACAATCTCTCCTTGATCAGAACAAAAACTACAACCCTAAATCACTCTAAATTTCAATATATATCTTACCAATCCTTCTTCTTAATCTTTTCTTTTTCATTAGAAAAGAATTCTTTAATAGCTTCTTCAGTTACAGTCAAATTCTTTTCAGCAAATGGTTTCAAAAAACTCATCATATGATCTCTTAATTTATTATAAGCATGTAAACTTTCAATTTTATGTTCTTGTGGTAAATTCTTAAAAGCTTCCATACCTAATTCATGTAATGATTTAGCTTTCAAAAATAATAAGGAAGTAAAAAAACTCATAAGTATTTTTTTCGTTAAATAACCCATGATTGTCAGAATTCAAAATTAACTTACCTGAATCTTGATCATCTTCAGGTTCCCAAACTTCTTCTTCTTCTGAACCTAACCAACTAATTTGACTCAAAAGCTGAAAACAGGTCAAACATTTACACCACCGTTGTCTCCAACCAGCTGTCAAGAATATATTGACCGTGCTCGGGTTCACTCTTGAAAGTAAACTATCCGTACTGTTTTGGAAAGGAGCCATACATCTTGAAGTATGATTGATATTCGGCTTTTCGAGGCATGTTCGCTTCTCTGATGATTCTGGTCCGTCGTCTTCAGATAAATTACGTTTTTGAGGCACCTGAATAGTCTGACTCGTAGATTCGAGTGGTGTAGTACTTGAACTTCCTTCTTTGAGCTGATCAGAGCCTTTCTCTTCCACCTTTTCCGCAGATGCTGAAGGAATAAGTTGACCATACCATTCTATAGCTGAATCTGTCTTGTTCGCCTCTTTAGGTACACCAATCATCATCCCAGTACCAGGACCACCCGCATGTTTTTCCATCATCGTCTTTATCGTAGGATTCCCCATTACACATTTTGCACAGATCAAATCATCCCAAGTTTCGGGATCCGGAAAACCTCCTAGACAACTAGCATGCCTCCAGCTAGTTCAAAAAGATGAGAGATTTGGGTCAAAGATTATGATCGGTCTTGATGTAATATAGTATGAATGTGATTTGACTTACTCTTCACAAGATAAACATTGATACATATCTTCAGTTTCAGTTTCTGGATCATACTTTTTTCCTCTTTCACAAATACAAAATTCACCATTAAAATTATGATCATATTTATTTAAATTTTCAACTTCATCTTCCGAATTTTGATCTTCTAATCTTAATTCACATTTTCCTTCATTACATCTTTTCGTACCACAATCACAAAGAAAATTTCTTCTAATAAATAATTCAACTAATTGATGATCAGTATGACAATTAATTGAACATGAAGCACAAATTCCTGCTTGAGAATTTGTTTTGGAATCTTGAGTTTCTTGAGGTGGATTACAAGTTAAACATGAATAAATCGATTGCCGTAATGGTCCAAGTGATCTTGTACACCGTGTACAATCGAATGGAAGGACTTCTGCTGCTTCAGATTCTAGTGAAGATTGTTGAATGAGTAAATCAGGAATCGTTACTTCTTGTGGTCGATTGATAGTATTGGTACTAGCGCTTGCAGTGGGAGAAGATCGAGATGATGATTCCTTGTTCGCTGTTTCTTCATTCGGTGGTAAGGTCGATGACATTTCTATACTTGACTCATTGAGCCAAAGTTCAAGGAGAAATTCTAGCTGGATAGTTTGAGTGGTAATCAAAGCTTGACTGACTCTGTGGCGAGAACATTCAAATACTCGAGCTTCAGCCTATCCGATTCCTACATATCAGGGCCGGCCACATCCGGTTCCGAGCTACCACGGTACCACCTTTTTTTCGGGATTGTTTCTCCAACGCGCTTCGACTTTCTATCCAGCTTCAGCTTTCAAGCCTTGAAGGAAACACGAGGTTTAAATGGAATCAACACCTTTACAAACTTGAAGTCATTCCAGTAAATTCGCAAGCGGTAGCTGCACCAACGGTTCTACTTTTTGGATGCAGGGACACCATTTACGCAGTGGTGTTGACACGGCTAACAGTTGCATTGGGTATCAATCTGGGATGATTAGACGGTCAACTGGTTGCTGGAGACGCGTGAAACTTAAAGTGACGACTCGGAATCGTGATCGTGACGTTTGGTCCAGATGGAAATTGTCATCAGCGTGAAAGAGAATTGCTACTTGGTCAGTGCAATGAGTGAAATCGCACGGCACACTGCTAATGTGATCTGTTTGACGATTTTAGACTCGAACTACTTATCGCAGTCGAATGCTGAGCGCACCAGCCGCACAAACATATCGATCGTTTTGGTATACGGACAGGGTTTGTGGGGTGGGGATGACTTGAGTAACAGTTGCATTGGTAATCCATCTGGAATAATTGGAAGGACAACTTCTGGCTGGAGACGCGTGAAAGTGAAGAGCCGCAAAGCGGTTATTATTTCTGCCAAGATTTAAATTTTGGTCAGTGACTCAAGTGCAGTGTTGGACGTGAAAAAGATCTACTTGCTACTTGGTCAGTGTAATGAGCGAAATTTCACGGCACTGCTAATGTGATCTGTTTGACGATTTCAGCCTTGAACTACTTATTTCAGTCGAATGCTGGGCGCACCAGCCGCACGAACAAATCCATTGTTTTGATATACTGACATGATTTGCGGGGTGGGAATGACTTGAGTAACAGTTGAATTGGTAATCTATCTGGAACAATTGGAAGAGTAACTTCTTGCTGGAGACGCGTGAAAGGGAAGAGCCGCGACGCGGTTGTTATTTCTGGTCAAGATATAAATTTTGGTCAGCGACTCAAGTGCACTGGTGGACGTGAAAAATGATTGGTCAGTGCAATGTGTGAATTTTCACGGCACACTAGTAATGTGATCTGCTTGATGATTTCAGATTCGAGTTATTTCAGTCGAAAGCTGAGATTTTTCAGTTCGTGATGATATTTGATCATCAAAAAGACTGCCAAAATTGCTCGGCCGTGGCAAAATATGGACAAAGTCCTGTGCCGACAAGGGTACTTCCATCAGGAACATATTCGCTTCTGTGCCTTGAGGAAGTCTTTCAGCGGGCCGGAATGCAACTTCAAGCAATTGAAGGGTATAAATATCTACCATTCTCTCCGATATCTCTTTCTCTTCATCTTCTATCATCCATATCGTTTGATAATAATTCCTTCATCACTTCTGACTCCGCACTTTGCATATCAATCCTCTGATACTCAACTCCGCATTCACCTGCTCCACAACCTCATCTTCACATCACTCTTCACTCTGCAATCTGCCCTTCAATCTCAGCTATCTTGATCTATCTTGATATTCATCCTTCAATCTCTTCAAACCCTCTCATAAATACTCACATTCCTATCATCAACATGTCGTACCTATCGCTTGGACTCAACCTGCCTGCACGATTTGAAATTGATCCTTGGTTTGTCATGAAGAGAGCTATTGCGCATCACAACGCAATAGTTAAGTGTGAATCACCGGATAACTCACAACAGGTACGCTTTTCTTTCCTCTCTTCATCTTACCAAAGACTCGTCAGCTAATTCTTCCTTCTCATTGTTTCTCATAACAGGTTGCCTATGAGTCATTCCTCATTAACCTTCGTGCAAGTCCAAAACTGATCACATGGAATTCGACTTCAACCCTCCAGGTTTGTTCATTTTACTCCTCCAAATTTTCCATCAATTTCATTAGTTTCGTTTTCTGATACTTTTGATTTTTATTAGCCTGAAGTCTCAGAAAAAAAATTGATCAAATCCTCAGCTTGTATTTTGCTGCCTGCCAAAAGAAAGTGTCCCGTTCGCCGACAAAGACTTCCAAAAATCTTGATTTCGGATCGAGATAGCAATTTGAACATGGCTCCTGCCACCAAAGTTGATCCTAAACCGTCTCTACTCAATCCAACAGCTAGTTTTATCCCGCTCACTGAAGACCAATCCCAAAACTATCATATCTTCAATGAGTTACTTGCTGAACACGAAATATCAAACGTTTCCCGTTTGGCACCCGAACTCCCCTCGATCACTCCTAACCCATCTCGGGGAACGAAAAGATCAGTCTCAAACTCACAACTTTTCACAGCTAGTTCACCAACTTCAAAGAAATCAAAACCAACACTTCACTGGACCGAAATCTTAGATGATCTGATGACGGCTTCGGATTGGGAAGAAGCAGAAGAAGAGGCACAGAAAGAAGCTGATCAAAACAAAAAAACAGTTGATGCGACTTCACTCAAACAAACAGTCTCTTTCATCCCGCTCACTGAAGACCAGTCCGAAAACTTTCATATCTTCAATGAGCTACTTGCCGAATACAATGTATCTACACACCCAAACCATTCACTTTCGACATCCAAAACCACTTCGATCAACACCAACTTATCTCAGAGAACAAAAAGATCACATTCACATTCACAACATGTCACCACTCGTGCACCAATTTCGAAGAAATCAAAACCAACACTTCATTGGACTGAAATCTTGGATAATTTAATGACAGTTTCTGATTGGGAAGAAGCCGAAGAAGAGTTAAAGCAAGAGTCTAATCAAATGAAATCAATAGTTACTTTCACCGAAATTAAAGAACCGACTTTGAATCGAGAAACTTGTGCCTCTGCACCACTTGAGTTCACACCTCTTACTTTTGTAGAATCTTCTAATTTTGATATCTTTAATGAGTTGGTTCTAGAACACCAACTTTTAGAGACTTTGAAATCTTCATCATCTGAATGTACTACTGCCACATCCTCCCCACCACCGAGGAATCCAAACTCTTCTTCAATATCAACACCTTCAAAATCTACCCTACAAAGTTTCAAAGATAGTCAAAGACAGCTTCATTGGTCTGAAGTTTTGGATAGTCTTATGACAGACAAAGATCGAGAAGAGGCAGATGAATCTTTCACAATTTCCGTCAAATCTGACTTGAAGAAACCTATCACTTGTCCTGAAACACCTTTGGAGTCTTTTGTTCCTTCATCTTATTCGAGCGCTGAGAATACTCATGCTTTACCCACACCTATAGAAGAACTTAAAGATCCTTTCGAATTGATTAGTAACGATTATCAAAACTCTTACTATCAATCAGATATGAGTTTTGATTTGGTGAAATCTTCTTTAAAAGAATCTGATTATCTTTCAATGGAATTTTCAAGTTTTAATTTTGAAAATTCTTTTTGTAGTTGATTGATTATATAATTTTGTAAAATGAAATTAAAAAAATGTTAAATACATATCACTTTTGTTCTCTTATCTCTGGCCTGATTTTCTCTATTTTCTTTGTTTTTCTGCTTTTTCTTTTTGTCTTTTTTCCTTTGTATCTTTCTCTGAATTTGATGTGAAGCAATTTGACATAATTTATCATAAAGAATTGAGACTGAAGGAGAATTGAGAGAGAGAGAGGAACCTGCTCATGTGTAAGAACAGGGAGTAACCCCATAAATAACTTCCTTATTGCCATAAGCTAACGTTACATCACTGGTGGTTTGCTGAGTCTTCTTTTGAGCTAAAATTCGAGGGCGCATTAGACAGAACTCTCACTGGTGAGCTTCCTTGATGTTTTAACTTTTGGCCTATTCTTTGGTTTGGCAACATATCAGTGGCGCAGGCAGTCCATTTTCGCACCAGCGGCGACTCATACAGCTGGTTCTCAGACAGCAGTGTGGCCACTCCCACAGAGCTGTCTGAAACACCTTTTCTCGACCATTGGCGGCCACTCGCGGCCATTCCGCTTCTGGCCCACGTAAAGTCCAATCCCTCCCTCGAACCATAACCTATACACATACATACGCGTGTGCCGTCAGGTGCCGTCACAAAGACCTACACTCAGTTTTCCTCTTATCCTTGATTCTCCGATCGCTTGTCTCCACTATGTACGCACTAACACGAATGTCCATACCACGAACCGGGATCGAATTCGAGTCAATTGATTACCAG